GTTTGCTACTATTCACTTTTTGCAACCATCAAGTATGGTAGAGTGATTTTCTTCGATTTCATCTTGTACGGGGTCGTCAAGGGGGAGTCTAACGGTGCCGCATCAGGTTGCATTTTACATATTCTGTAGTGGGGTGTTCAAGATGGTTAAGATTCCCCATATGCGTTGTTGCACTTATGGGAGTTGCAGCAGAAGCTGGAAAGCAGAGGGTGGCATTTGGCACGGTGTTTTTGATGGACTTTCTTTATGACCTGTGGTGTTTTTGCAATTGTTTCTTGCATCTGGTGTACTTTCGCAACTTCAAGGGCGCAAGCTGGCTGGCCTGCAAGAGTTCATACTTTTAACGTATGGTTTGAGTACTACTACAATTAGTCTGGGTAAACAGGATGGATTTCATGCATAGCAAGTAAAAGAGGGGATTGAAAAGGCGTCGGAACGTTTCGTCAATCATCTGGGCATCTACATGAAAGGAAATACTATGTAATGGATGGCATATCAAATTCAAGGCGATGTGTTTAGCTCGGCATATACTCGCAATAATGGGCGTTTCCGGCATTCAGGGAATGGATTTTGTTGCTGTTCCCTTAGATTTCCGTTAGGAAGAGCAATCCTTACATCTTTGTTATTGTATGGTTTGCTTTGGAAGTAGCTTTTTGGTCTAGGAAAATATTTCATTTATGATGACCATGAATATTCGGGACTTCTTTGCGTGAAATAAATACACATATAGCTGAGGGCATAATAAGACGAGAGTACATCGACACCTGAGGTGAGATCAAATAATTACCATCTGGCACGGCTGGCTCTTACCTCGGACTGGAGCCAAGACAAATTGCGGGTGGGGTGCATACATTTGATTTCGTTCATGTGATACTGATGGAACCTACCGGCGCTAATACATTTTCGCTTAAATTTTTCCCTGTGCTCAAGCTCTTCTTCTGTTCGAGTTTTATTTTTTTCTTCCATCACAAAACATTCAACACACACGACACAATTGTCCTCCACCACGCGCCGTGGTAGGAGGATACTTCAATTCAAGGTAAGCTTCTTCCTTATCTCCTGCTTCTGCAATTCTTATATGATGAACATCGTGTCGCCCCTATCTTACCAATGAGCTTATGCTCCCGTGGTGATTAACCTGTCTTAACCAAACGGACTTTCTGATATATCTTGCACAATTCTTCTTTTCTTGAACTTTTCATATGATACTGGAGACTAATTGCTTTGCAGATTAGGGATTTAATCATCTACACGAATTGAGCCACCAGCTCTCTTGCGCGCTGAGTCCGATCTAAGGTGCCTCAGCTTCGGTTTGTTTTATTACATTATTTTACGAACTATCGATGCGATGGCATATCAACTGTATGTTACCTCCTTCCTTGGTGGCGTCAGGTTCAACCAAAGTACAGTGATGAACAAACTTGTACTATCAAATACAGATCAACAATGACGAATAAAATTGATTCGATTACCTGATATTGCCTTGGTTGAACCTTTCATCAACGTCAATTGATACAATTCTTTGAGTATCATGCTAATTTTGGAATTTTATAGAACTTTTAGCATATTGCTCCACCTCTTAACATCATACTAATAGGTAATTACTTCATTCTCTTCTCTTATTAAAATGGACATTCATCTATATGTCGATGATGCAAAAAACATTCCATGCTAAATCCGACAGACTCCTGTCTAATGCGGAAAACAACGTAGACTTTTCATCTTTCACCTGAGGCACTATTGCTACAGCATACATTACATGAAGACATTTGCACGTCAAATGCTAACATATCAAATAGAGAATATAGCTAGCCATTTTACAGTGCGATTTTGCCTGGGCATTGCTGATAGCTCAGCGGAGGGTGGCGGTATGGTTTGGGATAGAACTTGGGAGGCAATGATGAAATATGGAGTGCGGAGCATCTCATCGGCCTCGGGGCATAGATAGCACAATTTGAGTTCCGATTCAAAAGACATATCATGTCGAACCTACCATTCAAATGTGAACGAAAGTTTATGAGCAAGACTTATTCAAGACCACATTATCCTACCAGCTTTGTGTTGTGCTACTATAAGATATCGAAGAATTCTACATCTGTCGATCTCTACAGACTCTAGAGAGTTCAGTTACAGTCTGTTTGTTCTAGACCCGAAGTGTAAGTACGCACGTAAAATGTCCCACGTGCTCTAATGTAACAGCGGATGCGGCATACTAAAAACTCATCCCTACGAATGTACATCACGTTCCGCACCGAAATCAAGACGAGTAGACTAGAAGTACCATCTAGAAACTCGAAACTAGAACAAAGTAAGACTTGCAAACTCTCCACGCAACAAGCAGCTGCAAAGAATTCCACATCTTAAATGTATTCAAGGGATGAAAAGGAAAGTTTTATGGTAGAGATGTTTGTGGAGATGTTTGTGGAGATGTTTGTGTAGATGTGTTAGATTTTTGTGAGGGGGGAGGATACAGATTTGTAAATATGTATATAATTAATCTTATAATATAAAATAATAGATCAATAGATCAATAAAATCGAAAATCATACACATCATCTTTATATTAGTATTAATATTAATGCTTAATGCTTACCTACTTACCTATCAATATCATGAAGCTTAAATACCTAGGTAGGTAGCTGGAGATTGTTGAATAGATATGTTACTCTGATTGCGGTGTTAGATGATAATCTGGAGTGATGATTAAGAGCAGTTTTTTGATATCATTTGATATTACCGAAGAAGGGGTTTGTGGGTTTGTGGGTTTGTGTCGTGGTGTAGAAGTAGGTATCTACCTAAGAAGATATTATAATGAGAGATGAAGTGTAGAATTTTTGAGATATCTTTTAAATAGGTAGATACTAGATAGATATGGTAACTCCACTTGTATGGAGGTTTATGAATATAATTTTACTAGTCCAATGCATCTTCAATCATTCTAGACAACCTATGAAATGAACTTTAGCTGTCGAACAAAAACTTCATTATCATAATTACAAAATTTTTTATCAGTATACTAGTATATATTCCCAACCGCTCGCATCTGTTCTTCCTCCTTCCATAGTAGGTGTAGGTATCCATCATCCTCGTATCCTTCTATCCATTCCTTCCAATTTTATTAGTCTCTAAATCAGCCTTGACGCCCTCCAAGTACTCAAGTGTTAAATCAACGTTAAAGTACGGATGTATACAATGTTTCCATCTCCCTACCACTTCCCTCTTATATCCACGGACAAATATCGACCCCTTAAATTTCAAACCTCAATCCTAATCCTGACTCGTACTGAAATAATATTCATCCCACAACCACAAATAATCTTCCACGACACCTCCAATCATACTTGGCAAACGGTTGCTCGTCCTATGTAACCATCCCTTTGTAACATTCTCATAAAATGCACCTCGTAATGCCCACCATCCCATTGCCCATCCCCTCTTATTCCATTGCTCTTTTTCTAAAGGAGTAGTTCTGTAATTCTCGCTGCGGAGTTGACGTGCAGCATATTCGATACTGAGTCCTATAGCCCAAGGTTTCCATGACTTAGGGTTCTTGCGGAAATGGGCGAGAGCAATGGCGTAAATGACGGGCTGGAGGATATGCATATATTCTGCATATTGAGAGGGAAGAGTAAGGGGGTTAAGAAGCGAGATTGGCGCTTTGATATCATCCGCAACGAGGACTTTCGAAAGAAGATAGTTTGAGATATCGCTTGGGTTTGGTAGATTTGGAAGTGTCAATCCCGTTCTCTTCAACTTGTATTCTTTGGTCTCGCGGCTCTTTCGGAGTTTTTCTTCTTCTCGCATGGCTACCGAATCATTGGTATCGAGCCAGGGGGGCATTTCATCGGTTTCTGCAGGTGATTCCTCGGGTATGATATCACGTTCGGGAAGAGGTGGTGTGACAAGTGGTCGTCCTTTGGTAATCCTTAAAAGAAGCAGTTTACAAACCGCCTTGATGAATTCTAGAAAAACTACCACTCTCCATCTCATCTTCTCTCCTTTTCTCTTTGCCATCATCTCCCATAATAATTCAGTATACTGTATCATGCTCAACAACATAGCTATCCTTCTATACATCCCGTTACCCTTGACCCAATATTTGGTATATCGATTATGCGCATTTTGTCTGGGCATCCCAGGGAGTTTAGATAAGGCTCGAGAGAGGAGGGTATCATGGTAAAGCGAGAGGAGCTGAATAGAAGAATGTAGAGATTCCGATGCGAGTTCGGCATCGCGAAAACGACCAGGTATTATATAGGTTAGAGAGCGTAGGGCAGATTCGATTTGAGTAACGGAAGATTGGTTTTTGAGGATGAAGTCGGAGTAGAGGTTTAGCGCGTTGGGGATTTTCTCCCGCACACTTTTTAGGGAAGCCATGATGAAGATGCACTCATGAGATGTGATAGCTGTGAGGATAGACTGGTATGGTGAAGACCAAAACGCGGCTGTTGGTTGTGAATAAAGATTGAATTTTGGTATGGAGTCGCAAAGGGGGACTGGCGTTGGTTCATCGTTTCCATTCTCAGCCTCGGCCCCAGATTTAGACACGCACGTGAATTTTAGTGGTGGGTCGGTGATAAGCTTAGCTTCCGCGTCCATTTACATTAATCCCTGTTCATCAAAATTGATAAGGCGAAACCCGAGGCAACTTTTCGATGATGTTAATTTATTACTATTGAGGTAGATTATTATTTTTTCTTTTGGAGATTCTTACGCAGCTGCATTCTGAGAATCTTAAATAACACATCATGCCCAAACGTCGAAGATCAAGTACATCTCAAAACGATTTACCAATAACGAAGAAACATTATCTACCACCGAACAAACGCGACTATATCTCTCATCTTTCTTCCGAACTCCTCATACGTATCCTTCATAACCTACCAATTGAAGCTCTCTTATCCTGTCACTCAGTCTCCCAGCATTTTTATACTCTTTCCCATGATTCTCAGCTGTGGAAATCATTATATTATTCTCGATTCGTGTTACCACGCGCATTGCGCATACCGGGGATAAAAAACAAAGAGAAATCGAGTAATGGGAGAAGTACGGAAGGACAGAAAGAAGAAGGGAAAGGACAGGGAGATGGAGATCGGTTTCGATTTAGTTCGAGAAGGAGTAGATGGTTGGATGAGGAGGGGTTGAGGAGCAGAGGGGATGGAAGAGAAACTAATTGGAAGAGACAGTATAAGTTGAGACATAATTGGGCGAAAGGCGCATGTGAGGTCAAGGAGATTGAAATTGCGGAAAAGGGGAGTGTACCAAGTATGTTGGTGAGGTTAGCTGGAGGGGTAGTAGTCACGGTGGGTGAGGTGGAGGGATTGAAAGCCTGGGATCTTAAAGGAAGGGAGTTGATTACAACGTGTGAAGTGGGTGAGGGGCTACCTACGTGTTTAGCCGTTGATGAACAGGATGGAGAGAAAGGGAAACTAGGGATTGTGATAGGTTTCGAGGACGGAAGTTGGGGAACCTGGGAGCTCGATGTCGGAAATAGGATATTCAAAAGAAAATACAGACATCCACCGAGCAGTAACGGAATGTTAAGCGCGGTAGCTTACGCACATCCTTACATATTGAGCATTACAGAAGGACGGCTTCTTTCATTTTACACTCTTAACCCCACAGAGTTAATACGAGAGTCTGAAGATGATGACACGACCATCAATATACAAGAAAAAGAATCACAACCACGACCGTATCTCTTAACATCACTCAAATCACATTCTTCATGGCCACCACTATCCCTTTCTATCCGTTTAACGCCAAGTACAATTATCGCCTCGATAGCCTACACACTCCCCACCTACCTAAGCGGCTACACGATCTCCATCCAAGAACTCCACTTTATCACGTCACCACCTTCCTCACCACCAACCCTGACCACCTCCCGCCTCACCACCTCCTTCCCCTCCGGTTTTCGCCCTCTGATCACAAACAGCTCTCCTACTCCTCTCTCTCGTCCAACAACCCTCTCCTACGCACACCCCTATATTCTCGCCACTCATGCCGATAACACACTCTCCCTTTACCTCTGCACCAGTACTCAGACTTCTCTCACACTCTCTCCACCTCAAAAGTTATTCGGTCATACTAGTTCCATCAGTTTCGCAAGTATTACTAGTAGGGGGAAAGCGGTAAGTGTTAGTGAACGTGGAGGCGAATTACGTGTTTGGGAATTGGAACCAGGGATGTTTAAGAGAGGGGAGGGAAAAGGAGAGGAAAGGAGTGTAAGGGTCGGGGAAGGGAGGGAAAGAGTGGACGTTAGTAGAGTCGGAGAGATCGGGGAGAAGAGGAATGATACCAGGAAGAAAGTAAAAGATTTGGAAAAGAAACTCTGGGTTGGTTTTGATGAGGAAATGGTTATAGTGTTGAAATCGAGCGTGGAAGATTCAGGATGTGAGTGTGAAGATGATGAAGGTGAAGATAATACGATGACCTCGTTGAGTGGTGCACATGATGGAAATAGAATGATCCTGGAAAGGACTAAAGGAAAAGGATATAGAAACGGAAGAGTGGAGGGGGGTACACAGCAGAGATTAGTTATATACGATTTCACTTGAAATCATACATTTATATATACTATATATAATCCAGTTCCACGATATAAAAGAGAACCAAGCTAGAAACATACAATCATCACATCTCATCATCTGTTCATGTACACTTCAACTCTATAATTAACTATAAGAAAGGCGACGTCTGACCCGAATGGTATCTGAACTTGATACTGCTTAGTCATTGACTCACGGACTAGTCTAATTAATGTAATCCTGAGCATATTTTTCAAACCTTCATCCCAACATACAATTTGCAACTCCCCAGCTGCTTCCCGAACAAGGTGTCGTGAAGCTTGCCAGGCTGTTATGGTCGACAGGATGTTCAATCTCGCAATGCATGCTATCCGCCAAGCCGTTGTGTCTTTACTCAAGACCGTGTCAATCCGCCAACTCATAACATGTAGGTAGCGACTAAGGAACAATATATTGGTAGAAAATATTGATATGACAACGTGCTATTCAATTGTCCGTGCTGCTATGAGATGGTAGCGCTTTTGAGTGACGCTATCCCCGCAGCCACAGTAGTAGTGAATGGGGGATTTGTTCGTTTTACTATCGATGCAGATTAAAAATATACTGTTCACTCTCTACAATCTTTGACAAGGACAAATGTGTGGAGTTATCTTGCTATATTGCATCTAATTTGTTATATAGCTAGCAAGTGTGATGAACCATTCCATTTAATCGTAGGGTACTCGTGGCTGCTTTTCGCTTTTCCGGAGGAGGAAAAGCCAAGTAGTGCCACGCCTACGATTAATTAATGTACACAGTTTTGTCCTGCACAGCAAGGTAAGACTCGACTGGTGCCCCAGCATTCTGGCTTCTGACGACTCTGGCTATTTGATTATTGTTCCTGTAACCCCAGGTATCCTTTCCTCCATTGGCTTTAAGAAGGGTCCAAAGCTCGCTTCCCCCTTTTTGAAAGTCGTCGCCATCGTAAGTGACGCTGACATAAATGTCAGATGCGGAGTTGTTGACTACTGTGATAACGCCCATTTTGTCTATTGAGAATATTAGCGTGTTCCTTAGTCAAAATATCTCAACTTACTTGTAGGGATTTGATGACGAGTAGTTTGAGATTGGTCGGTACGTTTGGGATTTGATGAACTGGATGTCAAGTATGAGTCAAAATGTCAGCCCAAGAAGGAACGACCTTACCTGGCAGTGGAGGTGTCAAAAGATTTGGAGAGTTGAGTTGATTCAGATGTAGTTTGAGTTTGAGTTTGGAGAGTTGGGATAATCAGAAAGTGGTTGTTCTTGAGTTTATATAGCTACACATAGGTAAGACAATAGGCTAGGGAAATCGTGATATCCCGCTTCAACATCGCACCAAGCGATAATAAGCAAGTGCTACATCTTTGAGTAGATATTGCGTCATTGTGCAAGCCTATTACAGCTGAAATGCATAGATAAGTAGCAGATTAAGAACTCTGCATTTTGGCTAATGAATGCAACAGCAGGTAATGCAACTTACCCATTTCGCCATGTCTTTAGTAAACGAATTACAGTTTTTGGAATCGTGCAGCAACTCTCTTCTCAATGCGCCATTTTAACAAATTACATGCAATACTTTGCACATCAACATTGCCACAGCCACACATTACCTTCTCAAGCTGATAATGCAACATGATGTCCTTCTTTGTGCCACGAGCACCGGCATGTTTACCTTATTAGCCCTACCAGGCTACAACATCATCTAGCTGCCTTTCCGCTATTAGACAAACCCGCAGTTGCCTCCAACATTATAGATTATAACATTTGTTTAGCCTTAGTCAGGGTACTCACCCCTCCAGATACCCTTCTTTACAAGACTACTACCTACCCCTCTTTATCCCCATCACAAACCTGCATGTTTATCGTATAACACAGTTCCCTAGTCACGATCGATGGAGTTACGGATGTACCCCGCGATCAATAGACTGTTCGGAGTATCAAGGTCCCGTCTAGACTCTGAACTCAAAACCTACCCGCATCACGCTAAACCCTTTTAAATTAAGCTTATTTATGATTTCCTAGATCCGGGTAAAAGAATCAGTAAAGTGGGTCAGTAGATCTTCGATTCATCGATCCACTTTTGTGATCTATCCCATTCAATATCCAATTAAGGTTATAGATTCATAAACTTATTCCATAATAGAGAAAGTATGTATGATGATTTGAGTATAGACGGGAAACTAACCCCACGCAATTCTTTTCGCCTTGCAATTCCCTTCCGGATTCATCTGCTTGTACTTGATGCTGTGATGGAACTCTCATCTTGCGCCATTCGATCCTTGATGTGTGGCATCTCACTAGAGGTCTCAGATATTAGACATCTGTGCATGTTTTTCAGCTGCTGTTGTTAAAGTTACGGCAAGGGGGCATGACATCATACGGGTATTGGCTCATGAAATTTGTTATTTGTGGTGCTTGTAGCTTCAGTACCATAGCAGTATCCCAAGTTACAATGATAGTCGCTTTTCCAAGTGGTAACGACGATAAGGTTAGCTGAGGTGGTGACATTATCGATTTTGGAATGTTGAGCTTATCCCCCTCAATGTAACCACGAACAGCAAGGATTAAAATGCTAAGCCTACATTAGCTGACCACTTACACTTAAAAATAAGCAAGCATCAAACCTCTTGCAGCGATGTGATCATAGGTAGGCAGTTTACAATCATCATGTCAATCATTTTATTTTATTTCATTCATCAACTAACGATGAACTAGATGCCCGGTGTTTCTGGTAGCGCAGCAGCACAAGATGAGCGCTACGCAAAATACTTGAAAGAGGGCCGATCCGTCGCCTATCAAGCCCTTGACCAAGACAACGGGCACTAGCCATTGTATAAACTCGATCATCCCGTGTTTAGGGTGCTGATTGTCTTGATCGATAGCTTTCAAAAGTCAACCATATCCCCTTCGTGAGCTGCCATCTTACCTCGAGTTTTCTGTTTCGCTAACTCATGGACTCTAATCAATACAGCTAAAGTGTCGAAATGGCGGCCATCTCAGAAGATCAGATTAATCGACAGAATAGTTGAAGATAAACTCTTGCAGCCAGCAGGAACCATGTCCAAGATGCATCCGCTGCCCAAGTGGGTTGTAGCGGGAGGATTTCTTTAACCTGCTCGTTGAGAACTCGCATGGTTTTTCTCATTTCTTTTTTAACATATCAAACAAGCTCTTTAGAAACCGACTAGGATAATTTTTCACCCATTAGGGGTCCGTCTCTAATTGATGCGGGTTAGAGCTAGCGCTCGAGAAAACTCAGAGGTGTTAACAGGACTGTTGCCTTGTTCCTTTGAAACCTCCATTGTCGGGCATAAACAACAATATTAATAGAACTAGACTCTTCAAACTAAGAGTGTGTTTTGTGTACTGAACTATGGTTGTTGTCTTAAACAGAATTTTGTTTCGATGTCTTTCATTCAATTCACGAATTGATCTTGGGTTTCTATTCTAACCAGAGTCTGCAGAGTCTGCAGAGTCTGCAGATTCTGGATCTCCTATGAAATCGTCGACTGAACTTTTAGAGCATTGCGCACGAAGCAACTATGAGCACAGCTTAAAAGCTATCTCTGAAGGAAATGGGCTCATAAGTGTCATTCGAAGGCGTTGCATAATTGACTTCTTTAATTCTTCAATGATATCGCTGCTTAAGTTGGAGCCAAGTGGTCATTCCAGCGTGGCTTCCTTCAACCTGGTGGGCTTCTCTCACAATAGTAGACAATAATCATTCCCGATAAAACGGTCCTTTTTCGACACTACGCAACATCAGGTTATATTTGCAAGTGACTCTTAGCCATCCATCTAGGTTAGGGCGTCGAAATTCCGAGTCCTCTAGGACATCATACGCTTCTAGTGCTTCTTTCAACAACACGCTTTCCATCCAGTCTTTCCTTATTTACGAATCTAATGCGACATTAAACTTCATAATAACGCTTTTATCGTCCGCAGATGTAGCCACTGCACCCGAGGGGTATGGACAGAAAAAGAGAAATCATATCTAACTTGATCCAAATTAGATTGAAAAATACTTTTATCCCTATCGAGTTATTAAATCATATTAACTGAAAAAGATGAAATACTCGAAAGCGACTATACATGCTCTGATGAGAATCACCCTCCTATCCTTCATCATCTCCAAACTATTGTAAATCTAATCGTACCTAGCAAGTGCCCAGTTTTTCCCCCCTCGCTGCTAGAATTCCACTCTGAGATGTGTCTCGTGAGCACTGAGTAAGCTTTCCTTCCTTTGAATACATTTACCGCAATGGTTTTGGTGCAGCGTCAAAGAATTAAGATACTTGAAAATTAACCTGAAGCAGCTTTCGAGCTCATTATTTCGTTTCAAGTGTTCTAATTTGAAGAAAACTGTTGGAGTTCATCAAGATGGAAGGGGAAATCTTTGATGATTCAAACTCTTTGCTTGTAGAATTGGATCTCTGTTGATATATTCAAATGAAAATCATCGAAAATCTATCATTCTACTCCAAAAATATCGTTGTCGACTATTCAAACCGATATACTTCTGTCCAGCTCAAGAATCCCACAGGCTTTCCCTCATTTTCAAATCTTTTTTCTTTCTTTCAATATTTTCACACATATAAACACTTCAGCTCTCAACACTCTCCTTATGAGCTTAGAGCTTACATATATCACTTCCCCTTCGGAATAAAGAATACCATACATACCTACCTACCTACCTTCCCTATCCCACTTCAAATCCATCCACCTACCTATCTATCCACCACCATACCTCCCCATCATACTTCCCCACAAGATCCTCACCATATTCTCACCATACCTTATCCATATCCTCCCATCACACTCACTCACTCACCACCCATCCACCAATAACATCCACCAATAACATCCACCAATAACATCCACCAATAACATCCACCAATAACATCCACCCCATCTTAAAACAAAAACCCCCAACACTTTCACTACCTACCTAGAGTCCTAGATACATCTACAGTAACTTAAACATCTCCCTTAAACATCCCCCTTATCATTCCTTCAACACCTATACAGTATGCATCACGAATCTATCTATAACTACTAGGTAGCTAAAAATCTAAAGAAAAACTCTCCATGATCCATGATCCATTCATAATTTTTTTTTAAAGAATTTCCACTGGCAGGAATCTATCAATCAACTACTGAAGAATAAAGACAAGATAAAATGTAACTAATTACAATCATAACTTCAGATTAAAATATACAGATAATATATACAGACTTACTTTATTAATATGTCACGATTCATTAATTCACGTGACCTCGAGGACCTTGAGGACCTTTTGGACCTTAGGGTCCCAAGGGTCCTCAAAAGATGATATAGGGTATATAAACATTCATTTAGTCTCGTAGTTAAGGAGCTTCGTGCTCAACTTAGTTATCAATTAGTTTACCTACATTCTACTTGATCTAGTAACGACTTCACTTCCAAGTGAAGACCAGTGATAAAGCCTTAACCCACAACTACCAACCAGACGAAACCTTAGGCAGCCGCTGCCTCCAGTATAGTATCGTTACATAATAATAATAAACAAAATCTTATCTTATCCAGCAAAGATACTTGAATCGGAGTCTATAAATAAATCTGTGTCTTTTATTATCCTATAATAAAATTTATTTATATTTTATTTTATTTATTTTTATTTATTTATAATTAGTCCAAGTGCAATATAATTATCATCTTATTGGTTCGGCCCTCTAGGCTCTAGGGAGGGCATTAAGAATTTATGTCCCCTTGAAAACTTTCTTTTAATAGTATATCAAGGCGGTGATGGGAGTAGTGTGAATTAGTATTATGAGGCTAATGTTATCAATCACTCAATCACTCAATCACTCAATCACTCAATCACTCAATCACTCAATCACTCAATCACTCAATCACTCAATCACTCAAATCACTCAATCACTCAATCACTCAATCACTCAATCACTCAATCACTCAATCACTCAATCACTCAATCACTTAATCACTCAATCACTCAATCACTCAATCACTCAATCACTCAATCACTCAATCACTCAGTCACTCAATCACTCAATCACATAAAATCACTCAAGTAAATAAGTAAGTGTGCCTAAGTATAGATATTCTAAATATATCAATTAGATTTCACAACACACCCCACTATATCAACTAGCTATTTCCAACCCAACACGCACTTCATGCACTATGACACTCTATATCTGTATCCATGGCCAACTAACTCAACGATCCCATCACATCCGATGTGATCTGATACAAGATAGTTGTCAAGACATCCATCAACAGTCAGACCATCCATACATAAATCTTTCCAATGGATCCATTCCATCAATCTGACCTCTCTGAGATGCCGTACCATGTCATACCATACCATGCCATGCGACGACAATGTGCATTCATTGTTATAATGTGTCGTTCTCCATCCAATCCAAACCAGTCCTATCCAATCTGCCCGCACAAAGATTCCCAACCACCCCATCCATACCCAATGCAACCAATCACCAGACAAGTCTCCAACCATACCATACCATGCCACACCATAGCCGCACAACCAAGCCATCCATAACTATGAGTATGGTAAGACTCATGTGAGTCAAAAACGCCAATAGGATCCCGAACTATCCCGGAAACCATAGATTCCATAAGTCCATCCACAATGCAGAAGATCCATCCAGACTTTAAAGTCAAAGAAAATCCCTAAAAAATGACATGCTGGAATATAATATTCCCCTGTGCATAATGGACAAAAAGAGAATAAACAAAGTAAAATGTGATCGTGAGAGGAGCTGGGCGGGCTCTCTTGGGTATCAAAGCAGCCCGATGCAAAGATAATATGATGTTAATATGTAAGTAAGATATGCACCAGGCCGAAAATAGAAAGGAAACCAATGAGCCAAGTACCAAATGCTTGTAAACTGTGATGTCAAAAAAGAAAGTCGAGTCTCAGTATAAGCGAATAACCGTCGCAATGCAGTTGAAAATAATCAAAAATTCATGAATGAAAAATGTAGGCAGAGTCGTAATCGTGTATCGTGTATTGGTGTAAAGTACCGATAAATTCGTAGTGATAAGTGGTGGTGAAGTGGCAAAATGTGGTTAGCCGACAAGAGCCATCAATCTAAGCATACTTCTTGACCCAGGATGGATTGAGCCAACCAACTTTGTCAAATGCTTGCCAGAGTTTACTAGCCTTGTTGACATCAATCTTACATGCCTGTTGGGCATCAGTCTTTCTGAATTCCTTCCCGACTCTCATTGCTTCAATTCTTTTCATGAAGATTCGACGTTTGGATGTAAGATAAGTTGCACAATCAAGACGAAGATTGGCTGCAAGAGAAATTTCATCTGGATGAAGAAGATGAACATTTGGGTCATTTCGGAGATCAATTGGAGCTCCCTTCCAATCAACTTTCAATGAATTGGGTTTGTTAGGAAGACTAGTGATTGGTGGGCAGTAGTCTGGAAGGTTCTCAAAATCCTTGTCTTCTCGAGCAACTCTCTTGATATCAGGGCCAGGTGTTGCTGAGGATACTGTGCGGACTCCGCGAGGCATCTGAGCAGGTCGAGGAGGGCGTACTGTCTTTGTAACTCTTGTAGCAGTGTTGCCTAAAACCCTATTGCCTCTGCTAACCGCAGGAGCAATGTTTGTCCACCGCCTTGCACCAGATTGTAATTCCCGATCTTCCCTAAGATAAACCATCTCCCTTCGCAGCCAAAGTGCTGGATCCTTTGACATGATCTTTACCACTTGTGATTTAAATTCGAGAGCGAGCTCATACTCATCGCGGCGTGGAGGGGAGGCTTCTCGAAACATGCTAGCTTTCCTTGCTGCAACATGCTCATCAACTAATCGGTGTGTAACGAGGGGGTCATCATTGTCTTCGAAGAGGGATGACTGACTGGCAGATGTGCCTTGATTGTCGGAAAGTGGATATAGAATTGGATCGGTGATTGCTTGTGAACCAGTGGGCTCTTCTGGTGACCTGGCTTTGGTCTCTGGAGACACAGGTGGCGATATGGGAAACGTCGCACCGACGATTGGGTGAAGTTTTCGCATCTTTGAATCCATTGTGAATCCCTGGCTCGAATGTGTAAAGTTATCAAGAGGAAGTGGCTCTGGCGGTGACATAAGCGTGTTGGCGATATCAAGTTGATTCTTACGTTTCATATTCATAGGTCGGGAAGAAGTTGTAAGAATTGGTTTGATGAATTGAGCTGATGATGTAGAAGTAGAGGTTGATGAATTGTTGAATGGTTTTGTAGCAAACGATGACTGTCTAAGATCGAAGGTAGTAGAAGGCTGCAGGATCGAGGTGAATGTTTTGTCATCCATATTTCGTTTGTTGTTCGCTGCCCCGCGCCAATTTGTGGCAACCCTTGACGTCGGATTTCCCTGTTTCTTTAAATCCGCAAATGTGATTTGCTAAACAAGAAAGAAGTTCGGAGATTGGGACAGATATGTCGTGGCTATTTAAGAGAGCTGGCTCTGTGTGTGTATTAAGTAAGTGTTGCGTAGGTCGTTCGTTCTGGTCAGCTGAGGTTTAGGGTGGAAGTTCTTTGTGCCTGTTTCGGGTTCTAGTTCAATGAAGAAAGCGTAATCTATTGAAATTCGAATTTCAATTGAGGTATGGCGGGGTATTGCGTTATTGTAATGGTGAATGTAGAGAGGAATGCAATCAATTGTGAATCATATAGAAGACAATGAACTGAGATATGCTTGGAAGGATGAAGTAGAAATAACAAGAGCAACAAGAGAAGAAAAGGGATTGCATGTGCGAGAGATGAGTTGAACAATAAGTAGGTACTTTTTGTGAATGGTGTGAATGGAGAGGTGTGAGAAGAATGTATAAAGCGTGTGTGTATGAATATGGATTGAGGCGGATGACTTTAACCAGTCATTCAAAATACGCAGCGGACGGTTCGTAGGCTGCCACGAGATGATCAATTCAACTGGTCATGCACTAATAAGCGCAATTGGAATAGGGTGTTGTCCTAGTTCTTTTGGTTGATAATTATCAAGTTTATTTCTTTTTGATAAAATAATATGTACGGAGGGAAGGAGTATTGCGGGACGAGACAAGAGGATGGTAAAGTAAAAAATAAAATAAAATAAAATAAAAAAGGAGGTGGGAATACCTCTTTTCCCAAGATGAATTGGATTAATTCTCATCAGGTAGTGGATTAGACTTGAATGTTCTTAGACTGATTTAAACAATCCTGATTGGGTCCAATTGTATCGATCTTTGTTTGTTTTGCCTTATCCCTTTCTTTCTTTCTTTTTCTGTCCTCACTCTCTTCTCTCTACCTAAATTCTTTTGTTGTTGATTTAAGTATGATATGCGTACCTATGTGCAATGCGTGTGCGTATGCTTGGTAAAAACTAGGTGACACTATCGGAGAATGAAATAGTACCTAATATGTGCTCTTTGGCTTTCCAATGATATAAGATGTGTAAATGTCTTCCGCGTTCTTCTTGTTCAGGTAGGGTTAGACATCAACAGAATGATACCATTACCTTCCAATGACCTTCCATTGACCTTCCAATTGACCAATGATATCATGGTAGATAGATAGATTTGTTCCAGATAATTCGTCAGCATACTCCGTACTCCATATATTGGAAGGCGAATAACTCTAAGGTAGATAGGGACGGAGATAGTGTACGGAGTACTCGTACTTTTCGAGGCTTTGATCTGATCGGTGAGAAAAAAAAGGGAGGAATTGTAATAAAAGTTTGCTCGCATTTACTCTAATCACACCGGATTGTCTCAATTGTAATGGATACAATCAATCAATTGATACGGAGTACTCAGATTCAATGTGCCCTCTTTTCCCTTTTCGCTCTTCGCCTTTCTCTTTTCCTTTTTCCTCTTCTGTTCAGTCCTGCCAGACTATTCAGATTGTGGGAATTGAGTTGGGTTGCAAAACAATTGGATGTTGTGGTTGGTCAATAGTGATGGATTGTCGGATGAAAGAGGCAAAGGAGAGAAGTGTAACAGAAGATGTGACTCACCCTGAGGGAATTTGGAAGAAGTTCATGGTTGGGTCTGAATAATTAATTAGTTGATAATTGTCGTAGTATAGTATCACATTATACCACATTAAGTTTAGCTTCGAGGTCGGGCAGATATTTGAATGCATCGAATTCTGGGATTTGGGCCGGTATCTTTTTGCTTATCAAAGTGTTGCAGCGGGCTGAAGCGGCGGCCGCGGTTAAATTTATGCAATTGCATACAGTAGTACACAGTAGCTTCCAAGTGAAGGGGAGAAAAAGAAGGCATGGTTGCATAAGTGGGCACGCACAGCCAGAATAATGTTTGGGATTTTGGATCTGTCTTGCTTGTGTGCTTGTATGTGTGCTTGTGTGCGTATGCTTGTGCTTGGATGCTCAATGAAGGATGCTTGTAAATCATCAGTGATTACCTACTCCGTATCCGTACTATGGGGAAACACAACTTCATATCCAGCTATCACATTATACATGAGGCTTCATCATGAAGCATTGCCATGAAGATTTCGGATATGCACGAATATCTGATGGAATGGAAAACAATTGGAAACCATTATCTGAAATATTCACATTGAATTACATTTACTTACATTACATTCAAATAAATTCAATCCATTATAATTATTCGTATACTCCCTATGTATCATACCTATCAATTGACACCATCATCGGGCTATTTTCTTACTCAATCGGTCCAAGACATCCATCCATCCTATCCAACATCATTTGAAATCAAGTGTCGGAATTCCTTGATTCCATTCATGCAATTTGTGTATGTCTCGTCTACCTCTCCTTATGGCCTCCTCATTGCTCACTCACATTCAACCAACTCTCCACTCAAAAGTGTCTTTGCCTCAATTGACTTTATCCAGTTCTAGAACTATGATAGATATGCTTTGCTCTGCTCTGCTTCGCTTTGCCTGCTCTCCTTTCCTTTCCTTTCACAACTCAACGAGCATAATTCTCCGGCCTCGTTACAACCATACTCCACTCCCTCCTCAACCCGATTCAATTGAGTTTTGACAAATGCCCTTCCCTCTCCTAATCCCATCCTATCCCATGAATCCCCTCAAGCCTCCTCAATTTCCAATCTTCAACGTGTTTACGACCTTACAGCACTCTAACAGTACCAAGCCAACCAATTCATCTCTTGCCCATCGTTCGTACACGTGTTTGAAGCCCATTCCCAATTATAGCTACGAGCCATCTACCTACATCTACCTAAAGCCATAGCATGATTTCCCCAGCCCAATGATGCACATAAACAACTGGAGATTCGCAATTGGCATCTACAAATCATCCATGACGTACTCCACTCTTTCTCACGAACTTGTGGTGTACAACACAGTACTTACATAGCGTAGCTGAGTAGCAGTGCGTACCAGTGTGTAGCATCGCTTTTCCATTGGCGATAAATGCGCCTGCTTCGCTCGTGGTGGAGCATGCTGTACTATATCGTCTCGTCTCGTCTCGTAACGTGCAGTTAGATGTATCAAGAATCTTTATCCACACACCTCGTTCATTTTGCGTGCTCTTCTCGTTAAACGCGATCGAGAGCTCTAGAGCCATTCTTGAAGAGGCTGCTATGTACTTGAGACTGGGTACTAATCTTGAGTAGGAAGAGAAAGGGTTCTCATGAATTGATCATCCGTCCCTTGATATCTACAATACAAGGTTAAAGCACCCCCTCTTCGCCAATAAAAAAGGTCATCTGCACCACCAATTATCTGCCTTCTATCCATCACGCATCAAGAACCTATCAAGAACCTATTGCTTCCAACTTGAGTCCCAAGCGTTCCAGTAAACGCGGAGACTATCGGTTCTTCATCACATGCAAGAATTCCATCCCATCCTGTCTCACCACCCCACCATCCCATTCACATACGCAGATCATATGATAGAAAGTCATCACCCCATCACCGTGATCACCTCACCCATCACACCTTTTTCTTCAACGATGATAGTCCACCCATCACACCCTTTTCATTCTTCAAAACCCATCTACCCCAACCCCTCATCCCCATCTTCATCCCCATCCCCCTTCCCGAAAGCAACCGAAAGCCTCCGAAGCACTGAAACATCACCTCTAAATGAAACACAAAACCCAACCCAAACCACCACAAAAAGATCGATATGCATGCCGATACTGTAAGTAGCATGCACTCAATCCCGTAATAACAAGGGTAAGTCCCCCCTCCGCTGCAACCTGCACAGAAGCATAAACACGACATCAATCCATGCACGACCAGTAGATCCTGTCTACATGGCATGCATACATCAACATCGCATGTCCTCTATTCTAAGATTACACATCCGACTAACCCCAATACCCAACTCCGTAAACTCAATTTCTCGCATCATCGGCATTAGATGGATACAATAAACGTTAATTTCACATCCCATCTCCAGATGCGAAAATTCCCGGGATTGTGAATCGTAACTGCGTCATGGATCTCATGAATCTAATGATCCCATCCATAGCTTCCTTGAAAGCAAGCGTCTAAACGCAACCCTATTGCTAAACACAAAGATCATGTGTGCCAAATATCCAAGTACCTTTCCGAAATAAGCATTTCTAGGTTATATCTATCTATATCTTGGGCTCGTACATTAATTAAGCAGATAAGAAACAAAAGTGGGAGATCTCGGAAAGTTTTTTAATTTTGCAATTTCGATGCAGGTTAGCTTGGTCTTGCAAGCGAGATATGATCCTTTTAGTTCTATGGACTTATCGATAGCGATAGATTATGTAGATAGATAGAGAGATGGAGGGGTAAATTCTAATCGCATAGAGGGGTAATTGAGAATTTCTAAAAAATCCAATTGATAAGAAAATAGAAAGGTGGATGGATGGATGGATGGATGGGGATTGTTGGTCATCCAACGAGACATTCACAGAAAAGAAGTTGGAAAAATGGGAAATAGAAATTTGATTTGGAATTGGAAGTGGATTGTTTATTCGAGCTAAATACATTTCAATTATTAATTGCTGAAAATGAGGTAGTGCTCACTGGTCAAGGTGCTAAGTTTTCGATTTTTTTATGTCTGAATGATTGTTTGCAGTTTTTCGGTGGGGTTGAAGGGTGACGGTGATGCTTATAGCAAGCTTTACCCCTTCATGTTATAAAGTTGAATATCTGAACAAATCGAAATCCTTTTATTGTTATTTGATTGTTGTATTGGATTGGAAAATCATCGCTATTAGGTAAACATTTTCATATGATAATTTCTATGTTTTGACCAGCTTCCTTCGTTCATCAACGATCTATCATGAGAAGTCTCAGCTGATAGTATCCCTTTTTCTCACCCAAATAATGTACACCCCGTATATTATTAGGTACTTGATATAATTCTCAAAATATTCAATTGATTCACAATAGATAGAAGTCAATCTCTTCCAATTGTACCGAGTGGAAAATGCCATAAAATGCCATATATTACGGATAAGCCCTATTCCACCCAATCACCAAAAACCGCACATGATTTCTAAATCTACTCTCAAAATGGATACAAAGAAAGTTCTGACTATCCGTGAGAGTGATACCTAAAAGCAATCGTCATCGCAAGTCATCTAATTACTCATCGTCATTGTAGCCTAGTAGGCTACAACCACCTGAATCCCAAGAACATATTTGAAAGGCTGGGAAGCCTTAAACTAGGTCCTAGCTAAACAAGAGAATGTACTAGAACGATCATTGGATATGATAAAGAATGTCTAGGTGAGGTATAATGCTTTGTTTATGCTGAAGTGAAAGACAAAGAATGATGGTCGATGTCAATGGATGGGCTGAACAAAGCTTCGGCTTTCTTTCATGGAATAGATGGCTAAAGACAGGCCATCCTCTTTTCAATGAAGATTATCGTTGGCCTGAATTGTAATTTTATTGTGTACAATGTAATTATTTTCCTATGACGGCGGCGTGAAACGGTAAGTGGTGATGCCTGATATTTCTCAAATCTCAGAATAGTTTGGGATGAGGATCATCATCCCACTAGAACGGAAGTCTTCAAGAACCATCATTCCACTCCAGAAGTTTCTTGAGCTTCGCCTACTGTGAATTCTCATCGAAAAGACAGAAAGCTCCCTCAACGATTCCATAAATGCCTCTACACCTCCCTACTCTTCATTCGATTCAAGATTTCGATGAAGATCTATTTGGGGCTAACCATGTCATTCCGTAAGTTCAGATAAATGGCAATACAAAGAAAAGGCACAACATGCGTCTCATGTTAAAACAACATTAGAAACTCACCTCCGATCAAAATCTCAAGATTTCCAAACAATGCCGCAACAAGCCTACTTGAAAAGTATTTCTCCCCTTTCCCGTCACCCCATCTCTTCTCCTCTTCTCCCCTTCTCCCCTTCTCCCACACGTCACCCACACATCATCACATCGCCACTCACCCACCAAGCAACCAACCCCAAAAATGTGCAAATCCACCAAAACCATCTTCACCTGCACACACTACAGTTTCTGGGTGAAAAGATGTAGCCCCAAGATGCAACCCACCCACTGTCCACACTACCATCAAGAAACCATTCATTCGGATACGGTATGCGGTGGATGTAAGGAGAAGGCCGATCTGGAAAGAGATCTTTATCAGAAGATTTATCAGCTTGCGTTTCAGAGAAAAGGATGAGAGGAGAGGTGAAGAGAAGTAGTGCTAGAGAGATAGATCTAGCTAGCTAGCTAGGTGTGTTATGTTTGCTTTTGTTTGCATATTTGCATTCACATTTGTATTCACGTTTGCATTTCCACATATCACATCAAATAAAAATTAATTTTTCTTTCTTAATCTTTAGAGAACTTGTATACCCTTCCCACAATTTTCCTGTGCCTTTCCTAAAAACTTTTTTTTCCCATGCCTCTTGTGTAATCCTCCCATAATTCAAATAGTTCAAATAGCATGCACACCAAACCCACATTCCTAACATTCAACACAATATCCACACAATCTTTACCACCAAATCAGACAACCCCGTATGGGATTTGAACGTTTGCTCTCCTATGGATATTGATTCCAGTTCCAGTTCCAGTTCCAAATTTACATAAGCTATTCGCAGCCATAAGAAATACTTGCTGTAATGTAAGTCTTGGTGGGTGGTATAGGTTTGTAGTGAATGTCCTTGATAACTCATGAGTGGGCAGAGATGATACCCTGGGATTCTGATCTTTTGATCTTCTCTAAGAGGATTCTTGATGTATATTGATAGGTGCGAACAGTTGCCGGGGACGCTCGCTTTGATTAGTATGGTATAAGCTCACTGGAAGGAAAGGATTTGATTATAAAGTATCAAAGTCATTTTGATTTCGGACGGAATTCATATTTATGCGTTCCTCTATTATACTCCATTTATACCCTATCCATCACTTTAGGACCACCATTCATTAAAACCATTCATTAAAATCATTCATTAGAACATCCAAAAGAACATCCAGAAGAACCATCCAGAAGAACCATCCAGAAGAACCATCCAGAAGAACTATCCAGAAGAACCATCCAGAAGAACCATCCAGAAGAACCATCCATTATAACCATCCATTAGAACCATCCACTAGAACCATTCATTAGATATTATCATACCACATTAAAACCCACCAATTAAGCCATTCCCTCCCCAGAATTAACAAGACCCTCCCTTCTCGCTTCATTAATAGCCTTCAACTTCGCGGTTCCTACACCTGCAACACCGCCCTGTTGATCTTTGCCCAACCACGGTTTGACTGCATCTCCCAGCATACTTCCGGATAAGAAATATACGAACAGTCCCAGGATGATCAACACAAATGCAATTGGATACAAGTAGTAAATAGTATATCCGAAAACGTTGATGCCGATAACAACACCCCAGAAATTAGCCGTGAGAAGCGAGATATCAAAGAATGCCGCAGAGGCCATTCGCAAAATGATAGGAGCGAGTGTATAGAACAGAAAAAGAGCGAGTGTGTATCCAACAATATAGCCTCCGACCTCGCCGTCCCAGACGGCGGTTTCGAATGAGTGGCGATCGAATATGGCGGCCGTGATACCATTGATGATGATGCCAAAAAGACCAAGCATGCCTAGGACTTCGTACATGGGACGTTTGGAAACGAACCATTCTTCAAAAACGTTTGAGAGACCGTACAGGGTAGCGCCAGCTAATGCAAAAAGGTCACCTTTCAACATGGTGGGCGGGTTACCTCCATTGGAACCAGTAATGTGATCAGATGCGAGGAGGATACCCATTCCACCACAACAGACTAGAATGGAAATGACTTGAAGCCACTTGTATCGAACACCGAGGAAACAGAACGAGACGACTACAACGCAAACGATGGACCAAAAATTAATAAGTTGGGCGCTTAAGACATTAGCTGTAAAATGTTAGTAATCGTCTCTGCAAAAGACTCAAAAGAATACATACTCCATCGATAAGCCAACACAGTGAAATAATTTCCCTCGACATCCATAAAAGACAAAATGACATATTTCCAGCCATCTACCCAAAGGAGCTTCAAGTAATTCCTCCATCCATACTTGTGAATAGTATACGTCGTGTAGATGGCGCACAAAAGAACATAATTGAAAAGAGTTTGAAAAGCTGGAATTGAAGTGCCTTTATTTGCAAGGAGTGTAGTGAAAGTATTGGTAGCCGTAATACATAGGGAAAGAATTTGTCTGTAAAACGGAAACGTTAGATTCGATATTTATGTAGAAATGAATAATGCATCGAAATTGCTTAAAACAAGAAGAGGCATGAAAAGTCTTGTTCAGGGCAATGGTGTTAGTTGTCTCATGGCTTGGTCTCCCAATTTCTGAAGTAGCAAATACTTTATAAGTTGCAAAACATCATGTAGACTTCCCATCATCTCAACAGCGAAAATAAACATACCCAAGAATCAAGACCATCCAAAAGTCCCGTGTAAGCAAATATGCCCACCATGCTTTCTTTTTGGACTCCAAATTTTCAATGGCGTGCTCCAATATCTCTCCATCTATCTGATCTCCAGTGGCTCGATCATCAGCCATTTCAAAGCTTCCGCTGCCGGCTGCAGCCGTGCCATCACTCGATTTTGTATGCCTCTCTCCTCCCAAAGAATTAATATTCGTCTCCACCCCGGTAGCTTTCGCACCGTCATCCATTTTGGAACTCATGTTGTCTCTCCCTAATCTTTCCGCACTGAAATCCAATTGACCCTGGCCTTCGTCTTGATATACAGAATTGACGTCCGAGTTTGAGTCTGAATAGAAGGTGTCTTCTAGGAGCCCAATTCTCGATTCCGAATCCACGATTAGTGCTGAGGATTTTTTCCTGTAGTTCAACTAAAGGTAGTTTTGGTAGTAATGATGTCGATCGAACGTACTAGGCGGTGGATTGTCGCAAATGATCTAGGGAATCGAAATAAATCAACAAGTCCTTCTACCCTTCCACAGTTGTAAACTGTGAGCGCAAAGACTTCAAGTCGCTCACTATAAGAATTAAGCTATCTGGTTCATGAATGGGAAAAGCCCATGGAAAAAAGATTGAGTGTAGAGCACAAAATGGAAAAGAAAATCTTTAATGGGATTTTAGATGCCTTTAACTCTTTTGGACAACGCCTCCAGTTATTTAGTAGTGGGGCAAAGTGGATCCCATTTAGATCGTGAAAAGATAAGTTAGTTTATGATTGGACCAATGGATGCGATAGCTAGGATATCCCTCCGAACCGAAGAGCGGGACGATGTCAGCCTGGATTTGGGTCGGAGGATCCCGATGAAGAAATAGAAAAGTTTTTTGGATGGTAGATTGTGTCGATGGATTGGACATGTTGGTGGAGATATTGAAGAGGCAAACGCGGACTGTGGAAAAATGTCTGACACATGGGGATTGAGTAAGTACTACGTGGTATTTCTGATATGCGAAAATACAATATGTACGCAATTTTTTTTTACAGCTCCATAAACGCCATCAAGCCATGCTTCGTCTCATTCGTGAAATACAATTTGGTTTTGAAAGATAAGTGTATTATCTCCCTTAACCCAAGAACTCCTTCAATGGTCCACCGACATGCTCCACATCCAATAAGAATGTATCGTGTCCAAACTGGCTGACATCTTCCCCAAGTTCGACGTGACTTACTTTGGTATTTCCCGCTTTTCTTAGCGTCTCGGCAACCTCTCTTTGCTGCCATGCCGGGAACAGGATATCGCTAGAAACACCCATAACCAGAGTAGGATGATCTTTCATAGCTTTCATTCCGGAAACCAAGTCCGCAGGAGGTCCTGGAGACGGCTCAATAGGGGCATTAATATCTGTTGACCCATTTTCTTCTGGTTGTTCCTTGTATGGGCTATCGGGAAGGGTAAGGCTGCATGCTGCATCTCCAAGAGAAGATGCAGCTTCAGATCCAGTTTTCATACGTGCTAAATGGTCTGTCCTCCTTGATGAAGTCGCAAGTTGATTTTTCGCACCAAGGTCAAAGAGATCCATAGCCTTGCTAACATACAGAAGACTATTTGGATCGTACTCCAAACAAAACTTTTCGCCGGCGTGATCGAGATATGTCTCGATGAGAAAGTCGGGACACAAGGCAGGTGGCTTGCTTGGATCAGCTCTTCGTCGACCAAATCTTAACTCCCATTCAGGCCCCGAACGGTATGTTACGGTGGCAATCTCACGCGCAAGTTTCATACCTGCGTGAGGAGGAATATGGTCATAGTAAAATCCACGGTTCCAATTCTTATCCATCATCAACACTTGCCGCTGAGTATGGCGCATTGCAATGCTATAGGGATGGCTCCTCGCACATCCTGAGATACTGGCCACTCGACCAACTCGTTCGGGAAACAGAACTGCGGCAGCTAACGACTGCATACCACCCATACTCGATCCAACACTCGCATATAGTTTTGTAACTCCGAGTCCGTCAAGTAATCTAAATTGTGCCCGCACCATGTCTTCCATGGTAAGAATTGGAAATCTCGTCGCATATCGCTTTCCATCGGCAGGGTCAATTGTCGAGGGTCCCGTTGAACCATAACATCCTCCAATAACGTTCGTGCATATAATATGGTATTTATTCGTATCAAGGCTTTTATCCGGACCTATAAACTTTTCCCACCACCCCGGCTTAGGATTCGCTTCTGTTGAATGTGCATGTGAAGATGCAGATAATCCAGTATGCAGTAAAATGACGTTCGATTTGTCTGCGTTCATTTCACCCCATGATTCATAAGCAATATCGAATTCTCGCAGTACTCCTCCCCAATCAAGTAATAAAGGTTCATCGCAGTGGTATTTGAGAGTTGCTCCGCTAGTATAAGATGGCTCTGGACCACTTGAAAGGGAACGAGCTTCCAAGGTTGCAGACTTGGTTTCCAGGGCATCTAGACAAGGGAATGCCATTGCGGGGTTAGAAGCCTTTGCCAATGATGCCGCGGAAGCATTGTGCGAGCCAGATTCATGATATGATCTCGAGAAGGTTTGCGACGACTTGTGAAGAGGGGTGGTAGTTTTGAAGGACGATTGTCTTGACCAAGATCTTGGTATAGCTTTTGTGTATTTTGCATTTGTTCTTGCAGCTGCGGCAAGAGTTCTAGAGGCGTTCATCTTCGAAGGTTTGCAGGTAAAAAGGAAATCATTCTACAAATACAAATGAAGTCTGAGAAATCAACTTATATTCTGCAATTAATCTATATTTTGTTTTGTCAGCGAATTCGGTCACCACAAATGCCCGACTACCGTGTTACGAGGTTTGCCGTCTAGATCACGTGGAAGTGCTCTAGGCTCTTGAGGTAGTTTATAACTAGGCGTCAAGCAGGGACTTAAAGTAATGACAATAATGCAATTCGTAACTAATAGTAGAGTATATTAAATGATTGATCTTGAGCACGAAGCTCTACAAATGAAACCCTATCCCTTATATAGAACTTCATATTCTACTATATTCTTTTGGATCTCTTGGATCTACTAGATCTAGAATTTAATTATCTAGATCCCCTAGATCCTCTAGATCCCTTAGATTCATCATGTGATTTCAATCAGAACATATGTCTGTGCTTGCTGAAGGTGGGGAGACTCTACGAACCGATTATGTGACGGAAAAGTCGTAAACGGAGTCAATTCAATCACTTAGAATCTAAAACTAAAGAACTAAGAAGATTCTAAGTAAGAAGGTCTTTATATACAGGGCTAGTGCACGTGAGCCACTAGTGGGTAACAACCGTCACGTAACAGATTACCATACAATTTTGTATGCGAATCGGTTTGCTTTTCCACGGGGTCTGAGCTCATATAGACAGGTTGACTGTTACTACGTAACATTTAAAAGGTTTTTATTTTTTAAAAAAAATTATAATAAATATATTTTCAATTTTATAAAAAAAAACTTACTATAAATTAATTATCATTATTATTGTTATATATAATTTTACTTATATCAAACTTTATTTAAAAAAGTTTTTATAATTTGATCTTACTTTCGTAGATAAGTGTCACGATTCACCATTAGGTTTGATGGTGTTACGATGGTAGCAAACTGATTAATTAGGAGAACTTAGGTCTTGTGCAAACACGATCAGATTTCATCGAATTAGTATGTGATTGTTACGAGGTTTGCCGTCTAGATCACGTGGAAGTGCTCTAGGCTCTCGAGGTGGTTTATAACTAGGCGTCAAGCAGGGACTTAAGTAATGACAATAATGAAATGCAATTCGTAACTAATAGTAGGATATACTAAATGATTGATCTTGAGCACGAAGCTCTATACAAAGGAAATCCATCTTGATTATATAGACCATCGTGGCATGCGTCCCAGTGCTCCCAGTTGTCCCAGTTGTACTGGGACAGCTGAGCCTACTGGGATCCTCATATCACATGATGCTAATCACGTGATGTTAGGTATGTGAGATCCGTCGTAACAGTGATCTTGGTCACCTTAAGATCGTATGCGCACGCACCATCAGAAATCACATGATAAGGAACCCTGAGGAGCCAGAAAGCTCCTGGGGGTGTCACGAACCACGTCTAGTATTATCCTAGGATGAGAATCGTCCCAGGATTAGTGTCCTGAGGCCAATATGAGATCACGTGATGTGATAGCTCTGCTAGCCAGCTAGCACAGCTAGCATTCAGAGAAACGTTTAGTATATAGTTAGAGTAGTTTCATAGTTTAGGAGCTTCGTGCTCAACTTAGTTATCAATTAGTTTACCTACATTCTACTTGATCTAGTAACGACTTTATTTCCAAGTGAATACCAGTGATAAAGCCTTAACCCATAACTACCAACCAGACGAAACCTTAGGCAGCCGCTGCCTCCAGTACAGTATCGTTACAACGCCGTCTAGTGCTCTTCTCTTAGTTGTCGAAGGACCTTATATTAGAAGATTTAATTGGTCAAATTAAGGTTTCCCCACGAAATCTAACCCCCATTAGAAAAGAGCTTATGCCGCGCCGCCTAGACGCATTATTACTTCTTCGCTTCTTCATTTAGTGGACGCCCCGTCCCTTGATATACGTCATGGAAGGCAACACTAACTATACACCCTACTAAGTATTTCCTTTAAATAATCCAGCTTCCCAACCAAAAATCAAAGAAACATGCTACAATTTGGGAAACACTTCTACAATACCATTTCCAACATCATGTCATCAACCTATGAAAACACAGAACCAGAGTCCTCTCTCCCCCTCAGCATGCAAATTTTCGATGCTGATAGATATCTGCCATCTTTAGAAGATGTGTTCGAACTTAAGGAAATCCTCTTCAACGCACCTAAAGAAAGACGATTACCGTTAGAAATCATCGAAAGCATAATTGATCTCGCCGAATATTGGCCTCATACAACAACATCAGGTTTTGCCATTCCCGGTTCTCAAGATAACAGACTCCTTGTCAATACTAGAAAAGAAATCACCGTTAGATCAGGTGCTCGAACAGAAAATCAATTTCTTTTACGCTCTCTTCCCATCGGCTACTTCTCATCTCAAGAAAATAAGCACGATCTACCTTTCCAAAAACGTTTGGAAGACGAGACAGAATTCACCAAAGTCGAACCCAAGCCTTGGCTTTGGCCATCGGATCGGCAAATTCCACAAGATGCCACGGAGGAAGTTATAAAGCAATGGGCAGAGGTTTCACCTTGTCGAAGCCAATTCCCTTGCAAGAAAATTATATTTCGAATTAGAAGTCATGATCAAGGATGGGGAGGTGCATCCGCAGATAGAGGAACATACAGAGGATCATTCACATGGTTTGACGTTGGCTTGGAGCGAACATATGCTACGAGAGAAGGTATTTCAGCACAACCCATCAAGATTAGCAGTTGCCATAAACCTAGTCTTAAAGATCTAACAACCAACAGAACACTTTGTTAAAGACCCACACTTCCGACCATGCGACTACAAACAAGAATCGTCCAATGAGATAGTATGCGGTGTAAGGACGATAATCCCAGAAGTAGTCCAACCCAACCCAGATGATGTTCCCGAGAATCACAGAGATTCCAGCGCAACGCATCCAGCTACGTTCAAGCATAAACTCAACCCTGACACCAAAGCCCTCCAGAAAAACAAAACCGCTACAGCAACACCAGAAAGTCATGTAATCACATGGAGATTCGATGACAATATCCATCCAGAAAGTCCTGAAGCCGATAAATTAGAAGAGCAAGGTAGAGGACGGGAAACTGGAAACGGCGAGTTTGTTCGTAATCTGCGAATTGGTGACGTAGTGACGCTCTGGGCAAAAGCGAGGTATCCAGGATGGTCTAACACCATCCAGGATGTGAGTATGGAGGTCTATTATGCAATCTGAGGCTGCGTAGTCGCTGAGAGCTACGTCGAGTCGTCGACACATACGTTTTAGAACTTTTAGCAGCTGGGTTATCTGCTAATTATGAAGGATGAGGCGTTCGGGTCAAACTTTTGGCAATATCTGGATTGGGGGAGTTAAATCGAAAGAATCAAATTGAAGAAGCCCTGTTAGTTCAACATAGATTCAACAAAAACATTATAAAAATTCATATATTGAGATCACAGTCAGAAATAATATGATATGATATATCCAGCAAAGCTGGTATGAATTCATTCTGAAAGAGGTAAATTGTTACACAGGACACGGAGTCACTAACCCATGATATTGATAATCAGGCATATGCAGAAGTCTATATATCCTGCAAATTTCTAAGCCTACCTGACTTAAAGTGTTCCTGGTTCCCCTTGAAAGATACACCATTCATCTTTCTGAATTCTTATCCTGAACACTGATTTGTGGTCGAACAATGACACATCCATGATCTAGCTGAAACCCTGCCAAGACATATACATAACAGTTTGCGAAGAATTTTCATTTATGCATGCCTATACACTTTTAATTTTATCATACAAATAATCGCCGGGTCCTAATTGGCTTCATCACTGAACTTTCTTTCCACTCTTCGTTAACTTCAATGGTACAGGCTTGCTCCATAACCAAAGAGCAACGAATGCAACCCATCCTGTAACTGTGGCGCCGATTCCGGCAATCCATGGCCAGGCATTGCTGATAGCCCAACTCCTAGTATACTCGTCGTGGGCAAAATGTCTGACCGTGACGGTGTTCTTTTGTTCGATGCTGGTGAGGAATGGTCGCTTGTAGTTGACCATAAAGTTAAAGATACCATGTTGATCTGGGAGCTTGAAGCTCGCCGTGTAGGTTTGTGAATCGGAAGTGGTAGTGGATGGTTCAAGTATAAGACGATGGAAAGGCGAAAGCATAGAAAATTCGAGTTGCAGGGAGTCTCCGGATGGCGGGGTAAATGGAACCCACTTGTCCCATGAGTACTCGGAAAGCTCGATTTCGTATGTCTGTTAAATTGTAAGCGATGTTTCAATAGTGGAACCGCTTGACTTACCACATCGTTTTTAATTCTGTAGATCTTTGGGTTGGTGTCACTGCTCTTCACTCCATTCTCATGAAGATAGTGCTTGATGCTTCCAACCTTGAGAACCCCGATTTCCTTGAAAGTCCAGCCGGTGACTTCTTTCGAGAATTCTTGATTTGAAGTCTTAATCTCCTTGGCATCAGATCCAACACCACCCATCCCAATGCTGCGCTTGACCTTAGCATCAAACCATGTGTCCTCGAGGAGCTCCGATGATCCAATCACTGTAAATCTAGCATTGTTTCTAGCCTGCATGGTGGTAATAAGTGATAATTGTTGTCCAACCGCAAATGGGTCTTCCACACCCTCGATATCCTCCTTCGCGTTATACGAGTATGCGGTTCTAGAAGCTCGGAGGAGAGGTGTCAATAATGGACTGGTGTTCCCCAAAGTTTGTCCAACACCTCTTGGGAAAGCAATAACTTCCCCGCCTTTGCCATCTCCACGGAAGTAGTTTTTAACATCTGGTCTGACAGCGTCTGGTCGTGGCAGAAGAACAACATCATGTTTCTCTGCGGCACTCAAAGTATCATAGTTGAAGTGGTCAACAACTAGAGAAGTGCGGTCTGTTGGAAGGTGGATGTCGAGCTCCAAGAGTAGCGATACAAGGGCAGTGGGGGTAGGGTGAGATGATGAAAGAGTTAACAAGATATTTCCGCCCTTGTTGATGAACTCGAGGAGAAGTTTAGGTGTCAATGCTGGTCCCAGACCTGCCATGTGTTAGCTGAATTCATTCCACTAATGTCAGGATTTGTACCTTTCGACTTGGATGGTAAGACGAGTAGATGGTCGAAGGATCGTTCCCCCAATTCGAAAAGTCCTAGTTTCTCATTTTTTGGTGACTCGAAAGTTAATTCATATCCCCGTGCTGTGTGCGTATGTAAATCAGTATAATAGACCTTACAATTGTAAATCAATGTCAAAAACAGCTACATACCTTCAAGATCCCCAAAGTACTTCGTGTATTTCGATTTCTCTGACAATTCCTCCAATACAACTAACAATTTGCCTCCGGCAGAACTCAAAGCTGAGACAGCACTGAGCAGTCCCAGTAGTAGAAAAGAAAGAATCCACCTCATTATTTCGTTGTGGTTTACTTCAATATTCTTTCTCTCGAAGTTGTGAATTGCGCGGCTTGAAGCTTTAGGAAACGTATGCAATGCCAAGAGTTTCCCGCGGCTACAGGGGGGTCGATTAGTGTGGGATAGCTACACGTGATGCTACTTCAAACTCGCGACATCAACGACCAAATTCCAGCCTCGAGCGATTTTAAATCCCCGCAGAAGGATCCAGCAATTCAAAATTCTTGTGAGTTGGCTGTCATTTGACCGGCAGAATAAGATCTTACATGTTTTAGAAATATGCTAACAATCATAGACAAAATGTCGTCCACAATACCACGATTCTTCTCCCAACCTTTCCGGTACATACGATGGGCAGCCATTGAAAAGCCCGCTATCTTCTTCTCCATAGCCATTGGAAGTATTGGACCAGTCCTCGTCCTCACAGTTCCAAAGATCCGCCATAGGCTCGGGGATGGACCAAGACCACAGATTCCTTTGACATATCCAAGTACGTTTTTGCATAAATTGCTCTATGAAAGCTATTGATACTCGCAATTACTGACGAATATACCTTGCGCAGTCCCAAATGGACCAAGAAAATCCTTGAGTGGTTACGATGATGAGTAAATATTGTATTGGGGTTAGGGGGGTTGCTGGACGAATCGATCGTGTTTGTAAATAGGAATGGCGTCAATGAATCGAGGGAATACCTTTACAAATAATATTGTAGCCGTAACGCTTACAAGCACAATGACATGGTTACTAGCTTCGATCTGTGAAAATTTTAAGTGGAAGTTCATGGCAGGATCGCATTTTTATGGACACTTCTTCCAGTGGAAGACTAGAGCTTGATCACTTCTCTCTGGCAAGTGACCGCCGTCAAGACTTGGTATTTTCTCTTCAACGGCTCTGGATGGCTCAAAGTATTTTGCAAAACCTCAGTAATTAATTCATAGACATTGTGGAGATCCTAGGCTATCGGCTGTAGGCCCAACATAGGCAAAATTATAAGCAAGTGCATTCCTTGAAATTATACTGTTGTTCACATTTTACTACGTGTTTGCTCAGCAACCCGGTATCCATCCACCCACCCTGGCTTTGCTGGCTACTACTCTGATTGTTAGTACAAAAATAATTGTGTCAGTTCATGAAAATACCCTGCGCCTTCAACATTAGCAATGCGAATACACGGAACATCCTCTGCATAGCCATGCACGATGGAAAATGCACGAGTGAAACACGAGTCATTTTCCCTTCTACTCAATTGGACCATCTATCACAATCCTAATCCATCATCATTCCCCGTGGTTCTTGTAATGCTATAACGGGATTTGTCCGCATGAGAAATCTCTTCTCATGAGTGTTCAATGTTGGTGAAGCAAAACCTAAACCTCCTCTAGAATCTGCGTGTTCTCTCGGCATGGGTCGACTTGGAGGTTATCATTGGTTCTAACAGGCTCTATTCTCACCGAGTTATTTATGTTGTGATTACCAGACCGGATTTCCTAACCCCTAAACCGTGAGGCCCAAAGGTCGGAGAACCTTCGTTGACTAACACGGCGCGGCCAATTTGATGTCATACAGTAAAATACTCACTCAACCCCTTGAATCCGGCTGGAATGTACTGACCTGCAAGATTTGGTAAACCTCATTGATCACTACTCATTATTCGGAAAGTTACTAGCTTTTAATATAACTAGAGATCCAAAGATTCCAGTTTCTGGGTTGCAAACAACAAGCTCTATATAGCGGACTTCACCATGAAGTATAGATGGGGAGTGTTGGAGTGGTTTTATGGCGAGGTAAAATTTCAACAGCCAAGCTCTTCCATTATTAATCGAGGGAGATATGTCTTGTAGGATTTCGAGTTTACCATTCTTGACGATCTAGATTATTCAATGCTAAAAACCCAATCTCGAGACATCAGCGCTTGTAGCCTTTCCTTGTATCATCTCCGCCATTACTTTGCCAGTACCCAAACTCATACTAATGCCCCAAGGACCATGTCCAGCCGCAAGCCAAACACCGCCATCTCCAGCACTCCTAGTCTCTATTCCACCTAAGTCACTATCGGCTATCCTCGCCAGAATTGGCGTTCCCCTATTCGTAACAGGTCGAAAGCATAAGCCTTTTCTGACAACTTCCATTTCAATATTTTCGTCAAGGCCAAACATTGTTTTGGCAGTCTTCTCTAACCTCTGCACAACATGCTCTTGGATCTTGGACTCTGTTGCAAGTCCTGGTAATGGTATAATCGAAGAGTTCAAGCCTGCAACATAAATCTCACCACCCTTCCTAGAGAACACCTCAGGAGAATATCCATCCTCATCACTAGCAAAGACGGCATGGCATTCCTTCTCCTCCAGCTGATTATTCCAGCTCGGTGTTCTTACCACCAAGGAATGACCAGCTAGACTAGAGACGGGTAACTTTAACTTTGACCCCGGGAACAAGGTAGAAAATACCTCTGGCGACCAAGCACCAGCCGCTATTAGAATTTTCGTGCACGGAATATCAGACTCGATACTTGTGGAGGTGTTCAAAATACGTATACTAGATATTTCGGATCTCATATCTTGATGAACGGATAAGGCTTTTGCAGGGTGATGAAGTTGTACACCGCGGGCGAGACAAGTGCTGAGAAGAAATTGACATAGTTTGAGAGGGTCACTTGATTTGTTAATGTGATTTCGGATGAATGAGAGAAGGTTTTAGACTAACTCACACTTGAGCTGTACTTCCATCTTCACTGATGACTTCTAACTCATCACCTTCATTTCTTTTCAACCATTTGGGTCCCTCTAGCCCAGTAGCACCTATAATCTCATCTACACTAACACCATCATTACCACTAGCAGTCTCCGCTCTACTTCCACCCCCTCTCAACCAATCATCTCCTCTAACCCCCCTCTTCCCAGTCTTCCTCAAATTTTCCGCAGCAACATGACTCACATAACCCATACTTTTACTCACACTATACCCCCATTTTTCACCACCAGCATGTTCTTCCGCGAGCTTCTTATGTTCTTCGAAACTTAAGGAACCCAGATCAGATGATTCCTCGGCAAACCAATCTCGAGAAAGAAAACCACCTGCGTAGCCAGAAGCAGAAGAGAAAAGAATGGGTGATGGATCTACGAGGTGGATGGTTGAGGGGTCATTGGAGAGAGAGAGATAGTAGGCGGTTGAGACACCGATAATACCGGTGCCGAGAATTACGGTGTTGGGCATTATAAAGAATTTAGAGGAGGACTTCAAGAGAGGAATGTCCACGGGAAACTTTTACTGGAATGGATTGGGAAGTGCTCTGGTGCTGCAAGCTTCATGCCGACGCCCTTACGCTCTGCCCGCATGTGATATGACGTAATGGTCCAATGGTCCAATAGAAAATGAAATAATTTACATTTTAAATATCATATCTAAAAAGTTAAATAAGGCCAAAAAAGCTATTCATTATGTGTATATAGAACAGTTGTGTATATCCCGAATAGAGAACATATTGCTATCTCCTGCTTACCAGAAGCAGTCATAAGAAGCCATCCAGCAAACAAAAGATCTCCAATCGCCCCACCAAAACACATTATATCAACTCAATCACGCTTTTCTCCCCACTCATACATACATTCAGATAGTCACCACGTACAACGATTCCATTTGACTTATCCTCTCGCATTTTCAAATTATACAACAATGTCACCTCGAACAATAATTGTTACCGGTGCAAGCCGTGGAATCGGTCTTGCTATTGCTCAGAAACTTCTGAGGGAAAAACATAATGTGGTGCTTGTAGCTAGGACTGCAGAACCCATGGAAGACTTGAAGAAACAGTATCCAGAGCAGGTTGAAGTTGTTGTTGGGGATTTAAGTGATTTTAAGGTATGTTGTCAAGGGAAACGTTTGGTTTCAAGGATTTGTGTGGTTTAGAGAGTATAGCTAGAGACGCAGGTAGCCGATTCCATCTACAGGATCAAGGGTGTTTGGAAGTTCCCACCTCTTGATCAAGGGCTGCATCACAGATATATCTAACTATCAAGTTTCACTGTTCTACTTCTTGCGTACAATTCAATGAACAAAGCTGGACCTTTCAACTAATCAAATCCCCCATTACCAGATAGGACCACAAGCCGTCGAAACCACCATCAAACGGTTTTCCAAACTCGACAGTCTAATCATCAACCACGGGATTCTATCTCCAGTAAAACGCATAGCCGACAGCACTCCCGAAGAATGGCGTACCCTCTTTGACGTCAATTTTTTCTCTGCCCTGGCATTTGTTCGTCTCCTACTCCCATACCACGTGAACATAAACATGAGAACTAACCCCAAATCTAGATAACTCCATCAATTCCTCATCTCCGCACCACCCAAGGCACCATCTTACTCACCTCCTCCGGAGCTGCCGTCTCCGCCTATTCCACATGGGGACCCTACGGCTCCTCCAAAGCCGCTCTAAACCATCTCGCCCAGACGCTTTCAGCCGAAGAACCACTGATCACCACCCTGGCCATCCGACCAGGAGTCGTCGACACCGACATGCAAAAAGAGGCGCGCTTCCATAGTACCAGCGGAGTAATGGACAAAAAAGATGCAGATAAATTCATCCAATTGCACGAAGGTCGGAAATTATTGAAACCAGAGCAGCCTGGAGATGTCATGGCAGGATTAGCTGTTGACGAGAAGTTGAGGGAAGAAGGATTGCGTGGGAAATTTCTGAGGTGAGTGATTCTAATTTTAAAAATGGGAGTGAGGATGGGAAAACTAATGGACTATGAATAGTTGGGATGATAAGTTATTAGAGAAGTATCGAGATTAGTTTCCGGATTCATATATGAATGAAACATTTGAGGGGAAAAGACAGCGACAAAGGATGATTATGGAGAAGCTTTTCTCCTCATAAAAGACTAAACAGAATAATGCATGGCCGTAGACCAATCACAAAGCACCGGCAAACACAACCTTCACTTTTAGTCAAAATCATAAACCAATAACATGCTAATCTTTTCCATTGGAAAGTTTTTGTTGCATATCTCAAATAATTAATTTTCGTGATTTTGCTGACTTCAATTGAAAAGCCAAAATGCGGATTTTCGTCTCGAGCCCAACTAGGGTAAGGTCGTGAGTTCTACTCCAACATATCACTCTATCTTTACAAGAGCCACGCCCTGATCAATCCGAGTCAGATCCATCGATATGGAACAAATGTATATGATTACATCTAGCCAGTCCTCCGGGTATCATGCAAAAAGGCACTTAGTCTTCCTCGTTCAAACATCTCCCCTTTCGCCTCTCGACCACCATTATCACCTATTCTAGTACATTGATTTGGCTGATGCCAGGATAGACTCTCTGGCTGATTATGCCACTTACGCCATGCTGGAAAAGCAAAGCTTACACTTAGGACGAAGCTCCTGGTTTAGGACCATTCTGTGCGCTGCCACCTCGTTTCATTAGACCGGCGAAGAAAGATGCTAATGCTTCGTTCTGAACCTTTCCATCTGCTGATGGGTCGATACGTGCGCCTGGTGTCGTTGCCTCTGGTGAAGAATATGCTTGTCGCTCCTATACCTTGTTAGTTTTTTTTTGCCCAAAGCGTTCCTTATTGAGATAAATACCCGTAATCTTTGCAACATATCATCGGCATCGACCTGAATACCTCCCATATTGAACTGCACCGGTCCAATATGTTCACTAACCCTCCCTTCATCAGATGTCTTCTCCTCGCCATTGCCATACTCACTCGACACCTTGCGGCCATTAACCAAACGACTACTATCCACGCTCGAGACATCTGGTCCTTGACTAATTTTATGTAGGATTTCGACTTGCGAAGCTAGGAAGCTTTGAGCATCAAGGCTGGATACCTCTAGTTTAAGACCTTGTGATTCTGCAGATGTCGCTTGCAAGGCATCGAGACTGGGATCCCGGATAACTTCTTCATATGCTGAGACCGCGCTCTCAGCAACAGATTCTGGTGGTTGTGAGTGTGTACCATCATCACTGCTTGAATCTTCTTCAATGTCAAATGACCAGCCTTTGTTCACTTCCTCCACGTTGAAACCTTCGCGCAATACTCGTATTTTACCCCAGGAGTCCCAATTGGGTGGCACGACTACCTTGTCGCGATCAATGAGATTGTGCCTAATAGGTTGCTTTTTGAGGAGAGAGTGTATGCCGAGAGACGAGTGTATTAAACCTTGCAGTGGACTAATAACCCCAGGTGTTGTGTATATGAGGGACGCCCCATCTGACGTAGTTAGCATGTGTGTGTGAATGTAGTAAAGGTCAAACTCACGCTTGAGGAGGGTTGTGCGCAAAAACTGCAGAACGAAGTCAAATTCATCTTCCCTCCAGGAACGTTCTTTCTCCAGCCTTTCGATTTTGTCAGACTAGACACCTGTTAACAGAGCACATATATGCGCATACACAATAGGACTTACATTTTGACAAACCACACATAGCGGTAAACCCAAGGCTTCTTCCCATTCTCCGGGACCCAAAGGCAGGCTAACATCTCCCTCAGTAGCAGTACTTCCCCCACCATCCAAGCTACTCCCACCGCGCCCTCTATCCCTCCAACTAATCATAACCTCCTCCATTTTCTCTTTGCAATCTTCATCCAGAGATATCAGTAACGGCCGCAGGAGACGTATCCAGTCCCGCAGTTCCCTCAGCCAGAACCATGGTTGCGACCAGTCTAGTAGTATGACAATAAGTGTATTTGGGATCGTTTGTGGTGTGAGAAGTGGCTGCATTAGAGGTGTGAAGGAGGGCGAAGGATCCGCAAGTAAATATAAAGATAATCGAGCCAAGATATCTAGGTAATGTTAGATTTTCAATTGAAGGGTTAGTTCTATTGAGCTGAAGCATACCTTCATGATCTGCATCCAAAACATCATGATATGTGTACCCCAGAGCAAAGTTGTTTGCAATAGGAGGTTGTTTGCTACTCTGTCTATCCTGTGATTTCCTAGTCTCATCCACCGACAAAGCCTCTAAAAATTCTTTCTGTGAATCCGCGGTCCCTCCTACTTCACATTAGTATTTCCCCTCGTTGGCACATCGGAATGCTGCTGCGGTACCTAGCACAAGGATATTCTTCTCCGGTAATCTTTTCCCACTAGCTACTCCATCCAACATAGATGACCACATATCCTTCTTCTCCTCATCATCCGTTGATGTCGTAGCTTGCGTATACGTCGATGCCCTATTGTTCGCCATATTCGCTGCCTTGAAAGGGTTATTTACTTCCTTTCCCCTATATTGCACTCGTAACCATGCAGTTTGTAGGTCAATCTTTCAAACCTGAGTTTGTTTGTTGGTTCTTCCCGGCCCAAAAATTTCCCATCCGATATTTCGAGCAAAGGATCGAAGAGTTTCGTATTTATCGCATTGGTTGATCTGGAGTTCCTCAAGTTCTGTGGTTTGGGGAAGCTTCATAAAGTTGTGAACGGGAATCAATGCATTGAACACGCGAGGCAGGGGCCAAACCTTTTAATTTTGACAGCCTTGTCTCTGTGTTTCCGCCTCACCATAAATGTTCATTCTCTACATACAACAAAATGAATAGCATTCGTCAGATTCAAGAGCTTAATAGACGTGAATTGGAAAATGGAGTGTAAGTCGCATTCATTTTTCTGAATCACATCGAGATAAAGTATATTTACTAACTGATCCCTAGCCCTCCATCTGCATCATGGCACACAGACTATCGCGATACAGCTTATATTTATATCGGCGGACTCCCTTTTGAGCTTTCCGAAGGCGATGTCTTAACTATATTCTCACAATATGGCGAACCTACATACATCAATTTGGTGCGGGACAAAGAGACCGGAAAATCCAAAGGTTTTGCTTTTTTGAAATATGAGGACCAGAGGAGCACGGATTTAGCTGTCGATAATTTAGGAGGCGCAGTAATTGCTGGGAGGACTTTGAAGGTAGATCATACGAGATATAAGAGGAAGGAGGGAGAAGAGGATACTGGGATGGATCTGAATGGAGGTTTAGATGATGAAGGGGACGAGCGGCGGAAGAGAAGAAGGACCAGTGCGGAGAGTGAGGGCAGTGAGGATGAAGAAGAGCAGAGGCCGATGCTTAAAGAGGAGAGGGAATTGGCGCTTTTAATTAGAGATCATGACGAGGATGATCCGATGAAGGCATTCTTAATTGAGGAGAAAAAGGAAGAGGTCGCGAAGGCACTGGGGAGGGCGAAAGAGAGAAGTAAACCCGACAAGTCGGAAAAAAGCAGAAAGCATAGACATCACCATAGGTCTAGATACATTAAGGATGAGGAAGATTTGGATGGTAGTCATCGATCTCGGCATAGATCACATGGTCACGATAGAGAGCGGGATCGAGATCGCGAGTCCAGGAAGAGATACCCAGAAGATAATAGAGATAGGAGATCGCGGCGAGAATGGTCACCAAGTGAGAATGAGGCTGATAAACACGTTTCTCGATCACGGAAAGATAGGGATAGAGATGCGACGAGGCATCGTGATTACGAACGAGATGATAGGGACAAGGATAGGACTAGCGAGCGACGCGACAGGAGAAGAGATGATTCAAGGGAGAACAGACATGATACACGGCGGCAGTATTAATGAAGTATAGAAAGAAGGCCTTATTAGTATTGACTTATTAACAATTCTATGATCCAGTTGGTGGTATATGCAAGCTCTCGTGCATAAATAAGCCTCAAATCCATGCGCAATGTTCACCCATACACGACGTACCCTAATAACTCCGATTATGATGGTATCCTGACTCCTTACCGTGCCGTGATATATATGCATTAAAAGGAAAGTGAATCTACTCGACTCTCAGAACCCTCTTCCAGCCATCCCTTATGCAGTAACGCTTGCCATCTTCACCCTCGGCAATGATAAACTTCTCCCATCGACTGTCGGTGCCTGCTCCGACAACAATCAAACTTTCATCACTTGTCCATCCAATGAGACCTTTTGTGGGTTTTGGTCCAGCCTCGCTTGCTGTTAGTGGATTAGAAGACGCCGACAAAGGCTCCTCGCCAGTGGAAAATGCCGCTGTAGCAAAAGAGTATACATCTGAGAACACTCGAGGCATCAAAGGGAGTCTCCCTAGAATTCCCCATTTGTTGCTGGTATCAGAATCCGGCGTCGATGGACTACTGATGCCACCACCTCCAAGGGATGTAAGCCGTCGATGACCAAGCTCTGATTCAGATCTCGGAGGCTTCGAGGGATGTGGAATATCGAAAATATGGAGCGTAGACTTATCTGAAGTAACAGCTAGGAGCTGACCTGAAGGAGCAATGGAAATAGAGAAAATATCAGCATGGTCAACACCTCGTCTGAGTTCAGCTATTTTCGCACAATTGCTTGTTGCAAACACCCGGACAAGTGTACCCTGCGTTGATATGAGCTTAGGAACTTTTCAAAAACACATGGGCAATGAATGAGGACGTACGGTTTCGCTGGCAGTTGCAATGACCTCCTCATCACGACTTAAAGCTAGAGCTCGGAGAGCCCCCGAATGAGCGGGTATAATGCTGACGTTTCCAGTACTGAGTTCAACCACTTGTACTTGACCAACCGTTCTACCAGGAAATATCAAGATACTGGTCCCCAAGCAGCATAAACCATAAGGATTTCCTGCAGTTTCGAAAGCCTGATATAGCTCAGGCGTACTATGGAAGAGGTAGACGCGTATGCTGTTCAAAAGTGCGACAACTATGTGAGTCCTCGAAATCCGAACCCCTCTAACAGACGTAAGAAGCGATAGTTGTGTGGCGATCTTTCGTTTCGAATCATCCCAGATGATTACCTACAACGATGTTAGGTTTCAAACACAAATTCACATTTCCAGTATCTGCTTGCCTTATTTTGAGCGAACTTTGGTTGTTTTCCGCCACCAACTAGTGCGATATAGTTGGTCTTTCCAAGCATTTCTGCTATTCCAACTCCGCCGTTGAAATCTACCTCCCAATCAGCGTGGCCCATCCGCGACGTTGTGGTTGATAAATACCTCTGGTAACTCGTTGTTGACATCCTTCTGTGTTGAATACTATATTTTTCAATTAGGTCACCTATATATACTAAGGAGCTGCCTAGAAACGTACCACGAAATCCTGTATCAAGTCCAATGGCAAAGCAGCTGGCATCGTGGTTGAAGGAAGCCGATAAGGCTGCGGGATTCCTCGAGTTCTCTATCGCTGGTCTGGTATTCATCTTTGATAGCGATAACGTGCCACAATATTAATATTGTTTGTCTTGTAATGCCCAACGAAAGGATGAATAAAAATAGAGTAGAATTTGTCAGGAACTTGTACGGCCCTTCATCACTAGCGAGTCTCCTAGTTTTGAGTAATTCAAAAGATTTGGGGCAACGAGTGTGTCCTAGATATCGATGTTTGAAGTGGGTGATATGCTGAATGTACTGGATGATATGATGATACGGGACCGTAAGGCTGCTAAGCTATCAATCAGGCAGGCTATCAACAACAATGCACCCTATCCACCGTTCGTAATCGCAATAATAAATACTCAGTGTCGACACGGCCCCAAACATTTTGAACCTTTCAATAAACATGTCCAAACCATGACAGACATTAGCTTGTAGCTGGGAATGTTGACATTCAGTGCTAATCATGTAAAGCTAATTGCAGGACCTTTCCCTTCAAGTTGAGTGAGTGAATATGATGTTGTGAAATTTGTTGAAATTGATAAGAAAAGTCGACCCCATGTAGCTAAGTATTATTATTACCTACCTACTAGGTACGTACCTATTGTTAGGTCTTCTCCTCCAAGATAAAGAACAGGTACCGATTGTAACACCCCAGGAAATCCCTTCTCTCAGCCTCGCACAAGCTCATATCATCCGCTGCTAAATTGGGTAAAGCGTTTAATCTACCACCCATTTCGCTAATTATTCCCCTGACCTGAAGAAGCAACGACTTGTTGATGGATAGTTTACGAGAGATAAATCCAGCGACTTCAATTTCAAAATTTCAATAGACTGAAAGCAATTACATTCTTTCCATCGACTCTTCTTCTTCAATTTATCTTGCCCTCTTATATTTACAACCCAGTTCAATCGTTTTCCTTCGTGGCTAAAGCCTCGTAATAATAAGACCATCATGTCGTCTCCATTGAATGCTGTACGTTTATCCCTATCGACAACTTGGTGGTCTGCATCCAAGTCTGGACAATCTGACCGCAACTTCCTCAACAGTTCTCTGGGGTTGTTTTCTCATTTTGGAAGTTTATCAATACTAACTCAGTGATTTGATAGATTAAGATGCGAAAGAAGAAGAACGTCAAGAAGGGTATTCAGTTCTGTTTGATGGTTTGCGGTGCATCAGGCACAGGTACGGTGACACGAAACACATAAAAATGAGCGGTGGTATTGACTGGATCTCTCAGGACGAACTACTTTCGTGAATACTTTATGCGGCACAAAGGTTCTTCCTGGCAAGGACTCCGATGATGCGGCGAATGCTCATCTTGAGGAGGGTGTTAAGATTAAGCCAATCACAGTTGGTCGGTACCACTTCGATTAGCCATTGAATGAAATTTAATCCTCACTGACGCCTTCATAGAGCTGGAATTAGATGAAGAAGGAACCCGTATTTCACTCACAATTGTCGACACTCCTGGCTTCGGGGACCAAATCGACAATGAGGCAAGGTAGGAGGAACAAATTATAACGTGAAGTTTTCTAGCTGACAGATGCGAAGTTTTGGAGAAATTGTGGGTTACCTTGAGAGACAACACGACGGTATTTTGGCAGAGGAGTCCCGTATCAAGCGTAATCCTCGTTTGAGCGACAACCGTGTGCATGCTCTACTTTATTTCATCACGCCTACCGGCCACGGGTATGTCGAATCTCGACGTTTATCTTGCGACTCCAAGCTGACGTTTCTCATAGCCTCCGCGAACTAGATATCGAGCTCATGAAGCGCCTCTCCCCCAGAGTTAACGTTATTCCAGTCATTGGAAAGGCCGATTCCTTGACACCCGCTGAGCTTGCAGAATCAAAAAAGCTTGTCATGGAGGATATTGAGCATTACAGAATTCCTGTCTACAACTTTCCTTACGACATCGAGGAGGACGATGAAGACACAGTCGAGGAGAATGCAGAGCTTCGTGGTTTGATGCCATTCGCCATTGTAGGATCCGAGGAGGTTGTTGACATTGGTGGACGCCAAGTTCGTGCAAGACAATATCCATGGGGTGTTGTAGAGGTCGATGACCCAAGACATTCGGACTTCCTTGCCATTCGAAGTGCTCTCTTACACAGCCATTTGGCAGATTTGAAGGAAATCACTCACGATTTCTTGTATGAAAATTACCGTACCGAGAAGCTTAGCAAGAGTGTTGATGGTGGTCGTGGAAAGTATGTTTTCGTTTCGATTTAATTGTACTTGATAAATGCTAATGACTTTACAGTGATGCTTCTATGAATCCTGAGGACTTGGCCTCTCAATCTGTCCGTCTAAAGGAAGAGCAACTCCGCCGTGAGGAGGAGAAGCTTAGAGAAGTCGAGATCAAAGTACAAAGAGAGATTGAAGTTAAGCGACAAGAGCTGTTAGCTCGTGAGAGTCAATTGAAGGAGATCGAGGCTAGAATGCAACGCGAGCAAAGTGCTCATCTCGAGGCAGCTAACGGAACACGCACGTCAGCGGATGCTGAAGCTTAATGGTGATATGTACAGGGGAAATGTGTTTATGCATAGAAACATGGATGGATGACTGGTGGCGATGGAGAGGCCTGTCGATTGCTGCACACGCTTTCGTCGGATTTCTGGAGCTGGGGATTTTCTTTTTTGCAGGTCGTTGACGGCGCTGCATTTATTCTGGCTTTTCAAACAGATAATAACGTAGTTTCTTATTGCCTTCTAATGTGCAGCTAAATCGATATTTATTTCTTATTAGGTCAATAATTCTTGAAGACATCAGAGCTATCCTGGGAATATATTTTCAGTGATTGTGTATTTTCACATTAAATTGGGTGAGATTAATATCATGATTGCAAAACCTATTATTGTGTGGTAAATGGTCATATTGAACCATAATAAAAATTGACGAATGAGTTTAAGAAAAACAAAGCAACTATCATTTTCAGATTGCCCATAATAATCAGGAACATTTCTTTTTCAGGCAGCGCTAATGTACTCCGTACGGTGTAGGTAGGTACTACCCCATCATATGACGATTACGTTATGCTTCTTCGGTATTCTATGGACAGTGCCTCTCCTCAGTACCTCATCTCGTCTAGACAATCACTTCAACACCACTTTTCGTTTCTTCAACAGCACTACCGCCAGTGCATCGCTGACCATCATTAACTAATCTTTCAGATTCAAGAACATATGGCGTCGAACACAAAATACTCTCGCGCTTCCCAGCGAGACTCGCTTGATGATCCTGCTCATTATTCGCAAGCCCCTCCATCTTACGCCGAACCTTCTTCATCGGCAGATAATGAAGCTCTTCTAGGAGGGGGTCCAAGAAGCAGCGAGGATAATATTCCGGATGACTTTAAGGTATATACAAGATTGCGACTTAGTACTTGGAACAGGTATTCTGACAAAGGTGTAGTTTGGAGGCTCTGTCGCTGAAGCAACTATTGAAATTCGGATGCAGGTATGTAGAGCTATATTGTCAATAACCTCGATGTCACATTTCTTAACAATTCTTCAGTTTGTCCGAAAGGTTTATGCGATTCTGTGAGTGTTGCGCAATTCTACAAGATGCTTCCGTTGTGTTAATGTGTTGCCAGCTCTGTGCAGCTCATCGCCACAGCAGCTCTAAGCTCTGTTTCTTTCTTCAGCCAATCCTACAAAACGTGGATTCAGTCAAACACTTGGTTGTTATGGACTTCAGTATGTTGAATCTCTCAGCAATAACGGGATAAAGCTGACAGTCACAGATGTTCGGCGCAATTGGTTTTATGCTTTTGACATACTGGAAGCGGAAATCTTATCCAACCAACCTACTGTTCCTCGGAGGATTCACAGCGCTCGAAGCATACACAATATCGGTCATCGTATCAACATTCGATTCCCGCATTGTTCTTCAAGCTGTATTGCTCACCGCTGGAATATTTGTCGCGCTCACGCTATTTGCCTGCCAAACCAAATATGACTTTACGTCATGGATGCCTTATCTCTTTGGTGGACTGTGGGCATTGATTCTCTTCGGATTCATGGCTATGTTCTTCCCAGGCAACAGTACTGTCGAGTTGATTTATTCCGGTATCACCGCCGTTATATTTTCCGGCTACATTCTTGTTGATACCCAACTGATTATGAGACATTACCATGTGGAGGAAGAGATCGCGGCGGCTATTAGTCTTTATCTTGACATCATCAACCTGTTTTTGGCCATTCTCCGAATTCTCAACAGCCAGCAAAATAACTAGGGAGGATACTGTTGTCAGAGGGTGGCATTGAGGGGCTACTTACGTACGGTGCCGTCTGGTGTTTACAATAAGACTTTCAATGGTAACTAACAATTAGGGGGGTTTAAAGGGTTAATTTGAAAATTGGTAGTATTGGGATGGGGTTTCTGTGGGTCTTTTGGGTGGTTAATCTGTTTTAATGGTTTTTTTCCCCTTTACATGGAGCAAATCCACATTCAATGTATACGTCGTCAGTTTATATGCTGGAAATCTTTTGTGCCATGATGTTTTTGGTGAAGCTGCCCAGGTATGACAGGTCTAAGCTTGTTGAATTATCCCCTCCTATCTGGGTCAGGGGTCTAACTGATACTGAAGGGGTAACAAAAAATCCCGAAGAAAGCTCCTCAACGAAAAAGTTATTTGTGCTATGTGCACATACTGGCGCGGCACGATACTTGCATGATACATCCCTTGTAACGTCTAGAAGATAGTCTTTCAGCTCTTGAAGTGATTCAAAGTTTAAAGTATCGATCAGCTTGATATCATCGCTTCTCTAATACCGGTATGTAGCAGATCTAGACCTAGAACGCTTAGTGCATATTGAGGAGGGGTCCTCCCGAGTCCCGTAAAACATATTCCGGAGGAAAAAAGTGGTCAAAGTCAGATAGAACTGGAGATAACCAAGCCAATTAATGTTGTTCGTGGGTCATTTTCTCATAGAAACATGAAGGAGGGAAACGAAGAAACTTTCCTCCTCACTTCCTGGCTCCCCAACTGAGTTACTCACACATCTAGATAGGTATCCGATACCTATCTACCTATCTCTGTATATATACGTCTGGATGTTATTCTCTCTTCACAAATTAACAAATGCATTCTTCTCGAATCTGACTCGCACGATGACAGTATCATCATTTTGATTCGTCGATCGGACCACCTTTTTCTTTTAAATGTAAAACGAACCCCTTCACAGAAGCTGCAGCCACTCACCCAAATTGGTTCCCCATCCAACTCCACCTGTTGATGCAAATCCCTCGTCAAAAAAAAAAGTACAACAGTGAGTCGGAACATTGGAAAATATTCACCGCCCTCTTCTTACCCTGCCAGATACATCAAAACTGTCCCATCCACCATCCACCTTTCCATTGTCTATTCCCGTACTGTCCCTAGCCCACATTCGTTTTGACTCGAACTCGGACTGGTTTTATTATCCTATTGCATACGAACCATAAAGTATTCTATGTTGTATTCACTCACTTCAAATTTCGGGTTTTAAAGGACAATTGAGAGAGAAATATATGTATTCCTCACTCAATTGAACCTCAACAATTGTCAAACTACCGGATTAAAATTTACTTTCCCCCTCCCTCTCCGTTTCTTAAGTCGCCATGAGCTCAAATTTTCCAATCGATGCAATTCAAGATGGGACAAACAAAGCTGCGCCAGAGTGGGCACATCAAAATGGAGACACTACTCTTCCTGTAGAAAAGAAACTCGACAGTTCAACACATTATCCAGCTCTTCCAGTGATGGGTAAAAGAAAGGCCAAAAGGAAAGATGATAGCCCTCTGGATATCATTTGTAGATTCGTTGTGGACCATCAAACTGGTAAAATTCTCTATCGACATCTTTCTCTAGATTTTTTTAACAATGAGCCTTAGGACTATCTGTCAATCTCCTGATGCTTCTTTCCTTAACGCACATCTGTTTTCCAAAAGCCCGCAGACATACCCGAAAATTCTTCGAGCTTTCTTACTATAACCCAGAGTCTGGCGAGTACTGCGCCGGCTGGAATGATGCTTGGCTTGTGTTCTATTGGATTGTGATCTTTACCGGTCTTCGCGCTGCTTTCATGGATTATGTCTTGAGGCCATTGGCAAGAAAGGGTGGGGTGAAGACTGCGAGGGACGAGACCAGATTTGCTGAGCAGGCTTGGCTTATGGTCTATTATTCTGTGTTCTGGTCACTGGGCATGGTTAGCTAAAGTCGAATACATCGTTGGAAAGCTTCTCGCTAACAAATGGATAGTACATATATGTCAACTCGGACTACTGGTGGAATTTGACTGAGCTATGGACTAACTGGCCTAATCGAGAGGTTGGTGGACTTCGAAAGTGGTATATACTCGTCCAGTATGCATTCTGGCTCCAGCAAATCATGGTTATCAACCTCGAGGCACGTCGAAAGGACCACTGGCAAATGTTTACACACCACATCGTTACGACTGCCTTGATATTCACAAGTTATGGTTATCACCAAACTAAAGTCGCAAATGTAATTCTTTGTTTGATGGACGTGGTGGACCTTTTCTTTCCGGTAAATACCCTCCTCTGTCCTTTCTTAACAGACGCTGACAACAGCTTCCATAGTTTGCAAAATGTCTTAAATACCTCGGATACGATAAATTATGCGATTTCATGTTCGGACTTTTCATGCTTTCTTGGGTAATGGCCCGTCACGCTTTCTACCTCATTATATGCTATTCTGTTTGGGCCGATATCCCTAAGGTCATTAACTATGGTTGTTATCAGGGTAAAAATGGTTCTATTTCTGGTCCTTTCCCGGCTCCTGATCGCTTTGGACACCTCTTCAAGCCATTCCAAGATCCTGCCGGAATCATTTGTTGGAACAATAACATCAAATGGGGATTCCTTAGCGCCTTGTTGTTCCTTCAAGGTATCACATTAATGTGGTTCTGGATGATTATTCAAGTTGCTATTAAAGTCATCAGAGGTGGTCAAGCAGATGATACTCGAAGTGACAACGAAGAGGGAGAGGAAGAAATTGATCTGGACGAGGAAGCCTTGAACGAGGAAGTCCATCTTTTGGAAGGAGAACCATATGAGGAAGAAGTGGGCGTGGAAGAACTCAACTTGAAGGGAAGAACATCGAGAAATAGTCGATACAAGAAAACTACGAGCAGTGCTAGTGGTGTGAGCATTCCAGGGCACAGCGATAGAAAGGAACTGTTGGGCAGGATTGGGTGTGACAAAGGCGTTTAGGAATATGCCATTGTTTCCGATACATGATTTTTTTTGTCCCCGATATGCGGGCAGCAGCAGTGTGATGATTCGGGGAGCAAGGGATGACTCGGACGAGAACTAGCGAGGAATATAACAATTTTCTTGCTTTTCATGGTATATGGCATGGGTTTTCTTGTTTCTATAGGGATTTGGGAGATACCGATTGATTTTTTTCCATTGATGGTTGAGAGTTATGATGATAAAGCATACCCTTTCTTCTATTCTACAAAAAGTTGAACGAAGGGAAAGAAAGGTTTTAGTTATTTTTGCGTTCCAAGGTGTCATCGTTGGCATATCATCAGAGATTTCATGGTGATGGACTTGTAGCGAAGGGAAGGCATTATTGTATGTATGTACCTAGTATGTATGTGGATGAGATTTGAACAATACCCAGTTTTAGACAGCTCTGGTATTTTGTGTTTGTCCACCAATAGTAAGAAATGCTCTGAGGACCATCTGCAAGATTCAATATCCTGTGCACAGTATTTGATATAAGAATCCTTTTTCTCTAGGTCTACCTCGTATAACCTCTATTAATCGATACTATGGCCTGCCTCTAAAAATAAACATAAACCAAAAGTCTCCAGCTATTGATCCAATTAGCAATTGGCGTATTCGGACTTTATCAATGAGTATTCCACAAATAAATTCTGGACTACCGGTAAGGTACTTTGAGCGGGGCCGTGATTGCAGCAAGTTACGGAGGAGAAGGGCATGGTCAAGTTTTTAGTGTTGTTGGCGAGTCCTGGTCTGCAAGGAGTAGGCGTGTCTTTTTTTCGAGGGGCTCGGGAGCAAAACGTGCCATGATTGTGGAGAAGATCTGAAATTTGAATGAAGGAGCTATGAGGAATACCTACCTTGATGATGACAGGGTAATAATAAGCCCGTAAGGCAGGTCCCACCGCGGCGTTTCGTGTATCATCCGTACATAAAATCATCATGCATATTAACTCACTATGCTGTCATCGTGGTAATCATACTGTTTTCTTTCTTTCCAAATCCTTTCTTCTGCTGCGTGGACTACTTTGTAAAAGCCCTTGATTTGTTTTGGAACGCGGGGGACTTTTGCTATCGAGTGACTTTTTTTGTGGTGCAGATCTAGGAATCATCAAGACAGCTCGAATTGAGACATTGAGACATTGAGAGAGGAAACACAGAATGGCTGCGCCGGTGGATCCAGCGACGAGGAAGAAGGTGTTGAGAGTGGTTTTCTTTTCGCTGTTGTTAGATTTGGTATGTTTTATATTAGCAGATTCAAATGAAAAGGATAGCAAAATAGCTAACCCATTTATTCCAGATCTCGTATGATATACTTTCCAAATGAAACAAGCCGGCAGAATGATAGCAAACTGACGCGCTACTTTGGCAGATTCACATTCATATTACCTCTATTTCCAAAGCTATTAGAGTTCTATAGGAAGTCAGTATAGCAGTTTTTTAACTAAACGGATAGATAGCTAATAGGAAAGCAGTCTCGAAGCGCCAACAGCCTTTTCTTCTTCATCTGAGTCGCCTACACTTCTCGCACATATTTTGACATATTTGAATACATACAAAGCGTCATTTGCTAGACCGATCGACTCTCGATATGACATCGTGTTATTGGGCGGGGCTCTTGGGAGTTTATTCTCGTACGCAGCTATGAACCCGCTGTTCTTTTCGATTCGGCTTTACTAATGGCATTCATCCAGTCTCCTTCAAGCTCTTGCATCCCCCATAATCGGAACCCTCTCGGATAAATATGGTCGTCGAACAGCTCTCCTCGCCAGCATGACTGGCAATATACTCAGCGTCCTCCTCTGGGTTTGCGCCACCGATTTCCGTACCTTCCTCCTTTCGCGCGTCGTAGGTGGACTTTCGGAAGGCAATGTTCAACTGGCAATTGCAATTGCTACAGATATATCAGACGAGAAACAACGCGGTGCAACGATGGCATTGGTGGGAATCTGCTTTAGCATAAGCTTTACATTTGGGCCTGCATTGGGTGCTTGGCTCAGTACGATTAGTACTGTGCAGGCAAATCCTTTTGCTACTGCTGCTGGATTCTCTTTGTTTTTGATTGTGACGGAAACACTTTATTTGTATTTATGTTTGCCAGAGACACTGCCCAGTAAAGTTGCTCAGGCTAAGTTAAACGGAGAGCCAACTGCTACGAATGGGATTACGAAGGTAGCTGGCTCTTCGGGGGAGAAGACGCAAGCTAGAATGGTATCGACGAGTACTACCGGGGTGAAGAAACAGGGAAGAACAAACTCCCACTTCCTCCTCAACCTCACCCATCTTTCATTCATCCTATTCTTCTCAGGCATGGAATTCTCTCTTCCTTTTATGACATATGATCTTTTTGGTTATACATCTGCACTCAATGGCCGTCTCTTAGGATATATGGGTCTTGTAGCCTCTATCCTTCAAGGTGGCGTGACTCGACGACTTCCACCGCTCCTTTCCGTTCGCATAGGTGTGGTATCATGCCTAGGGGCTCTATTTCTCCTCGCCCGCATCAACACTGTTTCAGGTCTTTATCTTGCTACTACTCTCCTCGCAGTCACAACCGCAACAGTAGTCACCGGTCTCAATGCACTCAGCTCGTTTGAAGCAGGCGAGGATGAAAGGGGTGGAAAGCTTGGAAATCTGCGAAGTTGGGGGCAGCTCGGAAGAGGTTTAGGACCGTTATTATTCACAAGTGTTTATTGGTGGGCAGGCAGAGAAGTAGCATACAGTATTGGCGGACTGGGGCTTATGGGGGTGGCACTTTTGGTTACTTTTGGCTTGGAAACACCGGGAGGAACAAAAGGAAAGAAGATTGGTGATGTTAAGACTGAGGTTCAAGATTTGTAGATGAGGGAGGATACGAGGCTCAAAATTTGTTAGTACAGCCTCTATATTCGTCACTTTTATTGTCCTACCCTTGGGGATGTAGTCAGTGAGGTCATTATGCCTGTTCCCTTGGAGCTTTTATAACCCAAGGTCGAGTCCATATTGTATGAATCATCAAGTGTAGCCGGATAATTACCGGTTTGGATAGATGAAAGCGAATGAGAGTAGAAACTAGGCGTAAATTCTAGTGCATTATATCTATAAGTGTTCAATTGATTGAAATGAAAAGGAAAGGAAGAAATGGAAAGAAGAAACGCTTGCAAAGGGGTTATATAAGTAAAGTAGCAAATAGATGGATTGGAGAAGAACAGAATAAGAAATCATGGGATAGGAATTAAATATACTCGTATAGACATAAGATATTATTATGTAGGTATGTATGAAAGTAATTAATTAACTAACTTATGTACTCATGCCGCGGCTAATATCAGGAAAGCTCGCGTCTCATCTTTTCCATCCATCGCAAGTTTCGATCCAACCCAGACGCCCCTATTAGCTGGGTGTTCATTATAATTTCATCTCCCATTTCTATATACAAATAAACCCGTCAAGATGTGTAATCCTATCTTGAGGATCAATGAGCCAGTAAATATACGGCAGTTCTATTAATTAATCGTTCCCAACGATCGTGTGTGCAATATCCAATTCGTAAACCAATCTCATTCTTCACTATGATCCATCATCTTCTTTCCTCTCCGGTTTCCTCCTCAATACTCCCCCAAAACCCTTCGTACTTCCACTTTCTTTTGTATTTTCCTTCCCGGTATCGTTCCCGCTCGCACCACTGTCTCCTCCGCTTCTAGCCCCATCACTCACATACACGTCTTCTTTTCCCCTAGTACCTTCTCCTAAACCAGATACTACGCCACCTACAGCACGGCCCACACCCAGGCTAATGCCACTTCCACTTATACTTCCGGCTCTGCTTTTCTTTCCTTTTGTTTCGAAGGAAATGTTGCTGCCGATAGAACTGCTGCGAAGGGGTGTTCGAAGGCGGGCGGGAGTCGATGTTTGGGTTTGGGAGTTGGGTTGTGGTGAGGGGGTAGTGATTGGTATGCGGGAATTAGAGGGAGAAAGAGGAGGATGAAAATTTGATGGGGGCGTGGAGGGTGTTCCTTGTGCGCTATCGAGAAGGGGCTGAGGTTTTGGTTTGAGCACATGATGTGAGCCATCGAATTGAGGGAATGAATTGGATGTATTGACACCGATAGCAGAATCGGAAGAGTTATCATTGTTGACATGGGAGTTTCTAGAAACGAGCTTGACGCGTTTTCGTGCACTATTATGGTTGTATATATCATCGATCATTTTGAGATCGGCTGACGATTCGTCACCAGGCTGTAATATGGTAGTTGGGTCCGCGTCGGCGTATGTTCCACTTTCTAATGACTGGCTATCCTCTTCGCTCAAGTAGGTCAACAGTCTGTCGTTGTTTGCACCAATGCGCAGTGAGTTAGTACGGGCGCGATTATAATGTTCGTACTCCTCTTTCGAATGATCTGCATTGTAGAAGGATTCCAAAGCGTCAAAAACGTGCGGGAAAACTAGAGTGTCGACTCCTCGAGCCCAGAGAAAATCAAGGTGCTCATAGTGGGCAATTTCGATATGGCTTGTGTGGTTCGGAAGTTGTTTCAACATTACATTTATATCGACTAGTGAGTCGCTGCCGCCATATAGTAAAACGATTGGAGTTTTGATATTGCGAGTTGGAAATTTGGCCACTTTAGTGTATCTGTCTACTCCACTGAAAACAGGCTGCGGCTCATCATCGTACATTTGGAATGACTTGGTGCGGATAATTTGAAACCAGTGGACAACGGATTTTGTACTGGTGAAAGAGTACAAATGAGGGTAGGCTGCGAGCTTCTGTGATGTGGATATGTTTTTGGCGTGCCAACCAAAGAGAAACGACAAGCCCATATCGATGAGACGAACAAAAATTGGAGGGTAGAGTATGGATTGCCACATAGTTGCTGATGAGAGGATGGAGCGACGGCCGAAAAGAAGAAATAGGACTTGAGGCGATGCTTTGATAAGGGCATCTACTATGCCATTCGAGAGACCAGCTGGGGACGTCGCAGGTGCAAGCGCAATGAATACATTAATTTGATCGTTGAGTTTCGGATGAACAGCCAAAGTTGCGAAGGCTTGAGCTGTTCCTTGAGAGAATCCAATATACGACAGGGATGGCGCAGAGGTTGTGTCAAGTATGTATTGAATGGTGTCTGGGATATCATGGAAAGCAAATTCATCCATTGAGAAGTCCCAAAATGCCGTGTCTGCTGGTGAATGGTGGATGGACTTCTTAGAATATTTGTTTCCACGATTGTTTCCAAGCTACCAATCGTTAGTCTCTTGTGTGAGCGATATTAACACGGGTTGAACTTACCCAAACATCATACCCTCTGTCCACCAGGGTGAAAGCTAAGCATCTCTCTTTATCAGTTAAACATACCCAAACCTCACTATTCATGAGCAAGCCATGGTGTAGATATACAACAGGCTTCTTGATGCTGTTTGATCCACTATTGACTTTTGTATTTTCTTCTCCTTTCTTCCAACCGAGCCGATGAAGACATAGCAAGTAGCCATCTCCGGTCTGTACAACATGTTCTTCGGCATAATAACCAGCTAATTCGCAGAGATCTACAAAGTCTGAAGCATTTCGAATCGAGGTGGATATATCTGAATTTGTCAGTCCTAATCCTCGTTTTAACTCTACTGAAGGACTGCTCCAACCTTGCTTTCGTGTCTCTGATCTCTTAGCTGCTGGGGATGTGAATCGATTAAAGAGCCGCCTCGAACCTCGATAGCATAGTTTTATGATAGTCGAAGCTGTGCCACTGTTAGATGATCCACGAGACATGTTTCAAGAGAGGGGACACACGCAGTGCAAGCGTCAGTACCCTAATTATTGCTTCCAATCCAACAAGAAAGAAAGAGCTGACCAGCGCCAAATATTCGCTCCTGTATAATTGATCAACAATCACCCTATATCATAGCTAGGAATAAAACTTACGGGCAGAGCCGTCCGATGAATGGAAGATACATTGTGTTGCGTATCTTCTATCGATGACTTTGTTTGCGCGGTGAGAGAGTTTTTATAACTTACTATCTGACCAAGGCGATCTTGACCGCAAAACAGATAAAGAGCTTAGTATATGTATAGTGATTACCCTATAGGGTCTAGACCTCTAGTACCTGTGAAGAAATTGTGTTAGTGAAGCCATTGACGTGGACAGAGCTCTCAAGTGCATCCATACTTGTAGAATCCAATAGTTGGACCTTTTGTTGATGTCACATCCACTTTCACATGCCAATTGCACGCCCTTCACTTCATTTGCGCCTCAATTTGAAATAGTTGGTTCAAAATGATTCTCTGAATTGATCAAAGGGGAAGTTTTAGCTGGCCAATACAATCAATACCTAGTTAGCAAAATATCTCGAATAATACATGTACTTTGACTCTAAACATTAGACGGTAAATCAAATCAAGAATTGTCGTCCCTGGATGAATCTAGTGGCGCAGTGGACGATCCACCAGTGATCTGGGGCACCGGGAAGCTTGTATCTAATCTATGCCGGGTAATCTACGGGCCTCACAAGATTCTCGCGAGACTTTTGAAAGTCGCCGCCGCCTATACCTTATGAACTTTTGTCTGTACCCGTTGGATGTATTCATGACACTACCTACAAGTCTGCGATTTATGTTATACTTTTGATAGGGTCTTGATACTCCTCTACTCCTTTTTGGCCTAGAAGCAGTTCGATTTCAAAACACGAAAGGAAAAATCCTTCGACATGCCTAGTTCCTGCCAAGATATTCGTTCGCATCTTCTCCTCCCTTTCCCCGTTTCCCCGCTAACGTTTTTTTTCCCGCAGGAGCTGCGCTGGCACAATGTCTCCAGGAGTCGGACTGCGTCATGGTGTATCGCAACAAACCATCCGATTGTCTGCGAGCTCCTCTCCTCGAAACGATGCCCACCAAGTGTCAACAGTTAAAGAAAGGCTACGGTGAATGCAAACGGGGATTGGTCGATATGCGCAAGCGATTCAGAGGTAACCAGCCAATTTCTGTAAGCAAAGAGATTGAGGGAGGAGGGGAAAGAAATACTGGAGGTCATATGCTATACGCTGGGAAACCAGCTTTTGACAGCGGGGTCAAAGAGACGAGTGGAAATGAGCCCGAGGAGAAAGACTGGAGACAGTTGGAGAACGAAAAATACAGAAAGGAATAGAAAACACAGATACGATAATGTCAGGAAGGTTTCGAGTGTTTTGCTTATATCCGCTAAAATTGGGACTGTCCATTACATTGGAAGGCGTTCGGCTAGTGTATATCAAACGCATCAGACGGCCAAGATTGATCATCGCAACAGGAATTGTAAGGAGATCTGCTCAAACACAATTTCCTTCATGATGAATACGTCTGTCTCCCAAGATAGGAAGTGAAAGGTTTTTCCACTTCGTCGTGGCCACTTTTGGTTCGTCACGCTGTTGTTGGTTTCTCTTTTCGTGGAAGGACCTGGAATAATCGTTGGTAGACCAATTCCGGTCAATCATATGTAGACTTCTATGTCTACACAGCCATCTTTGCTTACCTTCGGTGTGACTCACAGAGCACGGATATGAGAGAGCCGAAGATATACGACCTGTGTTACACTCGGGTTCTCGGCGAACAAGAGAATTCGCAGGTTTTGTCTCATCGACGCTGATTGCGGCCATTACAAATATTGACTAGCAAGTGAACGTTTGCTGCGTGGGTGGCCTGAATTCATAGGATGCATCTGAAGCACAGCCGATATTTTCTTACTTATGCACGATCAGTGAATATTTGGCAGGAATTTCTGCCATCGCCTTGCAAATTTGGCAAGGGCGGCCGATTGTCCGATATCAGAGACTGAATATTCAACACTCACAAAATATCGGAAGAAGTTTTTCGGTCATTAGTGTTGCGGTAGGATCGTCACAGTTTAAGAGTATTGGATTATTGTATTATCCCCGCTCAGAGAGAGTTTCATAGTCTTGGTCGCTTCCATTCTCTCATTATCTTCCCATGATTAGCTCTAGCTTTGCCCGTTCCTCCTGTATCTTACACCATGAATTAAGTCCGCCGAAAGAGCATTTCTTGTCCCACCAAACTTCCAATCTAAAATATACAGAACTCCAAATCACCGTGGTCATTAATTCATTCAAGGCCTCCAAGGTTAAATTGGTTCAAGGTCCTAACACCATCCGCCCATCCTCCTATCAGCTCACTACTCGACGACTTTTCGCGCTGTGCCTGCTCGTACCGTGCCAGTAAATCTTGATACATATCACTGAGATTATGTAATTCGGTACTGAGCATCTTCACCTGGTCTTCAAGTCGCTGACGTTCGTTTGCTTGGCGCTTCCGAAAATTTCTCTGGGAAACGCGATTTTGCACAAGCCGCCGCTGGAAATGGTCAGGGTAAGACATTAAGATGGGAGAGTGTTCTTACCATCTTTTGTGCTGGAGTTTTCTCCGTTACTGAATCTGCTGAATCATGCGATGTCTCTCGTGTGCGACTGCCTAGAGATTTGGGTTTCCGGTCACGAGAGGCTCGATATTGACGTCGTTTCTACATTTCGTTCGTCAGCTCAGAACAGAATTCGCTGCAATCTAGGCGATTATTATAAGCTCTTACCGTCTCAATTGACATCTCCTCATTCATCTCGTTCCTTTCTGATTCAAAACTTGCTCTATTATTCTCTGTCGAAATGCTTTGATCCAATTCTGGCACCATAGAAGTATCGATGGCATCAAAATATGGACTTGGATATGGCGCTATAGTATATATACTTTCCGTTTGTGGGATCGTACAGGTTGTCTGGTCGTTGTGTTAACGTCTCAAATCGAAGCGGTCCAAGGATTGAACATACATATGGAAAGGCAGATTCGAATGCATTGGTACCCAAGTCACACGATGTGTCTTGATCAAACGTCAAAGGAATTGGGGAAGGAGGCGAGTACCAAATTGGAGCGGAGATTGCCATCCTCTATTTAGTCTTTTTGTGTGAGTTCTTTTCGAGTAAATTCGAAGTTTGTCAGGAAATTTGTTATTGGGGTGAAATTTGTCTATGCAACGGAATTTGCGAAGGATATGAAAGTATATATAATCAGTAATCAACTATGACTTTAGCAGCTTATAAAATCTTCGACTGCCGCATATTCCCGACCTCTACGCAGCGGAATTAGCGCGGATCAAATTTATAGCCTTTCAATAGGCTATATCAAAAGCAGACCATAAAATTTCAGCTTACATATCCGAGACGGCAACACAGAACACCCGTAGAAGAATCGATCGAATTTTTAATGCCCGCCAGTTCAGGGGTCTAAACGGGGTCTGACATCACTTTCTCAGCTATTTTAGTCGGTGAGTGGGCAGCCACAAAATCGCAAATAAATTCTTCGCGTTGCGAGCAGCCTCGGAAGACCGAAATTCTTAAAGGAAGTAGTCACACCAAACGAACGCCTTTCAATTTACATGCATAAATGGAAAAGCTTACCGTATCGGGTGCGTGCACTTTTCATTCTGGGGGTTCCACGTGCGTGGACCGTCTTCTATTCTTTTCTTCGTCTGCAGTGTCAGCGAAAATTTGTAACTCTTATTGGATATCGAATCGACTTGCTCTATTGGGCTTATGCATGGGATTTTAAAGGTGCATCCATCGGTCTTCCCGCGTCGTTCAGACTTGATTACAAAAACGGATTTACAAATTGTTCTTTATATCCAGCGTATCTGCATCTTTGAATCTATCGGTTAATCAAGCCTCTTCAACACATTCCACCGAGGCAGCGAATTTTACAATATTTGTAATCACAATATGTCTTGCGACCGAGGAGGAACCAAATCCATATTATTATTGCAAGTATCTAATCATAGAGGAGATCCGAGCCATCCCGCGCCACCATTCAGATTAAAATCCTCGCTGCATATATCGAGGTTGCTACGCAGAGCCACAGTAGGTGGTGTAGATTCACCCTCCGTTTTTCCAGGCGACGATTCTAAATAAGTAAATAGAGTACCTTCCACTATCTTCCATGTTTCGAGACCAATGTCTTGTAACTCTATAATCGCGTTGGCTACGTACCACGCTCTGCGATGTCTCTCTACATTCGAGCGCTCTCCTCGGAATATAATACGAGCAAGCATCTCAATGGCTCTGCACCAGCCACTAGTCATGTCAAGTAACCGATACTTGCAGGCTTGGAAATATTTCCCACGAAGCTGCGGCGTGGTATTGAATTCTTGCAAAGCCATTTGGAGGTAAATCAGAGATGCTAGCCGAAAACACTTCCACATGATGCTGCGTCTCTCGTCTATCGCTTGTTCAGTAGGGTGAAGCCAGCTCATACCTATGGTTGCTGAGCAGATGCGATCACTGAAACTGTTCCATTGTTCTAGGGACGTTATGTTGGGCGCGGCATCTTTGATAACTCCAGTTGCTCTTTCTAGACCATCAACCATCCTTATAAAGTCTGTGCAAAAGTCATTCTTTGCTTGCATCTTCGCGGTTTCGCATTGAATCTTCGAGGCTCCAACTGAGCTTGCTGTTGTCAACTCTTCGGTTGCGTTTTTATCATATCTCGAGTATATTGGCCGGCTAACTTGTATATAGGCTCTACATAGGTCGAGACTGAAATTGAAGTCATTAAAAGTTCTTAGCGGACAGAGTTTAAACGATGTGGACTACAGCTTAAAAACGAGCAGATTTTGATGCTTGGATTCACTTGAGTCAATGAAATTTATCGAAATGACCAAGTCACTCTAAATGCATCATATTTTTCCAAGGATCAGAACTTCAAATCGAGCTGCAGTCTAGACTACTTGATGCTCTGGGTTGCCATCAATATTTGCAGGTGCAACTTACCTCTCAATCACAAGCTGCAAAGGTCTATTCCTAGAAAAGGCGACAAGACCTCCTCTGTATTTAACCATTTGGTCCAGTCCATTCATATGAATACTGAAATTTTCGGGAAGACCGGAAAGTAGCTACTCAGCCTATAAGAACATGCACCTGAGAACAAGATTGAGAGAACCCACCTCATGACTTGTGAAATTTGCAACAGCTCCAATACTTCCATCAGAAAGAGCTTGTGCGGGATCATTGAGTCTCTTATTGATGATGCGCATACCCTCGGTTTTATGTTTAATAGCAATAGGTGGTTCTTGTTGGCCATGAAGTCGAGCCATGTGTTGGATATTAAATCCCATAACGATATGAGCGGGTTCAGGGTCAAGCCAGGAGACTCTTGAATATAGCCATCCAACTCGACCAAAATCTGTACCTGTCGTCTCTTTATCCATACACGATGCTGTTACCCAGCAATCTTTTCTTGTTAACGTTTGTTCCAATAATAGCAATGGGAAAATCTTGTTAAAGAAGGGTGTATCTGAAGAGCTTACAGTGATGGATTAGCCTTTGTAATCCTGGACCTCCGCCAAGTTTTAATCTTGAGAAAGGATCTACATCTGCGATTCCCGTCCTACACAGAGGAATGACTGTCTGCCCATCTTTGGCAAATGGTTTGAGTAGCGTGTTACAATTTCCCGGTAGTCTTTGGACCTTTGTATGGGTCGTTTTTGTCCTTGGTGCCTCACGAGCACAACCTTCATCAGGCTCTTCAACATCCATGTATGATTCAACGCAATCTTCCGGATTTCTAACATCCGAGTGATGACGCGGAGTATCCTGCAAATCTCTACGTTTCGATATCCTTGGCCTCAGACTCCATGAATCTTTCCTCCGATGCTCTCTAGCTTTCTTGGCATTTTGCAACTTTTTCTCTCGCCAAAACTCGCGCATGACATGGCTACGAGCTTCGGTTCTTGGACCTCTTCCATTGCTCACATGGATGAAGGTAAACTCTGCAGCTTTGCTGTGGTCTAAATCCACTTCACACCGATCGAGAGATTTTTCAGCACCAGTGGAGAATGACGATTCTACTTTGAGTGGTGGTTAGCATAGGGAACCCTCATATTGTAAGGATATTGTTCAGCAAACTCAACATACTTTCCGAATTTGGTGATGGGGCTTTCAATCGTGTCATTTTTTCAGGATTGACGCTAGACATAGGTTTCAATACTAGTGTGTCTGAATCTCTGATCAGTATAACATTCGCCTCTACTTTGCGATTTTCAACCTAATTAGATCATCAGCGAATCCGTTAAAACGTACCACTCACCGCACAATGCATATTCTCATTCTGACAAATATCCGTCGCCACATTAAGGCATTCCTCCCAAAGTTCAAACACTTCCAAAAGAATAACAGCCTTTTGCAAAGAGCATACCGGTTCAAAATTAGTGGTGTTAATAGTACTTGGTGCTGAGAAGTTCAGGGTTGTTTTTTCGAGGATTGGAAGGATTTATAAGCATTACTTGCATTGCCGTAAGGAGAATTATGTCAGCTTTCTACACGTGATGTGTGATGGCCAGGTGGTGACCCAAGCACTTCGCACGTCAATGTCATTTAAGTCGTGCGCCGGCGACGTATATACTACGACCCAAAGCATTCTTCATCGTCCCAATTCACAGTTTGAAATGGAACTTTCTTTCAGGCTCGGATACTTCTCAATAATTCAATTCGGATTTTCAATCCAGATTTGGTGATCACATAGTCCTTTATTCATGCTTAGCCACATACCTTGGATGCTCAAGATATTGTATTGTCCATCACACGATGAAGTTTCTAAGCTACAGGAGTGGGAACCGATATGATGCTCTTGACAGTTTTCATTTTCTTCCCTTTTTTGCATGCAAGATTTTATGAATGTCCGTCTCTCAGGATTGGAGTTTCAGCCTTTAGAAAGTGTTCTGATCTTCGATACAAAGATCCATAATGAATTTCACCTCTATTCGAACTCATTTTTCCTCTTGATCCATCCCGTCTCCCAAACTTCGCCTTCCTCACCAGCAAAGCCGAAAATATACGGGGGCTTCGAAAGGTTTTCTCACAAACCATCTCTGTCTCCTGCATGCTCCAAAGATTGTCCTATTCCTGTAGCTTGATGATCTCCAAAAGCATCCTATCTCCAACTGCAAGAAGCACACTTACCAAGAATGTGCGATCTGCCTTTGATTGTGGTATTTTGAGCATTTGGGTTGCGTGTCGAGATCCTCAGTTTATCTACCATGAAGCATTCTGGGAGAATGGTATAGGCCACAGAGTCTACGGCCTATCATTCCCTAGCAAAGAGGATGTACTGGCACTGGTCAGATCAACAGTTGGTCTACTAACAAATATCGACATCTGCTCATGGCGCGATACCGTAGGCGCCGGTGTAACACCAGTGCAAGCTTACCTACCGTTAGAGGAACTTGAAGTCACTTTGGATTAAAATTTGTGTAGAGGTTTCTATCAGCAGCTAATTGCTCTTGAAAGTGATCTCGAAGTGGCGGAACACGGCAAGTAGTGGAATTATTCCCTAAGTTAGTGCATTGGGGATTGATCTTTTTCGGTTAAACGCAATGAACTACATTCACCTGGTAACGCTGGGCTAATTTAGAAATACGTATTGAGCATTTTGACCCGTACTTATATGAGTCGAACGACATAGCAGTCAGTGCAGGGACTGACTGCAGCTTCTCATGTATGTGGAGTCCTCCCCAGCGATGATTTTCAACGCAAATTCGACGTGTTCCAATTACTTTTTTGAGAACCGCAAATCACGCATCTTGAATAAAACATATTGACTTCTCGTCGCGTAAAACCAAAATACGCGTCACTCATATTGCTTATTCTGCGAGTTGTCTTTATTCTTTACAGGCACAGAAAATTCTCATGTACCTTTTCCCAGAAGCGTTTTGAGTCTTCCTCTACTAATCTTCTCTTGTCAAGGATGAGACACCGGATGGTCGGGAACACTGCCTCGAGATATACGGAACAGAATCCGTGAGAGATGAGTCTGAAATGACGTCTTATCAACCTCGAATCATCATTTTAGCCACACAATTGAAAGAGGTTGAGAGTGAGAGCAATCCAATCGTCAGCACTGTGATTTTTCACAAGGATTATGGTGAAGTGGGCGGATTAGAACTTGATGGGAAAATAAAACTCTTCTACGTAAACTACCCTGCAATTATGGAAATCAGACTTCTGATCTCAAGCTCATTGTTTTGTTAGAAGTAGTATTGGTGTATGTTGTGATAAGAATGCTAGTGCAGCTGGTCTGTGCCACCTCGATGATTACGGTACATGCATCGGAATTCATGAGAAAAGCGAAATTTCCCATTCTCTCAACAGCTATTCATATTTCGCAACAGCCTCAACCTATAACTTTCCCGATAGAAAAAGTGGAATATATTGCGTTGAAGCAATCGCCTTTACAGCGAGAGAATTCCAACTTTTGGCGCCGCTTGACTTGGGATATAGCCAAATTCAGGCTGTTCAATTTCCGAGGCTGGAGTTTTCTGCCTTCCTTACTCTTACTAGTGGTGTGGTAGCGATAATATCAATTGCCTTTAAATATTTCGATCGGAAAGATAGATTCAATTCTTTTTCGGCTTTCAATGCTCTAGCCTAGGTCTTTACATTTTAATCGATCAAGTTGTGGACACATCTTACTAGCGTCGACAAACGCAGTTATGATTGTCAAGATCAATTTTTGCAAGTATTTATCATTCTTGTCGCTCTCAGGAACTTTTTCACTGTCATGCTTTGCTATCAAGCTTTTCCAACTCCTCATTCAAGAAAAATTGTGAAGTACCAACTGTCTTGCATTCTTCGTTTCGCCAGCCTTCTTGTTTCTCTGTGTGGCAGCTCGAGAAGACGAGATTCTAAAGGGTTCCAACCCGACAAGAGATTAGTTCGTTCTTATTTGGACAACTTTTGTAACGGCCGTCTTACTGCTATATCATGACTATTCATAAAAAATCTACGTGTGGCGCTCCAATGGCAACGACACTATCGAAGAAAGTCAAGAGATCAATGGGACCAAGTCATTAATGTACACATTAAGTGCAATTATAGGTGCTGTTTTTATTTTTGCATTCATTGATTTACTCCTTCTAATATCGTGAGTTCAAGCAGATGAGTATGGACGAGTTATCCTATAAAACACTTGGCCGTCGTACCGCTGGTTCTTGGTGAATGGAGGTAAACGACTATTTTCCTTGCTGGAATCGCAGCCATCATGTACCATACATGAGCATGAGCTATCGAGCTAGGTATCGAGCTAGATATTTCTTATAAAAGGAGTTCGAGATGATTTGTAGTACGGCCATTTATTTAAAGGCAGGATACAAATCACAACCGTGACGAAAATAAGATGACAAAATGTCCGAACTATCTATCAGATTGGTGACTTCGAACGCGTTTTCTTATCAGTGGCTGGATTATAGCGTATGAATCGTACCTATAAAATGCTTTTGTATATGAAGTTGACCTGCCAGAAAAGGAACTGCCCCACTAGAACTTCCAACTGTTGGTCCCCTGGAAACTTGCGGCGGGTCCATTCGAACATAAGCTTTGATCTTCGGATAGCTTGGTTCTCGTTTTGGAACGGGACGGATTATCGATTACTTATATTCTACTTGCATTTTTTACTTATTTTATTCTACCATACACACACAAGTCCTTTAGAACTATTAGCAACTGTTGGGTGTCTTGGAGCTGACCTATCACCCAGAAATCTACACATGGCCTTTAGTCGCATTGCTAAAAACTTTCAAGGCAATTAATGGTTTCTACTTCCCATTGATTTATTTGGAATGACAATTGGGAATGTGCTTCCATAATCATGAATAATTCAATTGCTTGTCTTCCACATGCGGATGGCCTCTTTGGCCCTCGGATCGATTCATGCCAAAGGCTATTTGACTTCACGCTGCTCTTCGAGCAGAGCATTCTCACCGTCGGTCCGTCTACACTATTCATGCTGCTTATTTCTGTGCGAATACCTCGTCTATATCATAAGGATAGAAAACACTACCAAATTTCCTTTAGTATCTCAAATCGGTGATGATTTATGCCTCCGTCATCATGCATTGAAACTAACAACGGCAGTTGGTTATATCGGTACTTTTGTATCTTCAAATTGCCACATTAGCGTTATGGATAGTTTCCAAGGGCCAACAAACAATCGTGTCTGTGCCGGCAGCCGCGCTGTCAGTAACCGCAACTGTTGGACTCGCAGTACTGTCAAATCTGGAGAGCAACCGATCTACACGACCTTCGTTTGTGATTTGTACCTACCTCCTTGTATCTACGCTTTTAGATATAGCCCAAACAAGAACACTCTGGTTGCAACATGGAAGCACGACATTGTCGGCATTATCTACATGCAGTGTGCTTGTCAAGGTAATTCTACTGTGGCTCGAAGCGTCTGACAAGAGGTCCTTTCTTAAAGAGCCCCACAATAAGTACCCACCAGAAGCCTTGGCAAGGGTCATAAACACAAGTTTCTTCTGGTGGCTAAATAAACTCATCCAGAAAGGTCACAGAAATATACTCACTCTTGGTGACCTATTTGACACTGATAAGACGTTATCATCTGCTTCTCTAGAGGCAAAAATACAAACAGCATGGCGAAGACAATCCCCGGATGGAAAATATTCCCTACTCTTCACCATACTCGCATCTTTTAAAGTTCCTCTGCTCACACTTATCTTTCCACGTATTTGCCTGATTGGATTCAAGTTTTCTCAACCCTTGCTAATAAATCGAGCCATCTCGTTGATTGACGCTCCCGAGACATCAATAAATAGAGATATTGGCTATTCATTGATCGCTGCAACAGCTTTGATATACCTTGGTCTGGCAGTTAGCACCGCCCAATACCAGCGCCAGATATTCCGAGTCATCACCATGATTAGGGGAGGACTAGTTTTTATCATTTACAATGTAACGCTGACACTTGATGCAAATCATACTGGCGATTCCGCTGCAGTCACGCTGATGAGTACAGACATAGAACGCATTGGGACTGGATTCAGCACCGTTGATAGTTTATGGGCTGGACCCGTTGAAGCTGGGATTGCGATATATCTTTTGCAGCGAGAGTCAGGGCTAGCTTGCATTGCGCCCGTCATTGTCTCACTCTGTGAGTCTGCCTTGGGAACCGTAGTACCACTATTTATTAATATCCGTAGCATGCACTGTTGGAGCATTTTTAGTTATGAAATGGGCGAAGCATACGCAGAAGGAATGGGTAGAAGCAGTCCAGAAACGTGTTGCAATCACATCTTCCGCCCTTAAGTCAATAAGAGGTATCAAAATGCAGGGGCTTACAGCACGGTTGGCAAAAGACTTACAAGAACTTCGGGTTGAGGAACTCGAGTATGCAAAGCCGTTCCGTAGAAACATCATTGTCACAGCAGTAACATCCAACATCACTACCCTTTGCGGACCAGCCATAACGTTCATTGTTTATATCCTCATTGAGAGAACCAAGGATTCCGCAACTCTTAATATCAGTCAGACCTTCACCAGTCTGTCTCTGATTTCTTTATTAAGTACACCTGTCTCAGAAATGGTTCAAACTGTTCCTACGTAAGTCTTCTTCGTTGTTGTTAGGAAGTGTTTCTGACTTGAAACAAGATTTGCCGCTGCGATGGGATGTATGGAAAGAATCCAGACGTATATCAGGATAAAAGACCGCAGTGACCCTAGATTTACCAGCCCGGATTCTGAATTCAATTCGATAACTGTGAAGTCTCGAGACAACGTCAACATCTCCTCCAATGAGATCGAGTTGCAGAAAATAGATGTAATGCCCGCCATTCCGGTCAATGCTCGTAGCGAAAGTATCGTCTCAATCAAGGATGCATCGTTCTTTTTCTCACATGATGGTGCACCAGTTCTCAAAGACATCAAGCTTGAAATTCCTCGCGGTACCTTGACGATGGTTATAGGTGCTATAGGAAGTGGAAAGTCATGTCTTCTAAAGGTAATTCTTGGAGAGTTAACCAGCAGCAAAGGGTTTGTATTTGCAAATACTTCGAGCATTGCCTTTTGTTCTCAAACACCATGGTTGCCTAATAGCAGCTTACATGAACTCGTGCTTGGGTGTTCGAGTTATGATGAGGCTTGGTACAACGCGGTTATCACCGCTTGCATGCTTCATCATGATATTGTGAGCTTTTTGGATGGTGAGAGAACAATGATCGGCAGTGATGGAGCTGCTCTCAGTGGCGGACAAAAGCAGAGAGTAGTGAGTCTATCTACTATCTGCTGATGAATCTTAACCTATTTCCCAGATAAAAGCTGACGGTGATTAGGCCTTGGCACGTGCCCTGTATTCTAGAAGGGGATTGCTTTTGGTCGATGATGTATTCAGTGGTCTAGATTATAAAACCAACCAGGCTGTGTTTCGCAATGTCTTTGGTAGAGAAGGTCTTTGTAGATTGCATAACATCACTGTAGTTCTTGCTACACACGCCGGTAAGGACAAGCCCATGATTACACACCTTCCAAAACGACTTGACTAAGACAGCGAGAAATCAAGCTGACGATATTTAGTTGAACATCTGCAATCTGCCGACAACATCGTTATCCTCTCTAATAGTGGTACTTTTCTAGAGCAGGGAAAATTTCAAGGGTTACGAGAAAACGAAGATAGCTATATCAAGAACTTAATTTTTCATGAGCGTTCAGATAAGGATTCATATGCAGAGACAGATGAGGCTCCTGCTGTAGTCAAGACGCAGACTAAAGCTGAACCGCTCAACATAAGCGACATTAATCGTCAAGATGGTGACGCCAGTGTTTATTTTTATTTTGCCAAGTCCGTAGGCTGGCTTCATTTTTCCCTTTTTATCGGCACGGTAGTTTTGTACACTTTTTCTAGCCAGTTTCAAGTTGTTCTGCTGGAGTTGTGGTCCAAATCAGAAATTAGCCATTCAGGCGTCTACACTAATATGTATATGGGTTTATACGCAATGCTATCAGTGCTGGCATTGTGTGGAATTGGTGGATTACTGTGCGTCACGTTGCTCTTTGCTGGCCCATATGCTTCTATCAACCTGCACCGCACGCTTTTACATACTGTGATGAGTGCGCCGTATTCATGGTTTACGACAACTGACAGCGGAGTAATGCTGAATAGGTAGGTAATTGACTTTCCAAGGCTGATTTATCCACTGACTCTCTTCAGGTTTAGTCAGGATATGAGTCTAATCGATATGAAGTTATTAATCGGTATAGTTGACACATTTGCAGGCTCATTCATGGCAATTGCTCAAGCAATACTCATCGCTATTGGTGCCAAGTATGTAGGAGTTATCCTTCCATTAATCCTCGGAATCCTATACATTCTACAAAAAGTATACTTGAGGACATCAAGACAACTTCGGTTGCTAGATCTCGAATCTAAATCGCCACTCTACTCCCACTTCACCGAGACACTTAGTGGCGTTACGACAATTCGTGCTTTTGGCTGGCAAGCTCAATCAGCCGAGAAGAATCGGAAGCTTCTTGATATCTCCCAAAAACCTTATTACTTGCTCTATTGTATACAAAGATGGCTCAGTCTTGTATTAGATCTCATCATCGCCGGCATTGCCGTCATTCTTATAACATTTGCAACACAGATGCGTGGGACCACTAGTGCAGGTACCCTAGGTATTGCTCTTGTCAACGTTCTAGAGTTCAACTCCACATTGAGTTTTCTTATCAGAAAGTGGACTCAGCTAGAAACTTCTATTGGTGCTGTAGCCAGGGTAAAGAGCTTTGAAGCAAATACTTTGTCGGAAAATGGACCTTTGGAGGTTAACCTACCACCATCCGAATGGCCCATCAAGGCTAAAGTCGAGTTCAAAGATGTCACTGCGATATACGGGTAAAGGCTTAATCCGAACATGTTTACCCCATTTGCTAACCGTACGAAAGTATTGGTGAATCTGCTGTGTGTAATGTTTCATTTTCCATCGAGAGTGGTACGAAAATGGGTATCGTTGGGAGGACTGGGTCGTAAGTCTCCAAGCCCTTACTTGACGATTAAGAAGCTAATATACCTCCTCATAGTGGGAAGTCTTCCCTCATATTGGCACTCTTCCGAATGCTTGAGCTCAAAACAGGAGATATCCTCATTGATAACCTATCCATTTCTACTCTGGACCGGCAATCCGTACGCTGTTCATTCATCACTATCCTTCAAGAACCCTACTTCCTCTCTGCTACTATCGGCTTTAATGCCGGTCCTTTTCACTCGTTAGACAAGAAATCCATCCAAATTGCACTCTCTCGTGTTGGACTCTGGGACATAATACGTGAAAATGGAGGTCTAGAAGCACCCATGACCGCAGCACCTCTTAGTCAAGGCCAACAACAACTTTTCCGCATCGCAAGATCAATCATAAGGAAATTGGCGCTGGGAAACAAGAATCATGGTATCTTGGTGTTAGATGAGGTGACGAGTAATGTTGATTCTGGTACTGAGGAGATCATGTTGAAGATTTTAGAAGAGGAGTTTAAGGGATGGACGGTATTGGCTGTGGCTCATCGATTGGGTACCATTAGGGGTTATGATAGGGTTTTGGTGCTTGGTAAGGGGTGTGTTGTGGAGGATGGGACACCGGATGAATTGATTCAGATGGAGGGGGGTTTGTTTAGGGAATTGTGGGAAAGTGGCTTTGGGAAGGTGGATAGTGTGTAGTTTGTTGTGCAGAATTGTGTTTCTTTGCCTGCTTCTTTTATTCCGCTTGTGTGTAATATGGTATTGCTAGACAATTTCTTAGATGGTTGATTTTCTTTATCTTATTGTAAGTATTTCTTCGATGATACTGTATCTATATCAATCCATGCAAAAGGAATGACTGATCAGTGATAAATGATAACCTTACTCGGATTTGAAATCCACATCATCTAATCATGAAAGTCATCAAACTTAACTATCGAAATCCTCCAAGACAAAACCGTGACATTTCAACATTCTTAATATTTCACAATTCACAATGAATAGTATCCAAACTGGTAATTAGATACCTAGTTCAATTAGATTTTAAAAAGACATACATACACTCGAAAGTTGAAATATGTCATTGAGGATTCATCATAGTCTAACTTGTAGTATCCGCATAATATTAGGTGGAGTGATAGATCTTTCGTCAATAGAGGAAGACTACGAGATGTATTTATGTCAATGTTTATATCTGTATTATACAACGGATTTCTGTTGTTATCGAGGTAGTATATTGTATATAGTATGAAATTCTATCAGTATCTGAACTTTGTTGCAAGGTCTTATATGTATTCTGTTAATATATAGATAGAACTATCGTTTATCACGCATGTTTATGTGTATATAGATTATCATCTCTGAGAAACTTATCTTCTCTTAAATTCCTACTATAAAGTCCAAGATTCAAGATAGCATTACATTGTTCATATGTCAGGCTTAGTTCTATCGAGTAAATACCAGATAGGTTATTTCAATACTAAATCACTCATTCATCATATCTATCTAAAATATATCATCGGTTACACCTACTCTACTCTCCTCTACACCACTCACTCACCAACAATTCTTTATCCAGGGATTTTCCGCTCTCTTCAACTCTTTGAGTCATTCCTCTCCTTTTTACGCGGAGAAGGGGGGGCTGATTCGAGTTTTGTTTGTAAAATCTCACATTTGTTTCTTGAAAGAATATATAGGAACGGTGTCGTCGGTGTCGCCGATATGTGATGTTATAAATAGGGATGATCTAAGGCTATAGGTAGCTTAAGATCTTATATATAGAGATAGAGATAAAGAGTTAGATAGAAAATTCATTTGTTATCTTACATTCAATATCGCATCAATCAATAGCTTTCATTTCATAGATAATTATCCAATTCTAGGGAATTAGTTAGTCTTTCATGCAATCAAAATACAATCAAGTTACAATGAAAACAAATTCCCCCATATTCAACAATACCCTTCCTTATCCATATCCAACAAAGGAACTCCCGGGATTCTCTAGCTAGCTAGCTAGCTCTTTATCTCCTCCTGTGCGGAGAAGATATACGGGAGTACTCTGTAGTATAGTATAGTAAGATTACAGCAGTACCTATATACAGAATAGAGAAGAGTAGTATAGCAGTATACACAAAATAGAATAAAATAGAATAAAATACTAAATAAGATAATTCTTACCAACAATCTAAATACCGCATCCATCCATCCCCCGATTCTAAATTCTAACCCAAATTCGCAATTCCCAATTCGTAATCCACAAACAATCCAAATTTCATCTCATCTCAACTCATTTCACAAACAAAAAGCGGAACCACCAAATCAGGCCTCTTTTATCCCTTACGGAGTAACTCTCAACTTTTGAAGTTTTAATATAAGTCTTGTCCGTCCCTGCACCTGTTCATAAATGCGGAGGGAGGGTCCAATTCCTGACCCCTCGAAGCTTCGTTTTTGTTCTAGAACTTTGGGTTACATGGGTGTTTACTCCGTATACTAGGTACCCACTACTTACGGAGTATATGAAGTGGAAGGTTTATGGATTGGATGATTGGGTCTGGAATAGAGATTTATTAATTATTTCATTAATTATTTATTGTATTTTGTGTATGTGTAGGTATGTAGAGTATGGAGTTTATACTTTTTGAGATGGAGATAAAGATGAAGATGGAGATGAATAAAATAATGAAAATAAAATAAAATTATGTCTATGTAAGGAAGTAGTAAAAGATGAATTGAGTTTCAGTAGTATTTGCTTAGGTTACTTAGGTTACATCTCTATTGTATACCAGATACGTATTACATACCGAGTACTGGTGTACGCGTTAACCTTAACGGTAATTATTCATGAAGGTCGGTGAAGAGTATTTGTTGGTAAGGGCCATACATGCTATGATACTTCGTACCGGTGAACACAAATGATGTATATAGCATGCAGCGTAACCAACGAAAATGTCTCAGCGGATTGGGATACTAGAGATGTGGGTGATGCGAAATAGGATAGATTGATATACTCCGTATGGAGTAGAGTATTTTGTAGATAGATAGATAGTTAAAGTACGGTGGTAGGATGTTTATATGTTTAGTTCTGTATAATTGATTGTTTTTATCTTCTGTCATTTATAGTATAGTGTATATATTATATCTCTATTGAGAAATTGTCACGATGCTTCCTTCTTAATCTAATCATCACTGAGATAAGATGCGATGAGATGAGATGAGATGAGATGATCTTCTGCGGTAATGCAATACAGATGATCATTCAAAGACAAATCATCCATCATAGTACAATAACGAAGATCTGATATAAATCCATAATAGCAGGATATGCAGTTAACCTACTAACTACTAGGTAGGTATATCCAGTAATCCCTATAAAAAATGAATAGCATCTCGAAAATCCCCGAGTATTCAGATCAAAGCTCTGTTTATCCTTTCTTCTTTCTTCATATTACTCAACATTAAGCTTTACGATTAGATGTATTAGATACTAAATAAATAAAATCTTACTTTTTTACTAATTCGAGATACGAAGTACCTAGATATGTAATTATATAAGTTGTAAAAAGATATAATAATAACTTATTCAAACCATCTGAGGTATTTTCATCTAATTTATATCAAATACAAATACGAATAATAAGAGAGAGAGAGAGAGAGAGAATTTCAAAGAATGAAATAATTATCACCCCCTAACTTCTAACTTACTTCTAACTTTGTTTCCGGGTAACTTTAAGGTGTCTAGGTAGGTACCTATGCACCGCAACTTTAAATGTCGATGATTGATAGATACGGAGTATGATGTTCGGAGAATGATGTACGGAGAGTGAATCTGAGTGATGTGCTCGGTTAGAAATGTGAGATGTCTTGTTCCTGATTATGGTGAGGGGATCTAATGCAGGTACGATGCAACGCAACTTGCAGCTTATATCCTTGCCAAGAGAAATTGCATAGGTATGTACTAGGTAGGTACTCTGTATCTGATCTGATGAGAATTAATTATATTTGTCCTTGCTTGTAGAGGTATGGAGGAGGGAAGTATTTTATTATTGTATGAGATCAAGGTGAGGGAGGGTTGGTGGATTAATCGAATGGTTTTTATTCTAGATTTTATTATAATCTGATGTGATGTGGAAATCTTGGGGAGGTTCTAGATTTCTTGTTCAGTTATATTATATGAAATTTCTTTTTAATATGATATCAAGTACTGTACGTACGCGTACGGGATATAAGCATTATAAATTAAAGTTTGAATATTAGAACAGCCACCCATCTGCACTCCTTCGGAGCTATAGCTAGCATACATACATACATACATACCTAGTACATAAACACATACTAGACTGAACCAAACAATCAAAAGCATCCGCGGAAAGATTTTATCACTTTTAACAAAACGTTTATCCTCATCCCTTCCCCATCAAGCATCCAACATCTAGCATCCATGCCAACCCCAGAATCCAACAACGCACCAACAAAATAAACTCCAGGGAGTATATTCATGCGTGTCCCTGTTTGAAATCTCCTGGGTGCAATACTTGGTACTTTATTTGTTTCAACCCTTTTTCCCCTCGTCAAATTTTTGAGATGAACGCTCGTGTCAGTCATGCTGTTTAGATATATTACGGTGTAGCTGTACCGAGTGTATGCTTGAGAGTCTGGAATCTTGGTGGGTAGGTATGGATGGATGGAGTAAATGGTTTTTCTGGCGTGATGATGATGATGGTGATGACATCACGATGGCGGTTTTGTGCCTTGTGCATTTTCTTATCAATGTACTTTTCCGGGGACGGGAGAGAAATTGTTGAATTGGATGTTGATGCATTGATGTTGATGGATATTCATATCGTGGTTGATTGTTGGCCTACCATTTGCTTGGTTTGTGTAGAGGTAGGGACCTAGGTAGGTATGTAAATACCTCATGTAAAATGAGGGGTTTTATGAATTCGGGAGTTTACAGTAGGTTACTATAAATGATAGCAATCGGCGACTTGGTCGTTTATCACCAATAATTAGTAGGTGGATAGGTAGACCTCTCGAATGATAATCTATCCATCTATCTGTAGAAATACACCAACATCGATCTTGAGGTTATACAAGTATACCCAGGTACTAACCTCCAACCCAACCATTTTAATCCTTCAGGAATAGACCTCGAATAATATATTCAAATCCAGTCAACAATCGATCATTCCACTGAGGCTTTTTCACTCGTCTCACAAATCTCCAAATCCATTCAGCTTCCTCTTTCCCCCCTCGCCTCAGCGTTTCGAGTCCCCTTCCTTACCGTACATACGTAACTCCATCCCATTCCCAAATCAATCATTGAAAACCTTAACCCCATAGACATGTATTAAATTCTCCACGAAAAAAGAATAATTGAAACCATTAAATTATCGCTGTGATCAAATCGACAGTATCAGAACGTAAGGTTTCCATGTACGCCTAGAGAATAATAGCACAGGGCTGTTTCAATTGAGAAGAAAAAGGAAACATATCATGCCCCTCGTGTCGTCTCATCGTCTCATCGTACAGGAATGCAAAACTCCCCGGTTGTACATGAGTACCAAATTGTTTCGAAAAGAGATAGGAAAGGAAAATTGTATGGATGAATTGAATGAATGGTCTGAATATTCATCTATCTGCGGTGTGTACGAATTATTCACCATCGAGCACTCACACCACCACTTCCGATAGATCCAAGTTCGGATCTAAATTCAGCAAAAGCTTAGGTAGGTAACCACCCTAATAAGAATTTTATTACACTTTTCCCTTTCCACAGCTTTCTTTCTTTCTATCCACCAATTTACAATTTCCCCAAATTACACAACTCCAACTATCGATCTAGACATCCTCAGTTACTTATTCATCCCTACTCCCAAAGCCAACACAATACGGAGGAGTATTCATCACAAGCTGCACGCTCCACACCACACAGCAAGCTCTAAGCACAATCCCACACAAAAATACGTACCGTGCCTAGCGACTAGTCCCGGCTGTCCGAGATGAACCCAACAAGGCGCTGATAAACAAACTCTGTACCTGTTTCAGAATAAGTAGCATAACAGCGGGAACCTTACTTTACATATTAGGAGGCTAGGAGCTGTGCATCTAGCCCTGTATAGACAGATAGACTATGGCTACTTTGGTAAGATTCGTTTGCTAACCATTCTCTTGTAGATCGATTGACCTATCGGGAGAATTTGGTACCTACTTATTAGATATCTATCTAATAGTATGGTAAGACTTACCTAGCTAGGTATCTAATATTTACCCATACACCATACCATCCATCAAGAATCAACCAATCCGGAAAGAAGTTCTCCTCTATTCTCCGTACCCTTCTCCCCCTTCTCACCAAAAGAAAGCTAGCAGGACTACCTACCTACTCCGTATTCATTCATCTTCAGAAAAGTCCAAGCCATCCCTGTTTTATTTTTGGGTTTAATCTTAATCAATCTAATTATCCTACTTATTCTTTTTTATTTTTATTTTTCTTTAATCTTTTTATACAAATAAATATCTAGGTATCCAAAATACAAACTCTATACCCCGTCCATACACACTCTATCCATATTTTAAGACTACAAAAACAGCAGACGGAGATTCCGGTGAAAGATCTCTTTCTCTCCTTACAGAAGCCTTTCACTAGATACCTACCTAGCTAAACACTTGGATATCTATTCTCGGTATTCAGGCAAAGAAATAGGGATAGAAATAGTAGATTTCTTGGTACGTATAATCAATCTATTGATATAAGATCGATGAAATCAACATCCCAACTTCCTAATATAATACAAATAAATACCTATCTACATACATAAATAAATAAATACTCTTTTCTTTGATTTATCTATTCATTCATTCAATCATTCATCAATTTATTCATTCACAATTCAATCAATTAATCAATGAATCTATGCGCTAATTTCCGGGCTGTCCCGTACACACACCATCAAGTGACAGTGAATTCATTAAAGATACTCAATATTCTTATACTCACTCTCCTTATCATAAATAATGTATTTGTATATTTATTATTTACCTGTTTGTTAAATACTATTTCCGAGGATGAAAGAAATAAAGAAAGAAAGAAAATGATTGTTAACATGATTGTTTCTTTAGATACTTACTTACCTACTGTATCTAATTCTATTATCGTATGTACTCTTTGATAGGTGCGTACCTGGTACCTGAATGACAATGACGAGATTTAAGAAACGAGTAGAGATTAGAGGAATCTTTTGCCGATAAATCATCAAATCAGCAAATCATCAACAACTTCAACAACTTCAAAGAAATTCTTCGTCGTCATACCAATTACCCCTGGATTATTTAATTCCATCACATCTCCCTCAAATTCCCCAAATTCATTCGTCAGAATATTACATTCATTTACATTCATTACTTTTGTCAACGTTTACCATCCTTGTTAAACATCATCACCCAATCCCTCTACTTTCCACAAGATAACCCTGGACCAAACACTTTCAAAGATTATCCACTAAATCTTATTAGCCCCGCTCCACAGCAACCAACCCCAGTCTCACCCATCCATCAAACTTACCATCCTTTGAAATAAAACCATCTTCTTTTCCCAACCCATCTGGATCTTTTCCTCTTTTACCCACCACCACATCTACATTCCTTACCAGTCTTTCGAGGCACTTACACTCCTTCAAAAGGCTTGTCATTCTTCGAAAGAATCTTCCTTCACGAGTACAGCAGTGCTGCCAATCTTTTAACGCCCAATTTCTTAACGAAACGCGGTCCAAGTACCCTCACTTTCTCGAAGAAAGCAAAAAAGTCCCAACAAGGAAACAAAACACAACCTACATTACCATCAACATCAATCAAAATGCGTTCCTCAATCGCCATCGCTTCCCTCTGCGCTGCATTCGCAGTCGCTTCCCCAATCGTCAAGAAGGGTATCGAAATCGCTGCTCCCGCTGATCAAGTCGTCGAGACACATGTTGAAGTCGTCACCAACGTTGTCATGGTCACCGTCACTGGAGAGCCCGTCATCGTTACCGCTGGAGCAGAACCTACCCCAGCCCCCGTCATCGTGACTGTCACTGCCCCAGAACCCGTTATCGTGACTGCCACTGCCCCAGCCCCAGTTTGGTCTGCCCCAGCTTGGTCTTACCCTCACAGATACTCCCACTCTCAAGCCCCTCCTCCGGCACCAACCTCAACTTCCGAAGCTGTTGTTATCGTCACTGAAACTGAAGCCGCTCCCACCCAAGCCCCTCCTCCGGCACCAACCTCAACTTCCGAAGCTGTTGTTATCGTCACTGAAACTGAAGCCGCTCCCACCCAAGCCCCACCTACCACTACTCCTGCTCCCCCAGCTACTACTGAAGCTGCCGCTGCCAAGATTGTCGAATCCTCCCCAAGCTCCGTCGCTCCTGTTGTAGAGAGCACACCGGTTTCCTCTGCCACCGATGCTCTTACCCCATCTGCCGTAGTTGCACACAATGATGCCCGTGCTAGCCATCAAGCTAGCACCATGTCCTGGAATCAAACTCTCGCTGACTATGCCGCCCAAGAGGGTAGCTGCGCCACTTTCGCACATGACTTGTGAGTTTTCTTCATATCTCTTCTATACCATAATGCCATGCTAACATGAAATAGGACCGCTGGTGGTGGTGGATACGGACAAAACATTGCTGTTGCCGGAAACTCCAACTCTGCTGCTTACACCACCGAAGGTGCTCTCGCCGATGCCATCAAGGAATGGTACGCTGAGGAATCCCTTTACGGTTCCTTGTACGGTGTTGCCAACCCATCTGAGTCCGTTGGTGATTTCTTGCATTTCACCCAAATGGTTTGGCAAGGATCCCACCAAGTCGGATGTGCCGTTAAGACTTGCGGAACCGACAACACCATCTACCCAGGCATGTACGTCTGGTACAGCGTCTGCAACTACTATCCAGCTGGAAATGTCATTGGTGAATTCGACATCAACGTCCTCAATTAAATGATATCATGCCCGATTGCACATAAAGGAGTTATTGGCGTTTAAGCTCTGGAGCTTAACTTACCTTTCATGTATGAACTTCTATTGAGAGGAGGTTTTGTTTCCGAGCGCTGGGCCGCGACTCATACCTTCGATACGCAGCTGATGACATTATAAAAAATGGATAGATTTGGATGGAACTTGCGACTTCCTAGGGTGTTTGACGACATTCTTGAACTTATGCGATGCGCCTTTTAGATACCCCTCGAATAGCTTGGGTCCCTAACTGCTTTTTGTTATTTCGCACGTATTGGCATTCTGTCCATTATTCAATTCTTGTACATAATTGAACATATAGGATCCTTGGGATGCCTTTTTCCAATAATTTTTCCCAATTCTTGTTTGCATTGTGATTGTAAATCTGATTGTGAACCGTTGTCCTTCTGAGTCGACTGAAGTGGGAGATTTGTCCTCTTGTTTGACAAACGAGAGAGGAGAAAAAGATCTTAGTTTATAAGTAACATCTCTAGGATGATTCGCCTATACCTCTGCTGGGTTCTAGGCCATGGATCGATTAGGTCCGGAGTGATCTACGATGATGTGACGATATGTCGGTAGGCATGATTGAAGTGAGGTGTGATTGAGTGTGTTGGGATGAAGAAAGCTTGGCAAAATTGAGAGTCAGTCAGTATGTACTATCCGAAGCGGGTATCAATTCTTCGGCAGCTATGATAAAATGGTCCGTGCCTAATCTGAGTGATGGAATTATTGGTGATATGGCGATAAGGCGATACGCCTAGAAATGTCTCGAACTTTTTCTCTAGGTAATTACACAATACATAAAGTCAACTTTTTTAAAGTCGAGTGCTGCTTGTTTTTGGGATATTCTATTTGATTTCAGTATCTCTAAAGTGTGAGAGATATTTCTGATTGTTTATCACCACTTATTCGACCCGTATCGTCCTTCAGTAGCGGAACTATTAGGTATTATTAAGTGCGAAATACGAGGCAACCGTGAGGTAACCTTGAGAATCAACTCGATCACACAACCCAACTCTCCATCTCTCCCACGAGGATTTCACCTTGCATTGCGTATAAAACTCGCGACTCACTTCAAGACCATCAGACCTCAAGCCTTTGATTTCAAGGATACATAGTTGACTTCATAAACGATGGCTGCAAATCTGCGTGGAGTGGGGGAGGGGCAAGGCATAGGACAAGCTTTGAAGAACATGCTAGGAAAGGCCACCACGGCGGTACCAGAAGAGAAGAACGATAAAGTGCAATTAGTTAACAGGGCCGGGGAAAGTAAGAGTCCATATGTTCGCGCACACTCTTCGAATCCTGTTGCATGGCAGCTTTGGGGAGATGAGGCTATTGACTTGGCGCGCCGAGAAAACAAGTTATTGTTCGTGAGTATTGGTTACAGTTCTTGTCATTGTAAGTATTCTGTTCCGCGATTCTCAGCAAGTGGGTGATCACAGACTTACAGGATGTATCAAGGGTGCCATATAATGGAGCGCGAGTCTTTCGAAAACGAAGAGGTCGCTGCGATATTAAACAGCTCATTCATACCTATCAAAATCGATCGCGAAGAACGTCCGGATATTGATCGCATTTATATGAACTTTGTGCAAGCCACAACGGGCTCTGGAGGATGGCCACTGAATGTCTTTCTTACACCGAGTTTGGAGCCAGTGTTCGGAGGAACATATTGGCCAGGACCAAGTAAGACGAAAGCCTTTGAAGACCAAGTCGACTTTTTAGGAATTTTAGACAAATTGAGTACAGTTTGGTCAGAACAAGAACGGAGATGCAGACAAGACTCGGCTCAAATTCTACAGCAGTTGAAGGACTTCGCAAATGAGGGAACATTGAGTAACAGGTTAGGAGATGCCGTGGACAATATTGATATTGAATTACTAGAAGAAGCCACCCAACATTTTGCGAAGAGCTTCGATAAGAAGAATGGAGGTTTCGGGTCGGCTCCAAAGTTCCCTACTCCTTCAAAACTCGCCTTTTTGCTCCGTTTGAGCCAATTTCCACAAGCTGTACTTGATATCGTTGGAATTCCCGATTGTGAAAATGCGAAAAATATTGCCATCACAACTCTCCGGAAGATGGCTCGTGGTGGGATTCATGATCATATTGGGAATGGATTTGCCAGGTATTCTGTCACCGCTGACTGGTCTCTCCCTCACTTTGAAAAAATGCTTTATGATAATGCACAGCTACTACATATCTACTTGGATGCTTTCCTTTTATCAAGAGATCCGGAGTTTCTAGGTGTTGCATACGATATTGCAGATTATTTAACAATCACCCTCTTTCATCCACAGGGAGGATTTTATTCTAGTGAAGATGCCGATAGCTATTACAAAGCTGGCGATACCGAGAAACGAGAAGGTGCCTATTATGTTTGGACGAAACGAGAATTTGAGAACATTCTTGGCACAGAACATGAGCCGATACTGTCAGCATTTTTCAATGTTACTAGTCATGGTAATGTAGCTCAAGAGAATGATCCACATGATGAATTCATGGATCAAAATGTGTTGGCTATTTCAAGTACTCCATCTGCATTAGCAAACCAGTTCGGTATGAAAGAGGCTGAAATTATAAAAGTTATCAAGGAAGGCAAAGCGAAACTAAGGAAACGTCGAGAAGCTGATCGAGTAAAGCCAGATATGGATGACAAAATTATCGTGAGCTGGAACGGTATTGCGATTGGTGCTCTAGCTAGAGCATCTGCAGTTATTAACGGTTTCGATCCAGTCAAGGCTCAAGACTACCTAGATGCGGCTCTTAAAACAGCAAAGTTTATCAAGGAAAACCTTTATGATGAAAAATCCAAGATTCTCTACCGGATTTGGCGTGAAGGAAGAGGTGACACCCAAGGATTTGCGGATGATTATGCATTTTTAATGGAAGGGCTTATCGATTTATATGAAGCTACTTTTGATGAAAAGTGGCTTCAATGGGCTGATGAACTTCAACGTAAGTCATTTCTTCCCCTCTTTTTAATATGTTACTAATTGTAATCAATAGAATCTCAAATAAACTTCTTCTATGACACAAATAAAGGTGGCTTCTTTTCAACCATCGCCTCGGCACCAAACGTGATCCTTCGTCTTAAAGAGGGCATGGATTCTGCTGAGCCCTCCACAAACGGCACATCTTCCTCGAATCTCTACCGCCTGTCTTCGATTTTGAATGATGAATCTTATGCAAAGAAGGCGAATGAGACAGTCAAGAGTTTTGAATCTGAAATGTTGCAGTATCCTTGGTTATTCCCTAGTTTCATGCCAGCAATTGTAGCTAGTCACTTGGGTGTAAAGAGTGTTGTGATTCATGAGGTAGCTGGTGATACCATAGCCGAGAAGCGAGTTCGAGAATTCCAGAAAGCGCCCAGAGGTGGATTGGAATCGCTTCTTCTGTTGGATTCATCCGAGAGGAATGGACAGTGGTTGATAGAGAGAAATTCTCTGTTGAAGGACACGGGGAAGAGCGAAAAGACGAAGATACTAATCTGCGAAAATGGGCTTTGTAAAGAAGAGGACGAGGTATTCTTTGTGGACTCGGGTGTAAAAATGGAAAGTCCGAACGATGGTGAAGGTTTCAAAATGGCTGGTTTGCAGGGATCATTACCGAACTTGGGAGGAGATGCAAATAAGACTTAAGGAGAGAATCAAAGTTCAGAGGGGCATTTGCGAGAGGTTGAGCGGCTAAGCCTACCGTCACGGGTGCAAAAAAGGAAAATTAGGTATACATACGCTCATTAGTACAGAGCGTTTCTCACAGTAAACGACTCTGTGTAGTTAGCCACACTTGGAATTCTTTTCATATGTAGTAGGGTGGAAAGAAGGAAAAATAGCGATCAAGGCGTTAATTTGGGTTTAGTGGAGGTTTATCAATGTTAAATCTTCATTAGGTTAGCGTGTATAAAATTATTATTTTCACTACTCAGTCACTCATCAATATCTTCTTTTAAATGAAAAGCTGTCATTATCATTGATATAGAGGTATCATCCATCCATCCACTTGAAAATTAAACCTTACACACACATATATATATATCACAGATCCTAGATATTATTAAATACTTTGAGCTGCTAGCTAGATAGAGTATAATATTATTAATTTATCTTTGAGATTACTTACAGATGTATAAACTTATAAACTTATAAACAAAATATATTCTAAAAAATACTTCTTATCTACCTACCTACCTAACCATCCATCCCAACCCCTCTGTCACGATTCACCATTAGGATTGATGGTGTTACGATGGTAGCAAACTGATTAATTAGGAGAGCTTAGGCCGTGTGCAAACACGATCAGATTTCATCGAATTAGTATGTGATCTTGGTCACCTGAAGATCGTATGCGCACGCACCATCAGAAATCGCGTGATAAGGAGTCTTGAGGAGCCAGAAAGCTCTTAGGGGCCCCCTTTATTGTTCAGTATATAGTCAGAGTAGTTTCATAGTTTAGGAGCTTCGTGCTCAACTTAGTTATCAATTAGTTTACCTACATTCTACTTGATCTAGTAACGACTTCACTTCCAAGTGAAGACTAGTGATAAAGCCTTAACCCACAACTACCAATCAGACGAAACCTCAGGCAGCCGCTGCCTCCGGTACAGTATCGTTACACCCTCAACTCTACTTCCTTATAAATTATCACCTACTTTCTCATTTATCAACTTTATATATTATATTTATATTTTTTTATTCTATACCATTCTATACTATCTTCTCTTCATTTATCTTTTTTTTATTTTATAAAGCATGAAGTCTTTAAATCTTAAATAGACTCTAATTTATAAATAAATGATATTTAGAATTTTTTTAAAAAAAGTTAACGTAACGTATGGGGAACTCGGACATATGGGGAACTCGGACACTTTTTGCCCATCGCCAACTTGAAACCCTAATAACTTTTATTATGTATACCCAATCACCTTTTACACCTGCTCAGATTGAAGAGAAGCTTCAACAGGCTATAGTTGCACTTCAATTAAAAGAATTTAAATCAATTAGAAAGGCTGCAGAGCATTTTGAAGTCCCTAAGTCCACTCTAGCCGATAGGCTGGCTGGGAAGAAAACACGTTCCCAAACCCACGAAATGGCTCAAATTCTTTCAAACGCAGAAGAAAATACTCTTGTACGATGGATTTTACGACTCACGATCACTGGATTCCCTGCTACACCTATGTTGGTGAAGGAAATGGCCGATGAAATTCGTCTTCGACACGTTCAGATCGCATCATCTCGAATTCCTACCTCGACAGAAATTCCACCTATAGGCCACGAATGGATCTATAGATTCCAAAAACGACATCCAGAACTTAAAACATGCTATTCACATCAATTAAAGTCTAATTAGGCTAAAGAGGCAACTCTGGAGAATATTCAGACTTGGTTTGATGCGTTTCGTATATATCTTATTGAACGAAAGTATGAATTAGATGATATATATAATATGGACGAAACCGGATTTGGAGTTGGAAGTATTCAAATTACATGTATTATAATCGATTCTACTCAGAAATCGAATTGGAAAGTTACAGCTGGCAAGCAAGAATGGATAACTGCATTTGAATATGTCAATGCAGCTGGAAAGGCTCTATCACCTATAATCATTTTCAAGGCTCAGAATACGAATTCTGCATGGATTCCAAAGGATACATCTCAAAGCTGGCAGTTCTCTACTAGTACGAATGGATGGACCTCAAATAATCATGGATTAGAATGGCTAAAAAGGGTTTTCGAACCAGAATCCAAGAAAGTGTTAGGTGACCGACCTCGACTTTTGATCATGGATGGCTATTCAAGTCATATTACAGGCAGCTTTATTGCTTTCTGTATAGAGAAGGATATTGATTTACTTATATTACCTTCTCATTGCTCCCACTTGCTTCAGCCACTTGATATTGCGGTGTATGGGCCAATGAAACGATATCATGCTTTGGGGGTCGATCGATATTCTCGAGTTGGTGTAAAGCGAATTCAAAGAGCTGAATGGGTAGAACTCTTTCAAAATATTAGAAAAAAAGCATTGAATTCTTCTAATATTAAAGCTGGTTGAAGAGGAGCTGGTTTAGTACCTTTTGCCCTACGAAAAGTACTCGATACATTATTATTTAACTCCTCCCAGCAATCTTCTACTCTACAAATGAGAACCCTTAATCAAGATCTAGACTTATCTGTACTCAGAAGTTCTCCTCCAGATGGGACAGAACTAATGCAAGCAAATCAGATCTTTAATACAGCTCTAGCAAGCAGTGGTTCTCCTGCATCACCAACTCGTCGATATGCTAAGAGAATGACTAGGCTTGTAGAATCTCAAAATGCTGAGATAGCCTTACTTCGGAAACAGCTCGCTGATGCTCAGGAAGTAATTGAGACTCGAAAAAAGAGAACTAAAGGCAAAAGAGTCAAATTACAAGGTCAATTTGTCTTTAGTACTAAGGAAATACTGAAAATAGTACATGAGGCGGAGGAAAAACCTAAGGAGAAAAAGCCACGAGGACGACCACGCAAGCGCCCAATTGAAGAATCAGAAGAAGAGATTGAAGAAGAAGAGCTAGAGAATAGTTCAAATGATTCAGAATTGGAATTGGAGGATTGTGTGGCTTGTAGAACAAGATCGCGTGTAGAATAATTGAAAAAGTGTCCGAGTTCCCCATATGTCCGAGTTCCCCATATGTCCGAGTTCCCCATATGTCCGAGTTCCCCATACATTACGTTATAAGATTTTTAATTTTTTTTTAGATTACTCCATGATCTATATATACTCTATATAAGAATTAAAGTTTTAATTTTAATTTTAGTTTTTGATTTATAACTTTTAACTTAGTTTTAAGCGATTGGAAAAATTCCGCTTCGCGAGGGGGAGTTGGATACGATGATGTGGGGTGTGGGGTTGTAGGATGGGGGAGGGAGATTGGTGATAGTTATTTTATATTTGTAAGACTAATAAAGAAGATGTGAGGGTAAGTAAGTCTTATATTTCTTAATATTCATAATCATAATCATAATACTAACACGACCCCGTCCGTATCTCTCCCACGCACTTTTAAAGCCCGATCCAAGTATCCAACGTTCACCAAATGACTGTGGTCCCAACCCAGTGCCAGGTCTATAAACTCAATATCACAATCCCTTTAACCTCGCTCCCTGAGTCCCAAAAAAAAAAGAAATTCCGTCAATACTCCAAAGCTATCTTTTGTTGTCCTAGATTGAGGTATCATCCGTGCCAACTCCTTGAAATTGATCGCGTACTATTCCTCCTTAGCCCCAATGCCCAGAAAAACGAGAGTGCCAGTTTTTAATATATATGTGCCCATTGATAGTTTTGCATCGGGTTACCGAATCCTAACATACGTGTTGATCGAGCGAGTCAGAAGAGGAAGACAAGGTTTCAGAATGGCTCTCAGAAGTAGATCGGGCCATCTTCTCTGTGCTGGCCGCACTATCCGCATCATCATTCTCTTTTCCCGTATCTTGCCTTTCCTCATCTGTAGGCCCCGCCTTCGCCGAGCCAATCCTGCAAAAAAGAATTAGGATACACAATGCAGTGCTCGCACAGGCGACTTCAAACCAAAACACTGCTTTATAACTATGTCGCAAACTCCCACCTTTCTTCAGCACCGAGCTTGCAATAATGTCCGAGATACCTAAGCATACGGCGATGGAAAGTTGCATGATGGAGTTGATCAGGGCGCCTGCCAAGACCCTGTTGAGACGATGACAGAGAAGTAGTGATGAAGATTGTTGTGACGTTAAATGTTATATCTATGCCGAGTGTTGCACAAGTCATTGCTGTAAATACCCCATGCCCAAAATGATGCATTTTTGGGAGCAAGTGCGAAGAGCAAAGGAGCAATGATCCAGCATATGCCAGAGAAGGTGATTAGAACTGTACCGGGAATCAAATGGAGTATGAAGCCGCCGAACGTGCCGATCAAACATCCCCCGATAGCGAGCGGGATAAACCAAGCAACAAGTTGAAGGCAAGAAGCGCCCATTATGTTGGTACAGTAGAATGTGGCATAGAGAAGAAAGACTCCGAGGCTTCCATAGGTGAAGAATAAGGCAACGAAGAGAGGTTTCATTCTTGGGACGGCAAATAGCGAATATGGTAGGAGAGGCTGACTCGCAACGTATCGTTCGACGTACATAGCAATTGCGAAGAGTACTATCCCAGACACGAATGGAATAATGATATAGGGTGTCTTGAACCCCTTCGGGGCATAGGCGCTCTCCGTCAAGGCAAAAACGAAAAGTATAAAACTAGTTGCCAAAAGCCCTGATCCAAGCCAGTCCATCTGAAGCCCATCCTGCCTATCATTTTCGGATGGAATGCAGATTGTCGCGGTGGCGACACTTATGAAGGACAAAATAGCCCCGATCCAGAAAAACCTAAGAACGAATTAATGAAAGTGGCTAGAACAATATTTGGCACATACCATGCCCACGTAGTATATTCGGCAGTCAACCCAGCGAAAAAGATACCAATGAAAAAGCCAGCAGCTCCACATGCACCATATATACCTTGAAGTGGTTAGATGCGTAATCGTCGTTTTTTTATGGTCACTCACTGAAAACAAGATTCTTTCTCGGTCCTGGTCGATATGTTCGGCCTAATAACATCATCCCTGATGGCATGAATGCAGCTGGACCGAGTCCCTGCAACGCTCGGCATATATCAAGCATATACTGATCTTTTGAAAACCCAGCGATTAACGACCAGAGTGTAAGCCACGAGAGACCAGCGATGTAAACAGGTCGTCCACCATATATATCCGCCAGTCTACCTAGTGGTAACATTACAGATGAGACCATCAGGGAATAAGCCGCCGCTGGCCATGTCGATGAAGATATTGGGATATTAAGATCTTTCATGAGATCTGGGACAACAACAGCAAATCCGCTAACAAAATACTCCTGTATATATGGCGTAAGAATAAAACGTTGTCTATATGCTTAAAATTGACATACCGAAAGAACTTGAGAAACGCAAGTAGAAAATCTAAGATATACCACACATCAGCATTTAACGGAGAATTTTGGGGCAAAAGAACGCATCGTTTTGTCGGGAAGTTTGGTTGTACGATTCCTTTGGAAGATTGAAACCATCTAAAGTATTTAAATCATCCGAAAGATTTGAAGTCATAACAGAAAGAAACCATTCTGATCAATAATATCGGACAAACGGGCAGAGCAATTCTAAAAGAACGGAAAGTTCTGACGTACACAAATCCAATTTCGACCCATACTGTCTTGAATTGAGGCGGTCTTTGGCGACCTAAGCGCTCAGTATCGGATTTCGCTAAGTTCAACATGAGAAACGTACAGACGTAGAGAAGTACGGAGAGACTACTCTACTTGTACTTTCATAGATGGTAGGAACGAGCATTTTACTGGGATTGAAAGACCAATCGGCGGTTAAAGCGCGAGCTCCTCAAGAATTAGCGGTACGTGGTCCACATATTACTAATATATCGTTCAAGCACCCCTCCATATTGTTCAGGACATTCCTACTCCGTACAGACAACCAAATGGCCGGGTACCTTTGTCTCCGTAAAATGGATGCTGCGCGTATGCCCACCACCGACCTACCTACCTACCAGGGAGACTTCCCCGATCCTTGCCAGCAGATGGTTCAAGAGACACATCCAATGATAGATTCGCACATGCTATTATGTGCTTAGATGGAGTACTCGGCCATTCTAGACTGGAAAGAAAGCAACTCTAAATGGCACTTTCAACCAACCAACCATACGGAGAGAGGTAAGAAAGAGGAGTGTTTGTTGTAAGAAATTGTTAGATGACCATGATTGGAAGAAGATGATTCTGCTAGAGAAGATAGGGCGGGAGTGGAGAATTTATCCGCGAATAAGCACTAAAGATTGAAAGGGGTTAGCCCAATAGTTGCCATTTTTGATCAACGCCAACAGCTGCACATAGCTGTAAAAGCAGCAAGTCGGTGGCAGAAAATGGGTCAAATCGCCCGTCGGCAAATTCATCATGTGAGATGAGTCAGCCAGTTAGCCAATTACCTCACCTCAAAACTTTGTCAACTTGTTAATTACTGAGTTGCAAGCCAAGTCATCAATCATAGCTTTGGGTACCTATTAAATATTCATCTACCGGTACTGTATAATATTTCCACCAACCCGTTCTTTCACCTCAACACAAACAATGGGGGAGAGGGTTTAGAATGAACAAAAAAAAACCCAAGGGCAAATATGGTTTGAAACCATAAAGACATCTCGAGCCTGCCTATTGCCAGATCAGCATTCTTTGAAGACCTCGTACCCAATTTAACACCACGTATGGAGCCTACCTAGTACTTGGCTTTTTCCGTGCTATCTCCGTATTTATGCAGAGTCCGTTTCATACTGAGTAGGAAAGAGCAAATCTACTTTTAGCCATGTCCTTTCCAGCCCGATGGCCAAGTGTGTACATCTTCATGGAGGATTCCGGAGTTGGGACGCAATAATTTGCTTTTCAAGGATACTGCAGTATCTGCCCTAGTAAACTTTTCACTCTCAACTTCCTGCTTTCAGCAGGGCAGATTACATTTTGGTTTTGTGTAGGGAGATGCCGAACAAGAATGTCTCGGTACTTGTGCCTATTAACCTCCGGGAAAATGCTTCCCTGCGCGTATTCTTCTTAAGTCTTTCTGTTGAATGGATGATTCGGCATCACATTGTCACATCGTTGTCCTTACCTTCGCCACGCCATCTGTCGAGCAGACTGTACCGGAGAAAAGCCATGGCACGGTAGTTGCTCTAGTAGGAGCGGTGAAGTTAAGGTCCCCAGGTCTAGTGTATTGCTTGGTTGGAGGATATATAATCAGCCGAGCGCTTCACTCGGTACTCGCATATTAAAAAAAAAACTGGTCGCTTCCACACCAGCACGAAGCAAGCGCGATGGGCAAGCTGCCTCAACCCTGACGGGTAAAAGAATGACACCTTCAGAAACTCTGTGCTGTTCTTATCTTGGCATTCGATTCACCAAACCTGCATCTACCTCTATCGTCTTCTAGCACTTAATCCCTCTGTTTTTGCTATAATTCTTCATCAAATTTCGTGCCACTTTAAAACTTATCTCAAAGAAAGTACAGTAAAAATCAGAATGCTGGAGGTTTGTCGCTAGATCACATGGCTTCTGGAAGCCTCCGTATTCTAACCCCAGGAACAAGACGCAAGAAACTCGGGTTGTATAGTTACTTCAAGCATGTAGGTCACAGGGGCTACGGTATAGCTGCACTTGAGCTTTAAAATATTGTGTACTGGGCTAATTTTACCCGTACAATATCTTTCTGAAATATCTACACATGAAAAATAGCAGGTGGCAATTTCGACCTCTTCTTTAGAACTTTTGCAACATCTAAAGTTATTTTCCTGTTGAAAAGCTGAGTTTGTCTTTGAGTCTCTTTTTGTAAGTTGTCGTATCTAGGTTGAAAAACACGGAGGTATATGGATATGGAAATTGTCACCTGCTATTTCTCCTCTACTCGGCTAGGCCTTGGTTTGTTATCGTTCCTGACCATCCGCGACATGATATTTATATCATCTCATCCTCCGCACTCGGATGCGAACTCAAATTTCACGTTAGGTAGTGTGAGCATAAACATCCCGTTACCGCTCATGCTGACCACAATTTTTCAGCGGCATGTAACCGTCTGCTCTTACTGAAGTATTCATCCGGTCAATTGTTTCTCAAGGTTTATTTCTCAAATATCTCTCTCTCTATATAAATCAAGGTAGCCAAAAGCAGAAATGAATGCCCGCATAGATAGATAGCTCATAGTTTCTCGGACGAAGTCTTCTCTCATTGAAGCTCCTCGCTCTGATTTCTAGATCACTTCGATAATATAAAGCTTTACAAAGCTCATAGGGCTGGAGAATTCTTTATCCCGAATCGATGGGGCGTATCATACTCAATCCAAAGTATCTCTTTCTTGGCTCTCCACAATTGGATAGTGGTTTAATTCATGTTTTGGGAGAAGGGCAAGCTTATGTTTGTTAGTTGACTGTAATAAACAATTTGGATAAAAGAGACCAAAGATACGGGACAAGGATTCGAAGTTTCCAACGCAAAGCATACTTAATCTAATCAACTATAACCTCCTTTACTGACGTTAGATCACGCCATCAAACTCTACGTATACAAATCCAAATCAATCTCATGATCCAACTCCTCCCCATCCACAACCCTTTCCACAACCTCATTTACAACCTCATTCGCAACCCCATCCACGACCCCGTCCCCAAGCCCGATTCCCACATTCCTCTTCACCCCCACAACCCCATCCAGGGCCCCATCCCCAAGCCCATCCGCAAGCCCAATTCCCACATTCTCCTTCACTTCCACAACCTGTTCCACTCTCATCAAAACATACCAAAACCCCTCTTTCATATGGTTCTCACACCTCCCATTACGACTCAAAATCATAACATCCTGTTTGCGATCCCCATTGCCATCTTCATCTAGTGCATACAGTGCCCCAGCTTTCCCCAATACATTTTCCTCGCTGCCCTCTACGAACGACCCTTCTGTCTCATTGCGTGGATCGAGACTCAGGAAAAACCGATGCATTTCTGTATATGTTGTTAAGTTCAGGTGGGAAAATCGGTAGTAGGTTGTGGATGGGGGGATAGATTCGAGAGGTGGAGGATGAAATTTGGTGGTTAGAGATTTCACGAGGAAACTGTAGAAGTTTTCGAGAGCAGAGGGGAAACTAGAGGGGAGGGGGAGTGGACGATGGCAGCAAAAATAGGGATCTGAAGGGGAAGGTATTTTGATGGTGGTTGAAGAGGGGGCGGCAGTGCTAGTGTTGGGTGGTGGAGATGGCTTTTTGTAGATGCCTGCTGTGGGTGGCACAGATGGCTTTTTGTAGGCGCCTGCTGCGGGTAGGTTGGGAGTTGAGCGAGGTGTCCCTTTCGGAGTTCCTTTGGGCGTGCTTTTCAGTGATCCTTTCTGGGTTTGTTGTTTAGAAAGTCCTTTTTGGAAGGGCTTTGTAACTTTGGCTGGTTTTATCGTTGCTTTGGTGGGTTTTGCTTCATCGATATCCATATCGGCGATATCTTCTTCGTCCTTACCGGGCTTGTACGCACCGTCCCAATCTCCTTTTTTCTGGCCCTGGCGTGGCATTTTTGGTAATATTTTGCTGCAGTTGTTGTGGATTTGAAAAACGGCGGAATCTCTCGAGAAGGTTAGAAAGAGTCGAAGAATTGAACGGGGGTTCTCTATTCTTTGTTACGCGGGACTTCACCCTGGACGCATTCGATGCTCTTTGTTTGTCGTTGGATAGTACTTGGGACTTCCACATTGGTCTTGAGTGCTGCTCTCTTTGTTTGATGAACTGCAGGAGAATAATGTTCATTGGATACCTTAAAGCCTTTCTCTTCCTTTATGCATGCGCAGAATTTAGTTCCTCATCACCAAATAAAGAAATACATTTCGGACATAGCCTCTTTCCGGTCTCTGAATTGATCGAGACGTTGGGTTTTGTAGGTAATACAATACTACGAATTTTCCACAGTAGCATTAGCGTATCCGAATGTACATCCCTTCAAACACAAACATGATACACAATATGCGATGGTCAAATCTTCTCCAGCCTAGCACTCAGGCTAGCAAGGGCGAGGATAATCCAACTAACAAATTACCGTCTGACACTGATGAGAGAGCCAAAAGTTGTGAACCCTCTCCCCCTGCATCGACTACCCCATCCGACACCGATGAGAAAGCCACAAGTCATGAAACCCCTCCTCCCACACCAACCCATTCACTAGACCCCTACCGGCGCTTTTCCATCACACTCCCTTTCCCACCCTTCTCTCCAAACACCAAACCCAAATCCTCCCCCGATTGCCTCACAGACGAAGCTCTCCTCGTCCTAACATCCCAACCACTCATCCACGGCGGAACCTGGAGCTCTCCTCGCAAGCCCAAATGCAAAAAACGAGCCAAAGAAAAAGTATACACAGGCACAGGGGAGACACCGCGACAAAAATCCCCGAGCGAACTAGCTCGTGAGAAACAATGGATTAGCAAGCGAAAAACGGCCCGGGGGGATCAGAGACGGGAAATAGAAGATACGACTATGAATCAGGTGAGGGGTAGAGATCGATGGACCAAGCCTGAGCCGGAAGATGGGTTGGATGTTGCGAATTGGTGTAGAGGGGTTTGGCATTGAGGAGCCTCTTGTTATGTGGTAGCAATATTTTCTCAAGATTCAAATTCAGAATCGAAACCTTTTCGACATGCGAACAGCTTTGACTTTTTTGAAATAGACGATTTGACAAGATAAATAGATTTGTTTTTGCCAATCAAATCCAAATATTGCATAGACCCCGTATGTGAGAATCACCCAAAAATCAAGAATTCCCAGTGTAGGACTGCTGTCTAAATTAGTAAAAGGACAGCTCATGAACAGCCAGGCGTGGAGTTGGGAAAATTTCAATCAAAATTATGAGACGTCAGTAACTATATGTATGACGAATTCTCTGTTGTCCAGGAAGAAACAGTTAGGATGGATGGAAGTAATGGATAAAATTGCTGGCCGAGAGTCAACATATTCAATTTTAGACAATTACATTCCTCTTCTGTGCCAAAAGCCATGTTCCTAGGATAACACCTTCCCCTTGAACTGTTCTCCTACTAATTGGTATGTCTAAGAAATTTTCAGTCGATACCAAAGAATGCATTATCAAATTGGCCATGCTCCATTTCGCTTATTTCTCCCCCTACATTTGCATCGTCATCACCACCGAAAAACAAATCGTCAAATACACTTTCTTCGGCCCCAACCATATTATCGAGATCTAGGTCCAGATCCATACTGTTATTGTTATTATTGCTATTGTTGCTGTTGTTGTTCGTACGACTGCCACCAGTCATGTTAAGGAGGTCGTCCTCCATATTTCCTTTGTCATTTGTTGTGGGGATGTTCGCGTTGTTAGAAGAAGCTTCATTAGAAGGTTGGAGATCGTTCATGTTGAAATCCTGCGGGTTGCTCCCAAATGTGGAGAGATCAAACTCTGTACTTTGTGCCTGGTTACTGTCCTGACTTTGAGTATTTGTGGTTGCATCCAACATTGTGAAACCCATGTTATCAAAATTAACAGCTGTAGAGTCTTCTTTCGCAGAAGTTTCAGGGATATCGAAGAGTGAATCGATCGAAGAATCTTGTCCGCCTACTGTGGCAGGTGCTGAAAGTGTGGTGTTTCTTCCCAGATCGGTAGCATGCGACTTATTGTCATTCGTACTTGGTGGAGACAAAATCATAGCCTCTTTCCTCTCTTCTTCGTGCACAATTTCTTTCGATGGGTCATTTTTGACCAGGTTTTCGTCCTCCGTCCGAATTGTTTGGAGAGGGGTGATTTCTCGAACCCTCTCTTCCTCCATTGCTACAGTCTGATAATCACATTTCGTATGCGGAGGTGATGCGGGCTGAGATGCGTCGGGTTCATTGATCAGTTGGATTGGAGGGTTCTCTGTCGCAACTCGTTTCGACCGTAACGCTTCTAAATCTCGTCCCAAGACCGATTTTGCTCGTACCTGTAGTCTCATGTTAAGACCATACGATTAGTGACTTGAGATAGCCCACTTACAATTTCAGCTTCAAGATCATCTAAAGCACGGTGAAAATTGTCGGTAATAGACGGAATGGTTGAGTGAAGTCTTATAGCGGAAATGGCCATTGTCTTCCCTCCTTCTAGGCCTGTTGCGCGAAGAGCTTTGCCAGTTTCTATAAGCTAAAAGAGGTGAGTCTATGTTTTGATCATTAAGGCCAATGAGACATACAACAGCATTGATTTGGATCTGCAGTATCTCGAGAGGAGTTTTGGGTTGTGGCACTTGAGCCATGATCAAAGTGATATTAGAAGGCAGGGTAGGGTTTGAAAGAATATGAGAACTGAAGTAAAAGGTAAAAAATATCAATCCTTCTATTCACATAAAAAGAAATAGATATGCTTGAAAAATGGTGAATGCTGTATAGACTTTTGGCTTTACAGGCATCTAATAGTTTCATCATAATACAGATGATAGTACACCGGGTAGTGTGGAAGTTCGGAGCTTGTAATGATTGTTCCGTTCATCCCCCGCTAAAAGTTACTTGACTAATCCTAGAATGCCAACCACCATCACTTAATACAGCACAACGACCAATCAGAACGCCAGAATTTGAAGATCTAAAGCTTTAAAGATCTTATTCTAATAACAATTATCAATTTAATAATCAAAAATAACAATTTCAAATGCAAAATCAACAAAATAGATTATATATTTAATATAATAAAATGTTACGAGGTTTGCCGTCTAGATCACGTGGAAGTGCTCTAGGCTCTCGAGGTGGTTTATAACTAGGCGTCAAGCAGGGACTTAAAGTAATGACAATAATGCAATTCGTAACTAATAGTAGAGTATACTAAATGATTGATCTTGAGCACGAAGCTCTACACAAAGGAAACCATCCTGATTATATAGACCTTCGTCCTTCATTGGATCTCTTGGATCCTGAGAGTTTATGGACCTTCGATTCGTATGGACCTACGATTTGTATCCCTGAATATGCAGGGTCCATCACGTGACTTGGATCAGACTATGTGTCCAAGCTTGCTAAGGATGGAGAGATCTCGTGAGGAAGTTGTCATACAATTTTGTATGTAAATTTCCTTGCTTTTCCATAGGGTCGAAGCTTATACGGACAGGTTGACTATTACCTTCGTAACACTATCCCCTTCTTAGCCTAGTGCTTGTCCCAAGCTCTTATAGTCACGTTTCCTGCTGTATTATGATTTTTCGGAAGATAACTTTTTCTTTTCTTCCATTATGCTACCTGTACGATCAAAGAAATATAAAGAACGAGTCGAACTTACTTTAATAATTGAATCTGAAGGGTTCGAAATGCCTTCATATACTTATTGTGAAAAACATTCAAGTCGTTGTATTGTTGCTAAGGAAAATTCCAATCGTTGTAGTGAATGCGCTCGTCGGGGCCAGCGATGTGATATATCGGGTCCTTCTTCCAGAGATATGACGAGCATTATTCAGGAGCAGGAGCGTTTGGATCGCGAGCGCGAAGAGACTTTGTCGAAATTGCTTCGTCTAGATAAGCAACAACGCTTCCTTCGTGGGCGGGCTTCTGAAATGATTCGTCGTGGTCTAAAAACAATGGATGAGTTGGATGATGCAGAGGAGAAGGAAAGATTGGATAAAGAGCGTATAGGGAAGGAGCAGTCAAATTCCGGGTTGTCAATGCTTGCTGAAGCTAGTTCTAATGTGTTGGATAACTCCGATCCTTCTTCTTTCCTGAGTCCTTCGGACCCCTTTTCCTTTCAGAATTCTTCGGGTCCTTTTTGGGGAGATCCGGATAGCGTTGGTGAAATGCCTCCAACTTCTCAGGGCAGCTGAGATCTTTCTTGAGCTTCCAAGTGTTTTCTGAATGTGGGTAATCCAACCATTTGATCAGATATTTGATCTTGCCTTTGACGTATTTACAATCTAGTATGGCTTCAACATCGTATATGATATCTGGATTGATTGGCTCGATTTCCGTTATTGGCGCATCAGGCGCTTTTGGTGATGCTGGTTCAAGCAAGGATATATGGAATACTGAGTGAATATTCATAGTGTATAGTAGTTTTAGTCTATAGTTATTGGGTTTCTTGAGACCAGAAAGAGCATCAGATTGAATTGATTGATTCTCTAGCTAAGCAGTTAAGCTGCGAGTATATATTCAAAAAAAAAAAAAAAATGAAGGAATAAGGTTAGGTATTCAGCCTTCGGAATTAAATTGCTTTGAAATCAAAATATTGAAAGCAAACAAACAGTATACCAAAAAGGAAAGAATGAATTAAAAGTTGAGTTTTGTTTGCTCCTTATATGCATCATGCAATATATATGCATATGCTGCCAAGATCCCAGGAGGTCAACAGGTTCGGAGACGCTCCAACTCGTATCGGTCTATAGCGTTCAGCCCTTCCTAATCTTGTAGCATTGCGTCAATTTCCTTTTGACATTCTTCACATTCGTAACTATCGTCTTCAATTGGATTTGAGGTGTATAATTGGGGTACAAAGGTAGCATTGAATTGACTTTTGCCGAACTTCTTGTGATAACCTCCTCCTGATGATCTCTTGCTTCGACAATCCCTGACCCGATAACCTGGTTTGCCACATTCGAAGCATAGCTTGTCCTTGCGTCTTCGTTCTACCTCTTCCTTAGGTAGTTTGTTCTTAAACATTGCATTCAACTGCATTAGTTCTCCATAAGATTGTCTGTTTTCTCGAGGTCTTCCTTCATTCTTGTAGTATTTACCACGATCTCGGTTTCTATGGATGTTGAAAGATCGGCGTTCCTTCTGATACTCGTAGAGTATCTCATCCGCCTTAATAGATTCCTCGATTAACTCGTTTAGGTCTTCCCAAATGCAATTGCGATCTAGTTCTAGCCTGACCTTAGGCTTGAGCCCTTTCCGGTAATGACTCATCGTCGCATTCTCTTTCCATCTAATAATACCTATATACCTCCTAAATTCCATAATATACTTAATTGCTAATCTTGTTTGCTTGAGACCATAGATCTTGGACTCAGCATCACATAATTCATTGATATTTCCGAATACTCGTTGTATCTCTTTCTTAAACCCTTCGAATCTCCCAAAGATGGCTTAAATTGAGTACATTCGTTTCTTAGGCTCATTTAAATTGATAAAGTAATCCTTAAAATATAATTGAATCCATTTAGCAGCTTCTTCTCTGAGGTAAAAGGCAGCCCAAACGCTTTTGTCGGCATCATGATTGAACTTATCCTGATTGAATTGGAAATAGATCTCAAGTTGGAATAAGAAGGTTTCTAGCTCTTATCGATTGCCTGTGAATTGGTCTGGTAGGGCGACTTTAAGAGTCTCGGTGACAGTAATCTCCTTGGGGTCTTCGATACCTCCCATAGCGATGTCTCCATCCTTGTCGATACTTTCGGGAGTGGCCTGGCTAATCGTAGCGGGGTTTTTAGGTTATGGTATCGTGGAAGACATGATGTCGTTACTTATCGAATCGGTACTTGAAGCAGTAATGGTGCTCAAAGTGTTACGAGGTTTGCCGTCTAGAGCACTTCCACGTGATCTAGACGGCAAACCTCGTAACATAAAATTATTCTTTTAAAATAAAACGTAAAAATCTAAACAAGAATATTGTAAAAACTCTATTAATTCGGTATAGGTCTACCTGTATCCAGTTCTAGTTTTTCTCGCTTCTATAATATGGTGTACTCAAGTATCTGAAGAAAACCCTACTTTGCTTACTATTCCTTTAATCATATACATTACTCAGCTCCCCTAGTTCTAAAGCGAGTTCACTGAGTTTTTACAGCACGAATGTGTGATACACTTTCTGGCCATATGAGTAGGCTTCGTCGCCGTTTTACACGGCCTCAGTAGACGCTGGAATTCGAATAATCTTAAAAGGGTTCACCTGAATGCCCTGACTAACTGAACGGTCTAACCTAATTAGATCACTGTCTTAATACATTCAGGGCTCAAAAACCTATACCGTCTAAGTCATTTGAAATACCATTCACATACCAAAACAATGCCTGACATGAAGTTGAAAAGGCAGATTGTGCAAAGTATGGAAAGATACCCTAATAATGTCAACCTTATAAGGCTTAGACTGGTGGGCATTCAGTTAATTCTTTCTGACTCTGATATGACACAAGCACGTGCACTAATAGCGCTTACCCTCAACCATCAAAAGAAACCCCCCCGATCTTGTTCCCCCCTCAATCACGGTCTTGAATATAATTTGATTTGACCTTGATCAACTGTATCCTTGACACTCTTCACCGTCTTTCATTGCTCACATACAATCTAACTCCTAGCTTCAAGGTGTTGCTAGTAAAGATGGTTTGTTCTACACAGTTCCTATTAGAACTACCTAGTTAATGGGATGAACATTCTATAATACACTTTTGGAAGCTTTTTCTTCATTGAGCTGTTCTTTCCAAAGATTCTGAAATTGTTTCAATATCTAGACGTCTTTCTATGATGTACTATTGCTCCTATGGAATCTAATTCCTAGCTTCAAGATATCTCTAGTAGAGATTGCTGTCCTACAAAGTTCCCATGAGAACTATCTAGTTAATGGATGAATATTCGATAGTACTTTTTCTGCATTGGGTGGCTGAGTAGAATGTTCGCAAGGATTCTGAAATTCTTTCAGTTCTTAGACATCTTTCTGTGATATAAAGACAAGTTTTTCCCCTAATTACCTTGAAAATAATCCTACACTACAGCAACACCTTCTTCAATACCACAACAAGTCATCATTGAAAAAACCCAGATCAACAAAATGGCCTCACCCATTGAAAAAGCCACACTTAGATGTTGGACTTGTGGGTTAAAATACACACGAACGCAGGAAACATGCAACCACTGCCACGGATGGACGGTTAATACCCATGAGTGTCATAATGGCGAAACGAGGATTCTTAGCTGGAACATTTTTCAAGTTACAAAAACCGATTCACGAGAAGATAAGGCCCCTAAACTCTGATTTATCGAACAAGCTCTTAGGAATAACCTACATACCGCTGTCCTTCCTGCCGAATCTCCGGGGGAACAATGAAAGCGGTCTATGTACATCGACCAGATGGCCATGTGAGACTATCGTTTACTAAGCCTGGCTGGGGCCAAATTCTTGCTAGTCCTAGGAAAGATAACGAGGTCAGCTTTGAGGACTGGTCCAGATTTGAAGCATTCGTAGGATTGCCGGAAACTACAAATGTATGTAAGTATTTTCCAGTATTGCGGTCTGCTTGGCACAAGCGCCGACTTGCGAAATAGTGCCGGTATCCTTTCTAAAGCCAGCATGTCTTAAGTAGGAAGTGTTGAACTAGATACATGTGGTGGTAGGTCGGATGAAATGGTTGCATTCGGGAGAGGAGGCTATTCACACGGGAATAGCTCACCTACCAGATTCATTTTTTTGCTAGATATTAGCTTCATTGTGGGGAAGAAAGGAAATGCTACACGCTCTTCACCAGTGCTTAATTGAGAATTTGTTATTTTTGATTGCTTGGTCTGTACTTTTACACAAATACGCAGGCCTTTCAGCTTAGCGATCGCTTTTTTTACGTGCTACTTTATGTGCTAAGTTACGGGAAGCATCTAGCAGTTTTGAAAGCAGGTTTGTGCTTCTGTCCAGAGACCCCTCGGTACAAAGGATTTTCATTTCAGGTATTTCAAACTAAATATTGAGATAAGCAGAAGATAGCTCAGCCAACTAACTATAAACTGATTTCCTTGAACCACCGCTGAAATTCCCTCTCATCTTTAGCGTGTTTGTGTTTGTTCCTATCTATTTCATCATCATCATCATCCGTATCCGTAAGCTCAGGGTCAAACACATCCAGATGCTCTTTCGGCCACCCAAAACTCCACTCAGAAAAGCTTTCTCTTATTTTATGGCATTCACAAAAATCCTTGCTACCATACCAATGATTTGCTCCATCCGTTAATCCATGCTTACTTTGAGTGTGGCTCCCTCCACCACTCCACACTTTTTGCACCTCATCAATGAGCTTCACCAGCGGCTCCCAGTCCTCCAGTGTGAATCCTGGGGGGAAACACTCCCAAAGTTCTGGATGTTTTTTTAAGGATAGTCCGTAAGACCTGTAAATTCCTGCCCACCAAGGCAAAAAATTAGCCGCTTCCCAATCAATTACTGCGCTGACCTTCCATTTTCTCTCTGCGTTGTCATTTGAAGCAAAGACATTCGAAAAATTCAAATCTCCATGGTTTAAAACATATGGTCCACCCCTTGGAAACTTTGCCTTAAGCTTAGCTATTTTTTCGTCCGCTTCTTTGACCCAAGTATCTCGCACTGCCGGATTCTTGAACCCACGCTGATTACACCGCCAACTATCTGACAAAAGAGATTTGCGCATCCCGGGAGTTAAGTTTTCCAGCCACTCTTCTTCAGTGCGTCCTGTCTTGATACAGCCATAACTCATGCAATTACCAATAACAGTATCAAGAGCTTCTGCACCACCTACTCTTTGCATGTAGGGACTAGTAACCTTCTCTATTTTTTTGAAAACTCCCTTAAAATCGAGCGTAAGCTCAGCGAGTTATTCATCGCAGAGACCGTCAGCAGCCTCCCCCATCTCTTTTCCTTTTGTCCGGGACATCACTGTAAAATTGAACTTTTCATCTTTTCCCCCAAACCTGTGCATTTCTACTAGAGGTACACCTGAATTCGTTTCTCGAAGAAACTTCTGTGTTGTATAGTCCGTTGTCATATTGAGACCAGGGATGTTTAATTCGTCCCTCAGCAGCCACTACCCATCCGGACCGCCAAGTTCCCAAATAGCATTATTATGTTTCAAATAGTAAAGCTTGATGCGTGAAGTATATCCCATGGCGGCATGTATATCAGTTAAGCCACAATTACGGCATAGTATGGTTTCTTTATCCCACGATGCGTAGTGTAAATCAGGAGTAAAAACTCCGTTAACCACAGTGCTATGAACGAGATGAATGAGATTTTTAGCATCTACTCCGGGGTGATCTATAATATGAGTAATTAACATCGAACCATTTATGTGCTGGACATTTACTTACAGGCAGATTCAAATTCTAACTTGTCACGAATAGCATCGCGACGTTTTTTTTGGGGAGTTACCGTGACCTCTTCCATTGTAGAGAGAGGCGTGTGAAGCGCGGCTGCACTTGATTTTATCCAAAATAAGTAGATTGAATTCTAGTATTGTGGATATGGCAGTCAAGAAGCAGAAAAATCGATTGTACCTTATAGACGATGAGTACAAAGGAGGAGGAAGACTTAGGAAACAGTTTTGGTACACATTGACGCATTCGTATTATCCTTTATTATATCACTCCTAAATGGTTGTTATTCAATTCCGAGAACAATGGAATATCCAGCTTAATTGCGCTTAAAAATTTGACAAAAAGCTTGAGAGTCGGTATGCATGTAGGATACAAAGGATTGCAATTGCATCTTTGAGATATCGATTGGATTCAGAGGAATTCGAAGTGGCAGCGGTTACTCGTATGCTACATACTACATACTGACAACAAAAGAGATAAGATCAGCTTTGTGAACATTCCTCGTGTCATTAAGATTCACTCTGCCTTGCTCTTTGTAGGTAGTAGCATATTTTAACCTTAGTGTTTTTAGTAATGACCCTGATTGGGATTCTAACGATTCTTTTACTAACTCACCGCCTGCAGTCTGCAATCTGCAAAGACGTTTAAAGGCAGCACGCACTTATTGAAGGCCGACATGCTTACACCTACCAATCAGAAGTGATCTCTAGCATGATATTGTAAGTAAAACTAGCGGGGTAATCAAATCATTCCCCTCGGACCTTCATGTCACGACTGAAAATTATGTCAAGCAATGCAAATCAATACAAGTGACATCTTGTTGTTGAACATGGCTTTGTTAGCAATTCATGAGCCAAAAGCTAGCTCCCGCTTGCTTTTAGGTACAAGTGAGGCACAGCATCATACCTCCCTGATAACTAACTCAAAAACACACATAGATAAAGTAGGAAAACGAGAAGTTTGAGGGAGCATGAGCACTATTATCGAATATCACTTCAGTCTGGATAAAAAGTGGCCGAGGCAATTCTGGGAGTATTGTTCAACCTAGGTAGTAGTTCTAGGTCCCCGATGCCCACACTTCGACAATTACTTCATGGCTAGAATACTTGGTTAAATACTTGGACCTGTTTCGTGAGAATGCCCCTCGATAACACAACTCTCATCTCTTTAGATTCCAGGTATTATATACCCCGTCATAATGAAAACGACAAAAGCTGTTGAGGGATGTAAAATGTTGATTGGACCCATCTTATGGGATTCGCAGTGCGGAGATAAGCTTTTGATTCACTGGTGATTCCATGTCTGTGTGGTTCTCACTGCTCCGCACGGAAGTTTAGCCTCAAGAAAGATGGGATGATCTGTCCACAAGACGTCGACTAATGCCTGATAGGGTACTACTGTCATATCAATTAAGTGCTCCGTATTTCGCCAATCGGCAGCCCTTGATATTCCTTCCCGTCGGTATAACATCTGCTTTTTTCCACAGTGGGTTTCTCGGTCCGCTCCAGCGGGAAGAATTTGAATAAAGCAATGACTCTGTTCCGTACTGTGTGACGGGGGTTTTCCGTGGGTTGGTGGTTTAAAGTAGGAGCTTCCTGTCTTGAGGCGGTGGCCAATAAGTATTAAGTAGATGGGTAGTAGGCGTCTAATAAATTAACAAATGATTCTGTGAGTTGACTTGAGGAAAAGGTATGGAAATAGAATGACTAGTCTGGGAAGATATATGAGAAGGGTGTTGATGCATATAAATAGAATGGATTGATAGGTTTTTGAACAGGTTGCAATTGTTGAATTCATTGGTGATCCGTATCTTGCAGCTGGCGGCTCATAAAAGTCTCCAAACTTTTTATATCTCGAAATAGGTATTTATATGACCAGTATATGGTATGTTAATCGGTGGGTCTCAAACCATCGATGGAGTAAAACAAAATGTACCTTCTTCGACAGAACTTTGGTAGAACTCGAAGCTAATAAACGTTGAGCAATATCCATCCAATAGACAGATATCTTCCACCACCGTACAGTCCTTGAAGGCGAATCTATCAAATCAAGTTGTTCAACAGAATTTATCCAAAGGAGTTCAGATGAATTTGGAAGGAAGGAATCTCTCATGGGCGAAAAAAGTCGAATGAAAATTAGCACTCAATCACATCATCAGTATATATCCTCCATATTTTGAGATGAGAATATTATTAGCGAGTCACTTCTAAATATAGGAATACTTATAAGATAAGTAGTAGATAGGTGCCTAATCATGGTAAATGTTATATGGTTTGAACAATGACAAAAACGACTCGAATATTCAGACCGCGAAGAGTGAATTATCATATAATTACCAACTGTCCATATATGGCTATTAAAATATATTATATACCTTAGGTCTAAGGTATTCTTTTTGGCTTACGGACTCTACCTGCCTACCTACCTACCTACTACCTAAATAGCCTTGTCCATTAGCGTGGAAGCTAACAGAAAGCAGGCAGAGCTACCCTTTTTATCAGACCCTCCCTCATTCAAACTTGCAGCAAAGTAATTTGCGCCGAACATCTTCTACTTTATCCCCCAGCTTCTCTTACGTTCACCATCTTTTTTTTCTATTGTGTGCAAGAAAATCATTTGCAGCGTCGTCGTCTCTTTTCCTCTCTCCTTTTCAATCTACTGTCGATACAGGCGTTTGGATTTTCGAGTGGTCTCTGTCTCCTCTCTATCCTTCTCGTCTTTTATTCGTCGTGATTGAATAATTTCTTCCATATTCATACCTCTACGTTGTCATCGTCTCCGTCTCATCCTCTTTATTTCTCACTCGGTCTTCTGAGATTTTGTCGCAGAGAACCCCTCCTTCATCGATCTCATCTCTTACTACTCTGCTACTTCTGCATCATATCAAGCTTCATTTTGAACCTTCTCTGTTCATCTTGAATTACCACAATCAATAATTTATTCACACAACAAGTGTATAAATTTAAGTTGTTGCTATTTAACTTTCATCGATCTATTTCGCAAGTCGTTTATCGAATTTTCGAGTCTCACGCGCTTCTTATCGTTCGAGTTACACAAGAACGCAAATCAGCGCACCTTCACAACTCAGCTTTTTTCGTTCCTTGTCATCGATCGCTTTACGATCCTATCCGCACAATTTTCTACTTTCGATTTCCCTCTATCTACTTCCTCTGCGCAAGTATTCAAAGCAACCACAGATAAGATATCATCCTTGACCAAATTTTACAATGGCAGACAACGGTCCACCAAGCAGCGCCCAGCTCCCACCACCACCGCAGACTTCTGCTGGTGCGCCAGGCTATGAAAATGGTCACAATAGCCAGGGCAACCCCTCGCATATGCCACCGCCACCACTTCCTCCAGTGATTATCCCGCAGAACACGAATCCAATCCCAACTGCCATTACCTCTCCTATGGGTGAAAATGGTGGGGTAATGTCGCCAGATAGCGCTGGTGGATTCGTTCGCCGAGCTGCACCGGAACCAAACAAGCGCGCATTATATGTTGGAGGTCTTGACCCAAGAGTCACTGAAGAGGTGCTCCGTCAGATTTTTGAGACCACTGGACATGTTCAAAATGTTAAAATCATTCCTGACAAGAATGTAGGTGCTGTCAGTATCTATCTACTATCTCCATAAATTCCCAAGTTTCGAGCTTTCAAGGCCTGCGAAATCTTCAATATTGTTTAACAGTTCAACCCTTTCTTTTACATACACCTACATCCGTATAACTTGATGCTAATCAAGTCTCAGTCAAAGGGATTTAATTATGGTTTTGTCGAATATGATGATCCTGGAGCAGCTGAGAGAGCTATGCAGACCTTGAATGGAAGACGTGTTCATCAGGCCGTGAGTGTTGATTTTCTCCATCCTTCCAAGCAGCAAATCTGACTTTGTACAGGAAATTCGAGTGAACTGGGCCTACCAGTCGAACACTTCAAACAAGGAAGATACATCGAACCACTTTCACATCTTTGTTGGAGACCTCTCAAACGAGGTGAACGACGAAGTTCTACTACAGGCGTTCTCTGCCTTTGGTTCCGTTTCCGAGGCACGTGTTATGTGGGATATGAAGACAGGAAGGTCCAGAGGCTACGGCTTTGCTGCTTTCCGTGAACGTCAGGATGCCGAGAAGGCATTAAGCTCTATGGACGGTGAGTGGCTGGGCTCCCGAGCTATTCGTTGTAACTGGGCAAACCAAAAGGGCCAGCCTTCTATCTCGCAGCAACAAGCTATGTCTGCCATGGGCATGACTCCTACCACTCCTTTTGGTCATCACCACTTTCCAACCCATGGTGTTCAGAGTTACGATATGATTGTTCAGCAAACTCCTCAATGGCAAACCACTTGCTACGTCGGAAACTTGACACCATACACAACACAACAAGACCTTGTTCCCTTGTTCCAGAATTTTGGATATGTTGTGGAAACTCGTTTTCAGGCTGATCGTGGCTTTGCATTTGTAAAGATGGATTCTCATGAAAATGCTGCACTTGCCATTTGCCAGTTGAGTGGATACAATGTCAACGGCCGTCCTCTCAAGTGTAGTGTAAGTTTTGCTTATTTCTTCATATCTAATTCTATGCTAATAATTCTCTAGTGGGGCAAAGACAAAGCACCTACTTCGGCAGGATTCGACGGCTCTCAGCAGAGCTACAGCCCTCAGGCCGGACCAACTCCGGGTGGGTTCCCAGGTACACCCAACGCTTATTTCCCACAATATGGTGGAATGCCTCCGCAAGCTGGACCGCAATCAGCTGGACCCATGGCTAGCCAACAGTCTCCAGGCCAGTTCGCTGGTCAACAAGGGGGATATGGTGGTCCTCCGGCTCAATCCGCCGCGCAATATGGCAATCAACCCATGGGTTATGGTGGCCCTGCCAGTGCTGGAGGATATGGTCGAGGTGCGCAACCAACCCCAGCCGCGCAATGGAGTGCTCCCACTGCACAAAGTTACGGTAACGGCTTTGGTGGATATCAGGGCTAAGCTCTATACGGCAGCACGCATTTATGACCTCTTTTGGAGCAACTATTTTCAGGTGTATTTTGCTTTGTCAAGTTCTTACGGTCTTATGGGGATCAGGGATATTAAGTTTTGGTGGCATAATCTCATTTCCGCATCTGTGCCTTGGTCTTTTGCTTGACGGCTAGGCCGAGCAGCATTGAAGTTGCATAGGGTGCTCTATTTCAAGATAATTTTCTTTCGATCCGTAGTTTCCTATGTTCCTCAGTGTTGGAAAGGTGATTGTCACGTCTATCAAAAAGTTCTTTCCTTCTCTTCTAGGTTATCATTGCCTTGGTTTTATTTTTCTGCATTTGATTTGTGGTCTCTCGTTCTTCGCCTTTTGTCCTCATGAGTCCACGAATCTACTTTAGCGACTACCCCGTTTATATTGTGCCATGTCACTTCTTTTGGTCAACGTTGTCATTATCGAAGTGGCCGGCAGTCACATAAATTATGTTATGCAGAAGATTGCAATGAAAATGATAGGATAGTCTTAAGATTTTTCTGCAAAATCGGAGGAATTGGTCGGCCAGGTAAGAGGCCAAAATGGGAGGAGGGAACTGTAGGGTTAGAAACATTCACAGCAACCCATGAAAGTTAAATGGCTGGTGCTGTCAGCAGAAGTCAGCAATGAATACTACATATCCTCTCTACTCAAGCTTATGATGGTGAAGTACGGAAAGGTGCTATGTGATCCTATAAATTAATTAATAAATTGATGGGAACTTTCCATTGTTGGAATAGCCTACAGGTAACAACTAAAAAGAGACGAGACACAATATCTGTCTAATAAAGTTGAGATATAGCAAACTTAATTCGAATATGTTGGATAGGAAACTTCCATGTTGGATAGATAGTCTAATAAGAGAGTGGTCTCGGGCTAATAATAGGGAGGCTGTAGTTGTGAAGATGCGTTTATACTCCGTACGGCAATTTCCCCACATAAATTCCTCACATCAATGTGGGGTAAGGTTAGCATAAATTAATCGATTTGATACGACGCGAAACGCGAAACCCCGTGACGCGAGGCAAAATAGCAAAACAATTTTAGCATTGTACCCAATCGGACTATCACTCACCCGTATTTATTAATCTCTTTGACAATAGACAGCAAGAGGTGCAGGTGAGTTCAAGCAAGCGCCTTCTAATAGTTTGCACTTTCCTCAAACGATTTTATGCCATTTGGCTGCACCACTTCTCCAGCACTTTCTTCACTCATCAGAGGTCGTCTTGCGCAACGCTGGAGAGCGCATCCTCGTTTCACATTTCGCATCACCAATGTACCAACTCGAAGTGTTCTATACTCGTCTATCGCACACGCGATGTTAGGACGTGCTGTTAAAGCTAAAGCTACGGAGGCCCAATCTCTGCATCCGAAAAACGACGCAAAGAAGGCAGCAATTACGCAACAAAATATGACACGAAATGGGAATATTCAAGAGTCATTAAAGCCAAAACCTTCGCAGGCAATCGGCGGATATGTACAACCATTGAGACCAGCCTCAGTAAATGAGAAGATGTTGCCAAAGAAAAGTCAATCGACAATTGCATCAAGTGCCGTCAGCTCCCATTTGAGTTCGTTATTCAGCAGGGATGGTGCGTTCCAAGATACACCAAATAGTAGCTTTGCCGTGGAATTCAATGAGGACGATTGGAGCGATGACGATAATATAGATTTCGATATCAGTTACACTTTGCCTACACAAAGTTTATCTACCAATGCCTCCATGCCAGCGCCCCCGAAACCTACTCTTACAACAATACCGTCGTCCCCATTTGCGGAAAGAGTAAAATCACAGCGAGCCCCGAGCAGTAGCGCGCATACCTGGTCGTCTTCACCACCTTCGCATAAAGAGACGCCGCCTGGAGCTAAAAAGCGGAGGGAGCGTGAGCATGAGCAATCGGCGGTACAGTCTCTCATAATCATAGAAGATGATGAGGCACCAAAACCAAAGCGACGAACATTACCATGGATACAGAAACAGTCGGAACAAGATGAGGTATCGCATAGACAAGAACAAGCAGATGAATTAAGCTCTCAAACGTCTGGCACATCTGCTCCAGCTGTTTGTTTCAAATGCAGACAGACAGGGCATTACAGCAAGCAATGTCCGAACAGCCGCAAGGGAAAGCCAAGTGAATGGGATCTCGATCAGCATGATTGTACTTCGGTGAATCAAGACAAGAAACAACCTTGGGACAACACTGAAAGACAGGTTGCGGAGAATAAGAAGTTAGTCAAGGAAAGGCGAAAGAAAACAGTTGACCTGGCTGAAAAGGCGGCCGCCGAGGCACATGTTCGCACTAAGACTGCTAAATTAGCTCCGATACACCTGACTGACGAGCAAACTCGGGTCAAGAGTTTGGTTGTGGATCACGGTAAAAGTGTCTTCTTTACTGGTTCTGCCGGTACTGGAAAATCTGTTCTGATGAGATCAATTATTGCTGCTTTGAAAAAGAAGTACGTTCGCGAGGGTGACCGAGTTGCTGTCACGGCTTCAACAGGTTTAGCTGCCTGCAACATCGGTGGCGTGACTCTGCACAGCTTTGGAGGCATTGGGCTTGGTAAAGAAGATGTGCCTTCACTCATAAGAAAGATAAAAAAAAACAACAAAGCCAAGCTTCGGTGGACGAGAACCAAGGTTTTGGTCATTGATGAGATTTCCATGGTTGATGGCGATTTGTTCGATAAGTTAGAAGAAATCGCGAGGGGAATGCGTAACAATGGACGACCATTTGGAGGTATACAACTTGTGATCACTGGAGACTTTTTCCAATTGCCCCCTGTTCCAGATTACAATCAAAAGAGTCGAGGTGTCAAATTTGCATTCGACGCTGCTACTTGGGGAACGGCAATCCATCATACAATTGGTCTAACAGAAGTTTTTCGTCAGAAGGATCCTGGTAAGGTGGAGAAATCATATCATGCCGAAGCAAGCTAACACTGCATAGTATTCGCAAACATGCTAAACGAGATGCGGCTAGGAAAAGTCTCCCAAGACACTATAAAAGCTTTTGCAGGAATGAAACGCGCCATAAATTATGAAGACGACTTGACTGCTACAGAATTGTGCGTTTATTACAATACTAGCGCTCTTCATCACTGACTGGTCTTTAGGTTTCCAACTCGGAACGAGGTCGAGAACTCAAATACCTTCAGATTGAGAAGTCTGCACGGCAAGTCATATAGATATGATGCTGCTGACTCGGGTTCAATCACTGACGAAGGGATGAGAGAGAAACTTCTTTCAAATATGATGGCTCCAAAATCCATCGAACTTAAGAAGGGAGCTCAAGTCATGTTGATCAAAAATATGGATGATGGACTAGTAAACGGATCACTTGGGAAAGTTGTCGCTTTCATGAGTGAAAAGTCGTTCGAGATCTATGATTCGAACCCAGATATACTCAATGAAAAAGAATTTTCCGATGCTGAGGAGGAACACAACCGTCAATCAGACCTCGCGAGGTTTAAACAGACCAATAAAGAGTTACCTATCACCGGAATCTCCAACAATGGCAGGCTGTTCCCGCTGGTGCGGTTTTCCATCCCAGACGGAACTGTCAGAGACCTTCTTGTTCAGCCAGAGGAATGGAAGATTGAGCTACCAAACGGAGAGATACAGGCACAACGCACCCAGCTACCTCTTATTCTTGCCTGGGCACTCTCTATTCACAAAGCACAAGGGCAAACCCTTGAGCGTGTTAAGATTGACTTGAAGAGAGTATTTGAGAATGGTCAAGCCTATGTTGCTCTGAGTCGAGCAACAAGCCAAGCTGGCTTGGAAGTTCAGAACTTCGATCCGAAGAAAGTCATGGCTCACCCGAGGGTTGCTGAATTTTACAACAGCTTATATAGCGTTAACAGAGCTCTGGCGCACCCCAAAGTTGCGAGGGCTGATCCACCAAAGATAGCAACGAAACCCATCAAGCCATTGAGAGACGATCCTTCTGTTGATGAGGACGAGGGAGAGATGGCACGCAATTTCGGTTGAAATAGCGGGCGTCTCAAAGAGTCATGACAACAGTTATTCCGGGTGTTTACAGGAGTCTCTAGGAGTCGCTTAGATTTTGCTCAATTGGTTTGTGAAGGTTATATGGTCGATCTACAATCATGCACTGGGATCGCAAACGCGGGAATTGTTTGAGCGGCGCCATTGTTTAGCATGGGATTAAAAGACGAGTATGAGTAATGCCCTCCCTCTTCATATGTATAAAATTTACTCACGAATAAATAACGAGGACTTCTTGTTAAAATATTGACCAAATGAACACTGTCTCCTGCTTGTGCAATACTTCTTTCTGCTCCTACCTCTGAGGATCTTAACGGACAGTTGATGCAGTAATGCTCAATGTTGTTTGATGTCAGTCGATGCCCTCTTATTGGTTTACTACCTGCTACTTGCATAAGACATCTAATTCCAAGAACCGATAATCTGTTTATTGTCAATCATGCTTCATGCTTTAAAACAAATTTGGAGATCATATGCATGAGATACTCGAGTATTGGCTTGACTTTGTCTTGGGATTTGCACCGGATCTTCCAAAGCTTAAGCAAATTCACCCCGCCATACCCTATCGATAAGGCGGCGGGGATAATGTTTTGAAGCGGCGATCACCGATTAAGCTAGAACTAGCTCAAAAATCCCGATATACTTTTTTGTCTCACCTCGCTATCACCTACCCTTGTAAGCTCCCAACCATCAGAAAAGAAAAATCAACACACCTAGTTGTCAACTTTGTCAGTTTTGGTTTCTCGAGAGACGCTCCTCCTATTACCTATTTCCAATCACTGTTCTGCCTATAGCTCTCTTCTCTCTATTGATTGAAAGTTCTTGACACGATCCTACACGCTTACACCACCCTCCATCTCTCACTGCATATCGCGAAGCTTTCTCTCGGCCAGTGGTGAACAACCAAAAACGGAACCTAACATGTCGAACCAATTCATTGGGCTCACTATGCTGGTGACCCTGAGTTCTCCACCTGGTGCGCAGTTGCGAGGCATTGTCAGTAGCATTGAACCTGGTAAAAGCCTGACTTTACGAGAAGGTTGGTGCTCACGTAACGTTGGCAAACACATCCGTTACTTCCGCTAATACGAAGCGTTCTTCACAGTTACCTGTCCATCTAATGGTAAATACGTCCCGGAGTTTACAATTAATGCTGCGGAAATTACAGAATTGATTGAGGCTCGGAATGAAAATGTTAAGCCGCCTCCCTCGGTTATACAACAGAAGCCAGCGGTTGTACCTGCATCGGCAGCAAAAAAATTCGAAGACCCGGCGATTTTGAGCATGGGAAGGAGACCTGTATCGGACACTCCTCTTGCAGCATCGGTTCAGTCGCAGTCTCAATGGAAGAGTACAATGATGGAACGCGGTGATTCGGCGCGAACTGCTGTGAGTCGTGAGGACAGGCGCAAAGAACAGAATACCTCATCTACCTTACCCGACAGTATGACGAGCTTGGAAGTTCACGATCTGGAGGAGCGTGAAGAGGCAGAGATCCTGGAAGAACTCGACACAGAACTAGCCGATTTGTCAGTGGAACCAGCTTTAGCCAAATCAGGACGACGAACTCGTAAGCGAAACAATCGAGGCAAAAAGCCTGTAGAACGTGCTTTCCAAGAGCCAAATGTTGACCCGGCTAAAGAGACGACCCGATCAAAAGGTTGGAGACAAACCCCGTTGCTAGAACCGGTTACTTCATTTCAGCCATTTGCGACCTTGAAAAAGTCTCAGAGAAGGGGCAACAGGAATATGGAAGAGAGTGGATGGGCTACCGAAGAAGCAACCGATGTGCAAGAGATGGGAGATTTTGATTTTGTTAGTAGTTTAGCAAAATCCGACAGAGAGACTGTGTTTCAACCAAATCCAGGCAGAGGATGGTATAGCAGAGTCAGATCGTCTGGTTGGACACAATCGCTTACCGAAAGCAAAGCCAGGAACGTATGGAGGAAAGAACCTTCATCCCAGTGAGAACGTCCTTGATACACCAAATGGTGCCACAAAGGCTTCAGAAACTTGGAAGAGTGACGCGGATGACACAGATATTCAAGAAAAAAGCAGTCAAAGAGGTTCTGGAAGTGGTAGAAACTCCCGTACACGAAGACCTGAGAGTAAATTAGGTAACCACCACAGACCGATCTCACGGAAAGGAAGTACTGTCCCAGGCTCCCAGCCGTCACGAAATATCTCTGTCGGACCATCAAAACCTATGTTCTATCTTCTTCCGTCTGATCGTCGATGTGAACCTATATCAGCGCTTCAAATGCTTAATTTGGAAAATATCGCAGATACTGAACTTGGACTTACTGAGGATATGATGACTGAGAATGCAGGTCGTGGTATTGCTGAAGTCGGATTGTCGGCTGTGAACATTGAAGGTCGTGCTTTAACCCAAGGCAAGAAATCCACCGTTCCCACGGTCATAGTCTTTGCGGGCAATAATAAAAGTGGTCTTCGAGCTGTTGCAGCAGGTCGACATCTTCGAAACCACGGTCTCAACGTTGTAGTTTGTGTCCTTGGTCTTGAGCGTGATTCCGAACTCTTGGTTGGACTACGTCGCCAGATAAAGGTTTTCCGCGGTTTCGGCGGTAAGGTTTGCACCAAAGCCGAACTTCTCGATTTCGTCAAAACTTCGAGTGTGCCTATTGATCTGATAATAGATGGCCTTCTCGGTCTCACAATGTCTTTCGAAGAGCTCCGAACTGGTGATCAAGCTACAGCCTATGAACTTATTGAATGGGCAAATAGAAATAAAGCGCCAGTTCTCGCCATTGATGTCCCTACTGGTATTGATCCCACGAGCGGCAAGGTTAGCGTCATTGATGGGCGAAAATTGTACATCTACGCGAGATATGTTGTTGCAATGGGAGCACCTAAGAAAGGTTTATTAGAAGCGATGATTATGGGCGAGGGGGTTGGTAATGAGGAGAAATTGGGATTAGGGATTACGAGCTTGAATGCGAAGGCGAGTGGGGAGTGGCAACTTTCCGTTGCGGACGTTGGGCTAGGTATGGCGGTTTGGAAAAAAGCCGGAACGAGAGTTAGGAGGGGAGTGGAGTTTGAGGGGAGCTGGGTATTAGGAATGAGGTTTCAGAGCGGGGTGGGACTTGCTTAGATTCTGACTTGATTGCAGATTTTTCTTTCATTTCTTGATGGGATTGTATGTTATGGGTTCAAAAGCGTGGATTTTGGAACGGGAAGTTGAAATTAATAAATAGCATAGCATAGCATAGCATGGCGTTTTGATTGTTGCATATTTTTTGGTATTGCTAGCTTCTTGGCTGGGTATGCTGGGTATTATGGCTGGCTGGCTTGATAAGGATGGGAATGAATTGAAACGAAACGAAATGGAATGAAATGATGTGGTAGCGATGCGATGCCTTGCTTGTCTAGAGACGGAAAAGTAACATTGTGAAAGGGGAGAAACATGGAAGAAATGTTCGATATTATTATCGATGACAATGAAATAAAGCTTTTTTACCTTACATTACCTACATTTCTTTACTTTACTTCACTGCACTTTGCGCAGTGATTGGATCCTCTGTGTTTTGCGAATTGCAGAACCAATGCTGTTTGCCCTGCCCCATTGGGGCTGCCAAATAAGTGACTACATCCGCTGAAAAGTAACATCGGAAAGAAGGAGAGGATGGGGGTGCAAGCAGGTTTGTACTTGTGTATATATGTTGAACTTGCATTGTGGGTTTGGAGATGGTTATCCTTATTTGTGCAGTTTGGTTGGCGATGGTAAATTTGTTGGAATGTTAAGTGGCGGAGTGAAATAGATAGAATATATTCGTCAATGCTGAATATATATCAATCAATGACATATATTGATGTATTGTGTATGTATGATAATCTTGATTCATAACATATTTGAGAAATCATCAGTTTTGAGACATTAACTCGAGAGTAACTCCAGGACTTCGTGACTCTAGATATAATAAATCGAGCCCCCAAACTCCAATCCCAGGTCCATTCAACCACCTAAAAGCACATCATCATAGTTCCACCAAATAACCATTTTCATCCAGCCTCGTCTCTGTATCCCAAGAATCTCGGATCCATTTCCAGCTCACGAGATGCGGTGTCCTCCCGCTCAATTCCCTTTTGGTTTCCCGAATCCTCTCCGACGAAACATCCCCAAAGATTATATGCGTAACATCCTCCTTCTGAACGTGTGTATCTCCATCTTCTCCGTGCAAAAACACACCGCATGCGAATTGGAAGTGGTTCATCGCGATCCTAATATCGATGTTAAGATCTGCTTCTTCGCCATCTGTTAGCAAAACCCCTCGACATCCCCTAAACGTCCATCCTTTCAGATTTCCAAACCCCTTATCCTTTTCCGCTAATAGCATCATAAATTTCGCGGCATCAAATTGCGTGTTCCCCTCAACCCTACCCATCCCATCCATAATACCCCTTAACTCTTCCGGCCCCACATCCCGGCAATAAGGATCTCCATATTGATCTGAATTTGCCGCAATACTCTCCTTATTCTCTTCCCTCGTAAAAAGCATATGGCCCGTCTCATACGGGATGACGAATCTAGATCTTCCCAATTTCGCATCTATTTCCATCTGCGCAACTGCATGTAATACCCATTGTGGTTTCACGATATTTATTTTCCCGCTTTTGATTAGCGAGGCGACTTTGACGACGCGTTTGTCGGCAATGACTATGATATCTTCTTTCGCGCTAGGTGATTGATAGATTCGACCGCCGTTATTCTTAATAATCGTTTCTAGTTCCGCCTTGCTTTTCTTGACTGGTAGAATCATATCGCTCAAGATACAAAAGTCCATGCCCTCAAACACGCCTGTGGTAGGTCCCTCATACAATACTTTGCCATCGTCTTCAGTACCCGCGATAACTTTGTCTCTCTTCAGTCTCTTAGAATTTCTCTTTTTCTTATCAACTTGAAATTCATCATCTTCCCCCTCCTCAACCTTCGCTTTTAATTCCATGAATCCCTCGATTGAAAGAGCGCTCTTCCAATCTTTATCCGGACGCAAACGTTTAAAGCGCGGAAAGCGAAGTGTGAAATTGGTGCGAAAGGAATCTGATATGCTAACTGATGCAGCTTTGACTTCCATGACGATAGAATCATCTGGTTTGATCCAGACATCTGGGCGTTCTTTTTCTTGATGTGAGCCTGCTAATTCTATAAATTCGGTTGGTGGGGATTTGGCGTCCCATTTTATCCATTTTCCATCGGTTTGATGGCGGATGGCGGCATAGTCATCTGCGTTGAATCCACCACCTACTTTGAAGAATGAAAAACATTTCATGGGGTTTGCTCCTATCTTGTGGTTAGTATGTGTTCGTTGTTTACACGAGGAGAGGGAAACATCTACCTGTTCTGATCTGTTTGTCATC